ATATGCTTTATTTTCATCTTTTTGTTCCTGTTATCTGTCTTTATCTTTGGTTTTCTTCACTTATTACTGACACCCACACACTCTCTGCAGCCCATTCAAAGAATGCATCCACACACACACACACACACACACACTCACTCACACACACACTGCCCTGGTGTGGAAAATGACTCAATAACGGCAGGTCTCGGGACAATGCCGAGAGGCGTAGGTCGGGAGCAGAGAGGAAGATGGGCAGAGGAGGGGAAATAAGGAGAGAATGAGATGAGTGTGTGGGAGAGTCTGAGAATACAATAAAAGACAAAGAGGGAGCTGGAAAGCAAAATGAGAGAAAATGAGACACTGATAGGAACAGGTTGTCTCCCAGAAGATTGATAACTGAATTTCTTTATTATAGCAAAGTGATTTCTTCTCTTTTCCCCTTCTATATTGGTTTTTCCCTGCACAGTTCTGGGTCATTCTACTTTCTCCCTTCGTTCTTTCCATCTCGCTAGTGGTGCTAATACATTTTAGATGCAGGAACAGGGGCTCTTACATGGCAGCCATTGTTGTAATAATGCATGATCGATGCAGGATGAGAGCTTCCTGCATCAGCAGCAGGATGGTAATAATGCAGGAAAGATTCATGACGTCGTTTGTGCATGATGCTGATGTTAAACATGAAGAAGAAAAGTATTTCTCTTAGAAACATGTCTTCTCTTTGCTTACTTACTCTCTATGTCCTTGCCCCATTGCTGTCTTAAACAATTCCTCCTGCTCTTTCTCATAATTACTTACTTCAGTAGGCTTTTCCCTCAGACTTTAAATAATATAATAGTGCTGCTTTGGAGGCCAAATCAAGTGTTGCTGAAAAAATTAGTCCAGATTAGCTGATCTTAAATCAGTTATGACACCTCTAATAAACCGTGTGCATGTGAAGGTCATTCTCAGCGTCTAAGTTAAGTTGAAGCAATGGACCATTTGAAGTTTCGAGCTGTAGCACTGTGGAGGGAACTGAGGTAGAAAATAATTGGTAAGAAACATGTTGCAAAGGTGAGGAATTGATTTGACCTGTAGCATTCAGGCATCCAGGGCAGTGATTCAAACAGGGACGCTTGTACCATTATTGTGTCTGTAAAATTCATCTTTTTAGAAAGATGATTTGGCCACTCGTCCATCCAGCAGCCTTGCTTGTACGTTCAAAGTTACCAGGCGGTATGTGAAAAGTTGGGGAGTAGCAAAAGAACACATTTGAATCTGATAAGAAAAAGTAAATGCCCCTGAACCCCACAAGTGTACAATCGAGAGTATGAGAGTGTCAAAATGAGCTGAACTCAACGAAGAAAAAGTCCAAATAGACAGTCGAAAGAGGTTTATGAAGAGCAATAAGTTCACTTAAAAAAATAATACACATTACAAATAGTAAGCTCAAAGTAAGGGATGAGTAGTCCAAATAGTGAGCGAGTCAGACATGAACAGTCAGGTCTGGTCTCAGCCCCCCCAGTGTGTGATAGAATGGATGCAGACCAAATCAGAGCCTGACACTTACACTTCATATGTATGCAACCTATTTTTGTAAATTTAACAGGAAGCCACTTGAGAGCTTCTGTGAATGATTTTGTTTTCAATACAGGGGCTATAAGGACAATATAGATTAGAGACAACGATTAAATGGGGCGGGGGGGGGGTATTTTTTCAGTTGTGCTTAATAACTGTTTATCTTACAAAGTGTTAAATGTCGGTGCAACTTTAACAAATATTTAAAAATGCTTTGTTCTACAGTTTTAAAAATCTAAATGAGGTGATTGTTTGCTGTTGTCATTTGCTTTACCTGCAGCTGTCAAATACTTTTCATGTACCAAAGTAGCAGCCCAACTCTTTATTTTCCCAGCCTGCAGCTTCTTCCTATGTGAAGTCTCCGGCAGCTTGTAATCCTTGACTTATCAGCTGCGATAAAGAACAACCTCCTGGGTATTAACTGCTGTCTTCACGTTTAACGCAGCGCTGGTTTGTGATTACTCAAGAGATGTCTCCCTATACTCCCAACAACTCGAATGTGGTTTTGGCCAATGAAGAGCAGAGTCTCCAGTATGGGGACTGAGCTTGTGACCTTTATATGGAACAACCTAATTGACCTCATATCACCCCATGGAGTTGTTTCTCTCAGTAATCAGTTTGTACACCTGATGGCTCTGCTTTTACAGCCATGCAGAGGGATGCTTCTCCACGTTTCTTTTTCACCTTTTTGTTTTAAACATGTTGAATCTCTGTAATATGAGTGATATTAAACATTGTATAACATTTAAATACATTCACACAAATTAATATGTATGTGTATTTGTGTTTTAGACAGGGAAACCACCTGTGGAGGATCTCTTCTCCGACCTGTGTGATGGACGACGTCTGCTGGAGCTGCTGGAGGGGCTGTCGGGACATGAGCTGGTTAGAAGACACACACACACACACACACACACACACACACACACACACACACACACACACACACACACACACACACACACTTACACACTTACACATACACACACAGACTTAAGCCAGAGGATCTGATACAGATGGCTCACATCTTCAAGCTTCTGTGAGGGTTTTTAGCTGATTATGAAACAGAATTAAATTAAAACGGATGTCTCTCTATGACCTAGAGATGCAAACAAGACGATCAGAGAGCAGAGTGATTATTCCTACACAGTTATTTTATATGCTTGTCACCCCTGACGTAGGGTAAGTGTCAGACACGGCGATTAAGAGCACGCTGCAGAAACAGCGCTCGTCAAGATTTTTCATGTCAAAGATGTCAATGTGAGCTAAGTTAGACATTTACAAAAAAAAAAAGGGAGGATGTGTTCTGTTATCAGGAAACACTTCTTTCACAAAGGTGCAGGAAAAGATCAGCAAAGAGATGAAATGTCTCACTTTGTCGACAGGGGGCGCCAAACCCGAAAACAGAAGTACCTCCTGAAAGTACAGCTGTTGTACATATGTAGCGTCACTCTGTTTCTGAGCTGATCTAACTGATTATTACATTTTTTAACTAATACATATCAATGCAACATGTGTGTCTTTGCCTGAATCCTGACACATTGTTCCTGGTTTGTACTTGCACAAATAACAAGAGCATGCAGTAGATTTAAATTGCAGCATATGCGTAAAGGAAATACCGACACTGCTGTTTGCAAGCCAAATTGCCCCTCTGGGACATAAAAGCTTACTTTTCTCTCAACAAGGCACACACAGATAACAGACAAGCATAAACACAGACAATTATAGAAACCCTTCTTCAAGCCAATATAACACAGGCAAAAAGACCATAATCCCTATGAGAAATGACATAGTACTATCAAAATGTGTTTATTTACAGGTAATGTGAAAGATCATACAAGTAGGGGAGGTTTTTGGGGGACTTTTGTCCTGTTGTTTTATTCATAAGAGAGAAAATGGAGAGACTACAGCGAGGAAAAAAACACAACATTACCTGAGGCATCGATCGTAATGACTCGTAAAATGATCTTAATTTAGAAACAGCAAGTTTCAGGAGCTGTTAAAGGAACGCAGCAAGTTCAGCACCTCGGACAGCGGTCATCATTAGGAATATTAAAACAGTACCGAAAGCATAAAGGCTGATCCAATGGTAGTCTAAAAAAATCTGTAAAAGCATTTCTTTACTTTCTTTAATTTCAAGTTTGAAGCTTTCAGGAGGTTAAAAAGTTAGCTAAAAGAAAGTTGAACAGTTGAAATGCTAAGCTACAAATAATGAATATATAGTTAAAATGGTGAAGTTAAAGTATATGATTAATGCTTTGGATCTAAAATAAACTAAAACATTGTTGGTAAAATGTAATGACAGAATGAAAAGTAAGAATAGTAAAGTAGAAAATGGATACTATTTAACTATTGAAAATGAAAAGCTTCTGCTACAGCACGTTGTTGTCATCGTGATTGAATCTTTATTAACAAAGCTAAATACTGACTGTAACTATGTTAAACAACATTCATTCAAACTGACTCTTTCTGGTGCTTAAACTGTGTTCAGGTGGATGAGGTGACATCAGACAGAACAGGTCTGAAACTCATCTCTACTGTTCACAAAGCTTTTAGTCTGCACTGTTTGCTCTGCTGATCATCTCTACAGCAGATTACAGTTTATCTAGCGTGTTAATTGCATTCCTGATTAGTAACAGCAGACATTGCCATTTGGAGTTTGTCCACTTGACTGATTCTGCCAAGTTGTAACCATGCAAAAACTTCCACATCACTGGCTTCTCTTCTTCTCTCCAAAACAGCACATGGAGTGAGTGAGTGCAGCGTTAACCTCAGCTTAACCCAGAACTAATCATATTGCTGACCTTAACGCTAAAAATCATCATTTAGGAACAAGTGGAAATGGAAATGGGAAAAAATGCCAAGTGCCAAGATTAAAAAGAGAAAGGACACACACACCTGAACACACACGCACACACACACACACTGCTCAGCCCACAGTCTTAATCAAACCTCTGCTCCCACCTTGTTTTCCTTTCCCCCTCCAGCTCTCTTTACCTCCTCCACCTGCTCTCTTAGATAGAGTCTCTCCATCTCTCTTCCTCTTTTTGTCTATTTACTATCTCTTTGTTGTTCTGTATTATTCTTACCTTCAATCTTTCTGCCACCTCTCCTCCATCCCCGTCTCTCCCACTTCTACCTGATGGAGTCATTATCGTCTCTGTCCTTTGTTTGATACCATCTCTTATTCTAATGGCTCACACACTCACACAAACGCATTTCAATGTAATGTGGCTGTTTGTAGCGCTCATGGATGCCCCTGAGCAAGGTCTGTTTATGCCTCAATAATCTCCTCTGTCTGTCTGATTGTGTGTGTGTGTGTGTGTGTGTGTGTGTGTGTGTGTGTGTGTGTGTGTGTGTGTGTGTGTGTGTGTGTGTGTGTGTGTGTGTGTGTGTGTGTGTGTGTGTGTGTGTGTGTGTGTGTGTGTGTGTGTGTGTGTGTGTGTGTGTGTGTGTGTGTGTAGGTGAGGTTAGAGAGAGGATTCACGCGCGTTCACTCGCTCAACAATGTCAACCGTGCGCTGCAGATCTTGCAGAAGAACAATGTGAGTAATGTATCCCTGCACACCAGCACAAACCTTTCTCTCGATGTGATTATGCATTACAGTTTAACATGATATCGTTTCAAGAATATACATCAAATCAGCGAGCTGCTCCGATTACATCCCCTTTCAGGTTTCTCAAAATGTCAAAGTCATAATGTTCTTTTGTCTATGTTTACCTTTGGTGTTTGCTCCATCTTATCTCCTACTGTTGCCCTGCCTTCTTCACCTAGAAGTTAACACAAAATATATGTCTTCAAAAAAGGTGCTGCAGATCAATGTAACCATGTTTCTTTGAGTTATTGAGTAAGAAACTCTTGTGTTGCAGGCTGGGAGGGAATAACTAATACGATTTGTCCGTCTGTTCGTCCCTCGTCCAGGTTGAATTGGTGAATATCGGAGCGGCAGACATCGTTGATGGCAATCACAAACTGATACTCGGGCTCATCTGGAGCATCATTCTCCACTGGCAGGTGTGCGCATGCATGTCAATGTTAATTTCAGTGTGGGAGCTCTCGGCAGCCATTTTGGAGGCAAAAAGACTTTCATTTTACCTTCTTTTTTTTTGCAGTTGTGCACATTTTTGTTGGAAATCAGAAACCGGTTTCTGTTTGGACATGAGTTTTTTATTTGGTTTGATCTTGATGAGTGTTAAATCATAACTCGGATACGTTGACTAAAACAATCTCTGCTAAGACTGCATTTCAGTTTTTGAGATCACATTCAATTGAGCCCACTTAGAGGGGTACACAAAGCTTTAAAATGAAGATTAAACAAACAATGAGTGAAATGACTGCACTCTCACTGGTGATCACAAATGCTGCTTACACCAGAAAGCCTCACTTTATATCCACTTTAAATGGCCTTTGTCTCCGTGATGCACACATAGAAACAGTTGCTGCATGAATGTCTTACATTTATTTATCCCGACTCATTTCTCTTGAAAGTGTTGAATCATCACTGAAACGATCCATTTAGTTTCCCATACAAAGGGGACTAAAAGTTGCACACTGTCTCTCTGTGTTCATCTGAATCTTTTTTATTTGGCATACTTGGAACGTGCTCAGGTGAAGGTTGCAGTCAGTCACATTGCAGAGCTCCAGCGAGAAAAGCGGAAAGTGTTGTCTTTGAGGCGGAGATAAACATTGATGCCTCAAGGTAAAAAAGTTAAAAGCTACATTATGACAACAAACTGCTTACAAATCTCAGCCAACATCACACATCATCATCTTTTACAGTATGTACTTTTTCCTTCCCTGGAATATAATACATTTATTTGATCAGTATAAATGACAGTGAAGAACTGTTTGCCTTAATAATTAGTGGGCAGTTAAACATTTGGACCTTCACTAAATTACATTTTTGTAAATTAGTATAAAATGTCTATTTGTTTCTTTCTAAAAGAGCAGGGTAACTAATACACAGTAAGTGAGCAGAATGTATAATCTGCAATAGAAATGTATCATGTGCATTCGCTCCTCTTGTCTTAAGGGGGGTTAAAAAATGAGCCCAAAACGCATTACACACAACAGGTAGCAGCAGTGGGGATATTTCCCATGAATTGAGGAATAAAAAGTGTGGCATGCATTGTCGTGTTACTTACAGTCAATCACCCCAGCCCCCGGAGAAAATGCATCAACTGGTGCTGTGGTGCTGATGACTAATAATGATCATTAAGGAGACTTGAATGTGTGGTCGGATGAATCAGACTTACACTACTTATTTAGTTCCCACCAGCATTTGTCTCCTATGAGCTGAAACTTGTAATCAATAACAAAGTATTCAACGTCATTACTTTAGAGAAAAGTGCATCGGCCACATTAATGCAAGTGCAAAAACAGTACACAGCCCCAAAGGTTTCCTTTAATGTCTTTCTTTTATGGTTTCTCAACCCGTCCTGTTCCTGCCTTTCAAACATCTAACACTTCATGTCCACTGTTTGCCACTTCTTCCTCCAAGCTGTGTTTAAAGTTCAAAATGTTTTTCATAATGGACTGTGTTGTTCAAAAACAGCTCCATGTAAAGTCAGTACTTTTTATAGCTTACATTAACATACATCTTAATTGTATTTCATTCCTCATTAAGTTGCATAGAAGCTAATGTCTCAATCATGCCACTTTTGGCATGGACTTAATGACGCGATTAATAGCCAAACACCATTCTATAATGAGGTGTGTGTGTTGTTTGAGTGTGCGTGTTGTGGGTTAGCGTGTGTGTGTGTGTGCCTGTCAGAGGCTGCTACGCCCTAGAGGTTGAGGTTTGCTTTGTGTGGGCACGTACGCCACTCTCTGAGTACTTCTGTGTGTTTTTGTGGATCTCGGTGAGTGTGTAGTTGTGTGTGTCATTGTGAGTGTGGGTATGCAGCCGTCTTTGTCAAAGCGCCCCTCCAATTAAAGTGGAAATGCATGCAGTGACCTACTCCCAAATGAGTCCCTTTTTTTACCCGGCAGGCCACATCGCTAACAAACCTGTGTGTGTGTGTGTGTGTGCGTGTGTGCGTGTGTGTGTGTGTGTGCGTGCGTGTGTGTGCGTGTGTGTGTGTGTGTGTGTGTGTCTTTCAGTCCCCTTTTCTGAGAATTCACCTCGACACCAATTTACACCGAACTCTATAATAGGTGTAGTTGCACGGTGTCTTAGAGTGTGTATTTGTGAGCGTGTAATGGCACAGACTCTTCTTTCTGTGGGTTTTTTTTTTGGGCCACTTTGTTGACAGAGTTTTAGGCTTAAATTCTGTTTATTATATGTGATTCTGTATTCCAGCTCTCTGTCCAGCCACTGAGCAGAGCTCTGCCACACTCATTGAACTGCCTCACTGCATGAGTGTGCGTGTCGGAGTGCAGAAGGCATGGAGAGCGAGTAAAGAGGAGGAGAGTCGAGTGGTGTAGGAAAGTGGGAGAACAAAAAAGAAAGGAGTTGAGGGAAATAAAAAAACACATTTGTGTGTGTTTATGTTAGTGTGAGGGCATGTGGCTGACAGAAGAGTGAGGGTAAGAAATGCATAAGTAATGCACACCCATGCAGTCAAAAGTATAATGTCTCTTCCTCTCTCCCTCCATTTCTCACTCTCTCTCCCCCCTGAGCCTTGAACAAGTGCTCCAAAACTGTCACTCAAAACTGCCAAAGACTCAGCCTGTGAGGATGCAACCACACCCACACACTGGTTTCTGTGTGTGTGTGTGTGTGTGTGTGTGTGTGTGTGTGTGTGTGTGTGTGTGTGTGTGTGTGTGTGTGTGTGTGTGTGTGTGTGTGTGTGTGTGTGTGTGTGTACACTGGTGTCCTTTGACCAAGTGATTCTCACTATGAGGAGCTACCTGTGTGTATATGTGTCAAAATGCAAAGTATCCACTTGCAGACCATGTCAATTTTTCTTCCCCGAAAGCAGCAGATTATTAAAAAAAAAGTATCTTTATGGTAATATTAAAACGTCAGGAATCATATTAGCATGGATTTCAATATCTGTCCACCAAAAAGGAGTTCTTTAAAAATTGTGCTGTGTTTGTGCGAGTGTGAGTTTATGAGCAAGAGAGCGAGGCATGTCTGTTCTGTTGAGGTAGATTTGGGGTTTTAAAAGGCACTTTTCTATGTATTTTAAAGCCTATTCATTTAAAAAAATGATTGTAGTTCCTCTGTTTTGTGTGCTGAGTTCTGTAAGAGCTGGATTTACCTCAGGGGAAAATGTGCACATTTTTTGAGTACATAAACGTTAACCAAAATACATCCCAGACTGTTGACGATGTCTGTTGGACAAATAGGAAAATGCCTCGATGAAAAGGGGAAAACCTTGAAGGAGCACCAAAGTTATACTATGAGAAAAATGTACATTTTTTATGAATTTTTGAAGAGGACAGCAGGAGATACTGTTTTCTTATTGTGAGACTGCATACTATAAACACTGCTTCTTTGTATGTGTGTATCTGTGCATGTTGTTTTAACACCAGTTATACTTTGCACTCGTGTTCAGGTAAAGGATGTGATGAAGGATGTGATGGCGGGCCTACAGCAGACCAACAGTGAGAAGATTCTGCTGAGCTGGGTTCGTCAGAACACTCGCCAGTATCCTCAGGTCAGTTTTTTTTTTTTAAACTTCTTATTCAGTCTTATCCTCAGTCCGCAGGCTTTCACACACACTGCTGCTCTGTTTGTTTCATCTTTCACAGCCTCCCTTTCAAAAAGACAGTTGTCCTGTATGTTTGTCTTTAAGAGTGACCTTGTTAACGTAGAGCAGCTCTGTCTCTATTAAAACAATATTCGCTCAAGTAAGGAAAATATTGACGTCCTTCCTTCTGTTTTTTTTTTTGTACTTTAGCCCTGCCAAAGACCTCATGTTTTTTCTAGCCGTCCGTCGATCAGCCTGACTGAATATATCAAGCCCCTGATGATTTTCATGAAATTTGGTTGACGGATCGGCTCCGAGCCAGGGAATAGTAGATTGGGTTTTGGTGGCATTCCAGATCTGGGATATGTGCCATCAGATGATTATCATTTTATAGTCCTAAGTATGAAACAAAGAGACAGATAGAGACTTGAGCCTTAGTCCAAAAAACATGTTTTCACAGTCAAAATGGAATCCAATTAACTTACTGTTTGAGTAGGAGGGAGCTGTTTGTTGAGTTTTCACTATTTGTGGAGATTTGTAAAGTCTGGAGCCATCTGTTTTTTCTTTTTCTATTATGTTTTGTGTCTTTTGGCTTGAATTGTTATAAATTGCATTAAGCTTCTAAGTTATACTACAAAGAGCACTAAAACTCAACATATGCTGTTTTCTGTGTAGCATATGGCATTTTAATGGTTGATATATTGCCCATCTAATTTCACCCAAATTCCCCTTGTTTTTAGTCAAACTTGAAAGTATTGACTTGTAGTAACAAATACTCTGACTCCTTTGTTTTTTCATAACATTAAGATAGTAACTAAAAATTAAAAACAAATTCTAGAAACTTGTAGTACAATGCATCAGGTCTAAATTGCTCTGAACCCATACAGTCTACCTCTGGCGTGTGGGGGACCTATATGCTAGTGGGCCAAACCACACCCAGAAATAGGGAAATAGGGGTGGAAAAAACGTACTAACGTTTAAACCAGACAGGATTTTTGATTTTATATGATATATTATGCTATATTTATATGTCAGGCAAAAAAGATTATATTATATTTCTCCGTTCAATTGCCAAATTAACTGAAGTTTTTTTTTTTTTTTTTTTTTTTTTTTTTTTACACTTCTCCAAAACACCCCCTTGCTAGGGTACGCAGTTGGCACATTCCAAAGCGCAGGTTACAACACTAATTACATGATTGCATCAGCCAATATTTTAACTACATGATAGAGTCCAGAGTACAACAAGGTAACTGAGTGGTGACATTTATGACACTAAATAATAAAGTGTGAAAAATGTCTAAATGTGGGCCTGTTAATGGAGCAATTGTGTTTGTTGAGAAATGCTAATTAGCATTAAAGGCAAATCAAACTGTAAACTTCTTGAAGTATTTCAAGGTATCCTGTATCTGAATTTCAAACTTTATAATTTAAATACTGAAATGAAAGTAAAATTAGTAAAATAAACATGTATATAAAGTTACTAATGGTTTTAGCTGCTTGGCTGGGTTGTTTAGGCTAATTTATAATCTAAGGCTAGCAGCGCAGATATTTATTGATACACCTTCATTGTCTTCATGTTCACACTAAGAACAATAAAGCATTAATTTTGTTTTTATTTTAGTCCTTTCACATGGTTCAGGGTTACAAAGAGTAGAGAAAGAAATTAAAATTCCTTAATTTTCAACCACTATGTCTTGCTAACGCTAGCTGTCCACTGCTAATAACTAGTTAGTTACAGTTGTCATGTCGGCTGTTAAAGTAAGTTATTCTTGACAAAGAAAAGTATAATTTAATAACTAGTGTATATAAAAAATAAGACTTAGAAACCATGCTTAATGAAGTTAATAAACTGTTATCAATGTAAAGGGGAAAGAGCCAAGTGAACAGTTGAGCTGAAGTACCTTTTGAGGTGTCATATTAATCAGTCACTTTATGTGTTAAAAGCTCAGGCTAGCAATTTGAGAAAAAATAGATGACTACAATATAATACTTGTATATGTCCATGAAAATGGAAACAACTATAGGGGCGATAGTTTCAACAGTGTGTCATATTGAATTCACATGTCAGTCCTTTAATATCCATTATCTGTGTCCTCAGGTCAACGTGGTTAACTTCTCCAGTAGCTGGAATGATGGATTGGCCTTCAATGCCCTCCTCCACAGCCACAGGTACTGTAAAACTGTGTGTGTGTGTGTGTGTGTGTGTGTGTGTGTGTGTGTGTGTGTGTGTGTGTGTGTGTGTGTGTGTGTGTGTGTGTGTGTGTGTGTGTGTGTGTGTGTGTGTGTGTGTGTGTGTGTGTGTGTGTGTGTGTGTGTGTGTGTGTGTGTGTGTGTGTGTGTGATTTAGCAGAGGGAAAAATAGAAAGAAAAAGAAGCCAACGACACAGGGGAGGAACAGTGAGACAAGGGGAAGTCAAAGGGGAACAGATGGAGACGCAGTGTGGGATTTATTTGGCTGCCAAATTTTGGTCTTGTTAACACATTTCATTAAATAGATATACTTGGAGGTAGAAAATTACCCTATTTGAAATGATAAGTAATGAAAGGGAATGGGCAGGAAATGTCTGGTAGTGACAGCAAGCTATTATCGACTCACAGCTACTGGAGGCCAACTATTATGAGAAGAAATTAAAACATTTCAAAGTTAATAAAAGACATGGTCAGCCTAAAAGGGACAGAGCTTTGAGTTGGATTCGTTGGGCCAAAATATCATCAAATAAATTGGTTGTGAATCTCTCCAGAGGTCCAATGAGCTATTGCACTGTGGTTAACCTTTTTCTCTATAATACATACACATGATTTATACTTATACTTCAGCTTCTGTATAGACTGTTTAAAGTAGAATTTCACATACAGAGACGTTGTTTCAAAGGGTTATTAAAACCAATATAGTTTATATGCAGAGGTTTTTTTTTTAATTTATGACTGATTGACTAATCAGCCTCGGGTGACTGTGTGTGGTAGACCCAAACTTATTTATTTATGAATTATATCATGGTTTGCTAGGATGAACATCTGTTATGATTGTCCTCACAGGAAAGAAAGACCAAAGCTACTTCCCTGCACATCATTTGCTTGGCTGCTGCATGCCACACAATGTCATGTTTACAGGACTGCAGATTTCACAGAGCAAATGTTAATGTCAAATAAGACAGAGAATCAGCATACCATTAAGTATGTTTCACTGTTAACTCAGAAGCTGGTACTAGAGAGTATGTGCAGTGTAAAATCACTGCTGGGTGCACGATTGCATGGTTGTTGATTAAAGAAGTTCCAAAAATAATTCCGAGTGCATCAGCTGAAGTGAGTTTATTACAGTGTATTTCATGTTAAAGACAATGAATCAGTAGGATTTTTAATAAACGCTCTCAACTTCTTTTTATTGCTACAACATCAGCTCTTTCACTTTGAGGAATTCTCTAAAGCTCTGTTTACTCGATATTCAGATTTTCACAGAGCAGCATAGGAAATCATCATCCAGGGACAAATTCTGCTAAATACTTTGGGTATTCTCTTCTGTGTGGGTAATTAAAAATGAAGAAACAGTGGGTATATGATCCCTGACAATGTCTCTATTGCCTCTGCAGGCCTGAGCTTTTTGATTGGAGCTCAGTGGAGAAGAAGACGTCTGCGATCGACAGACTGGAACATGCCTTTAATAAGGCAGAGCAACACCTGGGGATAGAGAGACTGCTGGACCCTGAGGGTAACTAACTCACAGACACACACACACACACACACACACACACACACACACACACACACACAAAGCTACACAAATGCACCAACACACCGGTAATTGCAGAGAAGAATATTCGAGGTGAGTTACAGCTCCCATCGTATTTCACGCCTTCCAATCATGGACTTTAATTGGCCCAGTTGAACATGATGTGTCATGCTGTGATTGGGTGTTGCCTTGGTGATAACTGTGGTCACCTTGGCGGAAGGACTTGATCAGTGATGCAAAAACTGACCGACAGGTTGGCAAAAAAATGTTCTCAAATGCCAGGAAAGTCCTCCTAACAAGTACATTCACACAGAATTTGTTGACAGTTTTTCGGCATCCTTCACTGCCAGGGCTGCTGCTGACCTCAGACCAGTTTACAGACTCTTAATCAAAACTGTCAGGCAGGAGTAAAGCTGACCAGGGTCTACGTTCATAACACTGCCTCTATGTGATAAATAGTGGGGGCGTGTTCTGCAAACATAAGTCTTCATCTACAACAACATCAGAAAACTGCCAGCTGACATTACCTCTTTGAAAATAGCCTCAGAGTTCAATAGACTCATGCGTGTTGGTAAAGTGGAAGAGCAATATCAAGGAAAGGGAAAAAAATCTTCCAAGTTTGTGTATCCAAAGTTCTCCTAAATTTGATCTAAAGTTAAAGATCATTTTCAAATTTAAATCCTTTGATAATAGGTGTGTAGACTTGTCAACCATTCAAATAGAAAAACAACAACCAGGAAGTTGAAGAAGGATCTCTAGGATTTACATTCAAACAAATATTTGGTAATTTACTATTTATTGCTCATTTAGTTAACAAAATGGGCATTTTTCAGCATTATGAACTTTACACCTGACCAAACCTCAGCTTAGAATTAAGAAACATTTTGAAGAGCCCTGTGTGACATTTACATGGCATTAGGTGTCAAAATATGCAACAAAATGATTTGAGACATCAATATCACCTGCCTCAATACTAATTTAAGAAGTACTTCAGCTAATGCTACTTTAGCTCCCCCTGCATTGTCACACTAAACTCCCTATTTTAATAATAATAACAATGTGTAAGAATAGACTTTATTGAATGATCTTCTGATGTTGTGTAAAATCTAACATGGAGGTATTCAGATGTATTCCTCTTTAGTCCCACCTGCTGTGAGTGTTGTGTTCACGTTTTGAGTCAGCACGACAGAAAACATTTTAAATCCTCGCCGCTCGCGCAAGTCATGAAAACATACATCACAGCAGATGAATTCCTGTTGATCGTTCAAAAAACAATCACCAGTAAGGAGCAAGCACGGTGAATCTTTATCATCGTATGCTCAAAGGCGATTATCCCCCGACCTCGGCTGTTGTACATTTTCCTGGACCTCTTCAAGTCGTGTTTGTGAGAGTTTTGAGGCTCATTGTGAAGTGAAGAAGAGCTGTAAGGTTTGGAGAATTGGACACTTTGAAGTGTACACTTTTAAAACAGCAGTGTGTGAAGCTAGAAACAGTTTTAATTCAAGTCTTCAAACTACGATGGTTTGTTCTTATCATAGACCATGTTTGCTTGTGCTTTTGTGCTTTTGTGCTTTTGTCTTTTCATGTCTTTCATGACGTTCATGTCAACGTCTTTCCATTAATGTTTAGAAGAGGGATGATCACAAGAAGCTGTAACAAATTATCTTTTATTTAAAGCAATTTGTAGTGTTGAATATTTTCTGCTTTAAAAAAATATCCAGTCTTTCTTTGTATTTTGGTATTGAACTTCTGCAGGATAATGTAGGATAACAAGTTACTCCATTTTGAATGAAAAGTAAATAATTCTATTGATCAGCACATCTCTCGCCTTAATACGAGTACTCCTTTCTCTTGTTTTCTTTCTGTCTCTCTTCCCAGTAATGAATCCGCCTTTGTGTATATCTCTCTCTCCAGCTTTTCCCTCAAATTCCTTTTTGCAATCCACTCACTTGTCTTTGCTTTGTTTCTCTTTGCTCTTGAGCCTTCATTCACCTCTTCAGCCAGGAATCAAAGCTCACATCTGCAGCTGTCTCCGTCTTTAAGTTCATCTCTTGGAAGACATATTTTTCACCAAGCCCTTGAAGACATCAGCATTATGTTGAATGTTTTTATTCACCATAAGAGAGGTCACAGTGACTTGGAGAAATCATGAATGCTATAAAATCATTCTCTGTTTTTGTGCAAGAGTCAGAAGTTAAATATCGTTGTTGTAAACAAATATTTTCTCTGGAACAATTTGAGAAGTCAGTTTAATTTAAACTAATGACATTTCCTCAGTGTGTGTTTACATAGGCAGGTGTAATCACTGCAAGGCCCGGGACACACACACACACACACACACACACACACACACACACACACACACACACACACACACACACACTTACACAAGCAGTGCTATGAAGAAATCCATGAAGCAACAAGCAAGAAAAAAAGTGAATGCTATTATATAGACACTGTGACAGGCTTATACATGGAGATAAAATGATGACAAAAGATTTGAGTGAGAACAAAACAAGTCTGAGATCTTCTTAAGTCAGCAAAATCGACATTTGATGGCTCACACACATCGGTTTGAAAGAGCAGAATCAATTGTGTTTGAGGGAGGACAGAATAGAGAGAGTGCGTGGGGAACTGTGTAACTATATTTGAGCAAGTAACAGGGCTGCTCCTCACTCTACCTGCTCCTCCTACCTCTGTTGCTGTCTCAGCCTCTTCTTCAGCTTTTAACTGCCATATCAAGACCAAGAGCATTATTTTGAGTAGTATCTTAAAAATCAAGTCAACTGTAACAAGTTGGCTCTTAACCTTGAGGGGACAAATACTTGACCTTGACATGTTGTTGTCTTGATGTGTTGTTGTCTGTGTGTCCAGCTGGATAGGCAGATATGATGGGCAAACAACCTCTTGTGCTCCTGAGACCATAAATAGAGAGACCAGAGAAAACTGTGATTTCAGAGTCAGAATTAGCTGCTCCTTCATGCCTGCGTGTCCCCGAATGTTGCAGACTTGCTCAGAGTTGTTCTGCTCGTTCAGATCTTTTTCTGTCACTGTGCCTCCATACTTACACACACAAACACAAATAAACACACATTAAATTCAAGCGTAATAATAAAAGAAATACACTCCCAAAGTCAAATATCCAGACGTGCAAACACACACAGACACCCGCAGAGCGTCATTAGCATTCACACACGTGGCTCTGGTGAAATGATTGATATGGAGATCATGGGACGGAAAACAAGCAAGTGGACGACACAAGCGAAGGCGGTGTGCACACTCAGACACACACTTGCAGATGGCACAATTATTTATGGAGCTGTTTGTCTTCCTCAGACAAACAATAACATCCCACAATTTCTCTGTGATGCTGATAAATCAGTATGCCACAGCCAAAAATATGACTCGAACACACACACACACACACACACACACACACACACACACACACACACACACACACAGACATCTTTATAAGCACAAACTTCTTTTTTGTTACTTTGTGTCTGGTTACTTTCTCTTCTACCTTGTCATCTCTCTTCCTCCTTCTCCTGTTCATTATTATTGCACATTGTTACCACAACCATCAGTTCATTAGCCCTCCTGTGTCTGTCTTTCTCTCCTCCCTTTCAGCGCTCCTTCACCTCACCCTCTATTTTTTTCTCCCCCCTCTCTCTATCTGCGTCTCAGTCTCTTATAGTCTTCATTTATCTGCAGTGTCTCGGCCGTGCTGTGATCTGTCTCTATTAGTTTTGCCCCGAGCTGACTGGCCGGGCCACAGGCTCTTGGCCACCCTTCCTGAAATCATCGCTCCTCCACCTGCAGGAAAAAAAAGTTTGCCCAGACTTAATTCTGCTGGAAGATTCAGGGCAGACACAGGCTGACACACACGCATTGATGCTATGGGAAATAAAAGCAGCCTCTACAGTGGCCTACAGTTATTCATGAGCACAAAGAAAAATGAGCCAAATCTGTTTTTGCAGATGAAAGCAGTCTACTGCATCACCCTGCAGCATCATGGATGCTTCACATACTCAGATTCATGTTAAGCTCCATGTCATTGAAAGAACACCCTCAACTTAAACTCTTTCTACGTTAAGGCTTCAACTCATGATTCTTTTTCAGATTGCTTCATTTTTTTATTCCATGTTGACATCTTCAGATCTTGTTTGTCAGACCAACAGTTTAAATGAAAAGTGTGCTTTTAATTTGAAGTTTGAAGAAGATACATTTTCTGTCCATCAACTCGAAAATGCTCATTTCAACTTCAATAATTAATTAATCTTGTCTGCTTGTCTACAGAAACAAAACTTTACAAATTTAAACGTGATCTTTTCTTCTTGATTTTGACCTTTGAACATCGCTGGTTTTCTAACACAAACACAAAATAGTTCAATGTTTCCCGAGTGGATTTAGTTTTGAAAAGGCTTTGAAGAATTTCACTGTGAAAAGGGAAAAAAAACTTAATGAAAATGATGACAGGAGTTTGTTCTTGACTTTTTGAGTCGACTCCTCTTTCCGTTCCCCAGATGTAGCCGTGCCTCACCCGGACAAGAAGAGTGTCATCATGTACGTGACGTCACTCTTCCAGGTGCTCCCCCAGAGCATTTCCATGGAGGCCATCAAGGAGGTGGAGACTTTGCCGCGGGCGGGCGCAGCAAACATCGGCAGGGTGACGACAGAGGAGCACTACCAGATCCAGACCCAGCAGCGTTTCTCCCAACAGGTTGGATACAAGCACACACATTGATTCATTGGTGCGGTTACTAAGGTTGCCATGTGATGATGTTTTGGCTCACTGTTTTTGGCTTTTTAGCAACTTGAGGTTTTTTCAAACTGCAATATTACCTTGAAGCAATTTTCATAAATATTTGAAGTCCCTGTGCATCGAAAGAATAAAACTTCTTCTTTGTTTACTTGAATATCTTCTTGCATACAGACAATCTGTCAGGAGTAGAACGTGGAGAGGTTAATAGGATGAAATTGGCCAACTTCTGTATGTATTTGGAATGAATACTCGTCAGCCTCTCACTCATCATATAGCATTTTTTATGGGATCGTCTCCTTCTTTTGCCACATGAAGTCAAAAATATTCCCCTTTGAATGAAGTTGCTCCATGTTTAGCAGGTCTTCTTGTTTATTATTGAGCATTGCTGTAAAACAAATGAACCTCCAACAGACAAAAAGACAGGACTTTATCATTTGAAACCAAAAGTAACGAGCCCTACATAACGTCACAGTGCATGGTATCCCGTTGCCATAGTAACATTCTACATGTGTTGCTGTGGTGACATCTGTTGGATTGACCCGCCTGTCAATCATCATGAGAACAAGTCGATGGTGACGGTGGCTTCTTGACTTGAGTGTTTGTGTTCTAACTGTTACCATGAAGGTTTGCTTGCAGTGTTTCTGTGCTTTGCTTTTGTACACTCACTTGGTCTTTATAGATGCTTCTTCACATTTACAATCATTGCTTTGTTGTTGAGGCAGCGCCCACACTAAACAATAACACTCAAGTAGACTCTGTAGTATTGCATATTATACAACTAAATGACTGCAGCTGCTTGTAGACTGCATATTATCAGCTACAGAACAGGATTATCTGTCCCAGTTACAAAACGAGTTTACACTCCTCCTTAGCATCCCGCCAACCTGCCACTTTAGCAAGATTACTAAGTGGGCTTGTGAAATTCCCAGCAGGACCCTCTTTCTGTTGAGGCTTTTTAGTGAAACCACAGGAATGAAATAAAGTGAAGGGGATGATCCCTGCTCTGAAATGTCCTCTGAGGTTCCTTTTATCAGCGCTGTATGGTGGCAACACCAACAACAGAATAAATCAAAGCATTTCTACAGAGGTTTAATATCTCAGAGAGTGAATTTGATAATGAAGGGTCGGGTAACCGTACTTAATTTTGACATCCCTCCGAGCAACACAAAGATAAGAGAAGATCTAAAACTTGTCTTTCCCTGCAGTTATGCAAATAAAATGAAGGCGCTAACCAGCAGCCGCACATGCTCACAAGCATTGTTAAAGAAATTATCAAAAGCTGTTTATTTTGAATGATAAATTGGATAATTAGTAGTTTGATAGCATATTTACTTCTCTGTGGTATCACAAAGTTAAAGCTTGTTTCCTGAAGGAAGCAGCAGTGAGCTGATTATCCAAAGCACTTTAATTACAAGGCATGATAAAGAGGAGAAACTGCAGAATAATTATCAAAATAATGTGATTATCAGCAAAGATTTGAGTTGGGAAATAATCCAAATTATGATATGCACCCCATGAGAAGATAAACTCACTGCTTTACTGCTCCAAATCTACTTCTCATTATACCACTGCTGTTGGGTGTACTTTAAAACTAAACAGTTCATTTCTTCACTCTTCCACTGATATGTTTGAAAGAAAGAAAAAAAACAGTGTAACAGAGAGTTGAAAATATTACTTTCACTTTTGTTTCTTTTGCAGCTTTAGGCTGATAAAGAGCAGTCAAAAAGAGAATTTATTGTAATACAGATGCAGATATACATTTAATGTCAGATTCATCAACAGAGTGGATAAACCGATATAGCTATATTTGGATTGAACTGGTTTACTGTTTGGTTTTCCTTTCCTGTATTGATAAATCTCTTATCTGGGCCTATATGTCACCAGTTGGAATTTGTGAGCATTGGAATGAAAATGAAGCGTTAACTGCGACTGAAACTCTGAATGAAAGAGCTGTATGAAGGCACAAATGAGCTTTACCGGCACTGACCTTTAGAGCCCAGTTAAGCTGAGGTCAGTGTCATGCTATCGCGCCAAATCGCAGCAGGATGGAGAGAGCTTCCTGGAGTAATGGCTGGTAATATTATTATCTCACTCAGTTTAATGGCCACATCAACCCCTCCCTTCACCAGCACTCTGTCTGAGAGCAGAGAGAAACGGCATGTCTTTGTCTACTGGGAATCACACGGACGAAGAGAGAAATGAAGATGAACAGAGAGGAAAAAGTAGAAATAAAGGTAAACAAACACAAGAGGGCAAAGAGAGGAAGTGTAGGAGGTGTGAAGATGTAAAGGAAGATGAAAAGGTGGAGAGCAGAACAATGAAGAGTGAGATGGAGCAGACAAATAGGGAGCGTGAGGAACAAGTCAGACAGCAATAAAACGAGAGACGAGAGGAGGAAAAAAAAGAGTAACTGACAACATCTATTATCTACCTCCCCCCTCATCTGTCATCATCAGAGCCGCGCTGTCACCACCTCCTTACATCAACACTATACCACCACCACCTGGGACTCAGCAAGAAGGAGACACTCCATGGAAAAAATGCAGGGAAATTTACTCAAAGCAAAGTTTGAGAAAATTGTACAAAAACTTGACAAGGTCAGCCTTTTCTGTAATGTTGATTCGTGTGCCCTATTGCACTAAAACCCCACCAAGAGAAGGTAGAAACTCTTTGAGGGCTGGATCGCCTCTGGCTTTCTGCTCTTTACAACAAGGAAACCGCCTAATCCACCTTGAAAGAAAAAAAGTGGAAAACTGCAAGGGGTTGAAACACAAGCAGAGGACAGGCAGAGAACACTGACAGGTGAGGAGAAGAAGAAAAGAGAGGAGGAGGACGGAGGTGAAAGGGGAGATTGATGGCTAGGGAGAAAGAGCAGAGACGGGAAGAGATTAAACTTTTACGATGTCTGTGGTGGAATGGTTGACTTGGTTTTAGCGATGCAGAGGCGGTCAGAAAAGGCGGCTTGGGAATGTCAAACAAGCAGGAGAATCAGTCGTCAATTAGATGTTATCTGTCCTTCTGAAGTGAGAGCTCCGCTTCTGAAATATGACACCTGTAAATTTAGAGTGCTGTGTGATTTCAGGATGAAGTTGCCTTGCCTGGATGCGTCTTTGTGTCGTCATACTTTAGGCAGTATTGTGCCTCTACTGTAGTGACAAAGTTTGTTGGATTTGGCATTCTCAACCGTGGACAATTTTTCAATGAGAGAGCCGTTTGAGTCATTAAAGTAAGTTGAATATATCACAGAAATAATGACTCTGGCTCTGACTTGCACTTTAGATTCTATTTTCTGTTGTTGCTGAGTCATCCTCAGACTAATGAAGTATTTATGTAATTGCCTCTGTCTTTGAGTAGACCATGTTAAGTGTTAATGCACATGAAGAAGCAGCGCTGAAAGGCACAAACACAGTCATCCCCCATTTGTAGATTCCAAATGACACAGTAGCTGCACAGCCAACTGTGAGTTATATCCAAGAGGCTTCTTTTAAAACTGTGTGCTCCCTGCACACTTAATGAATCATTAGTGACTCATTGGCATTTTTAATAAGCCATCTTTTTTAGATTTCATCAGGCATGTTTAACATCTGGAAAGGTTCAGGATTATCACTCTTAAATGAATAATGCAATAAAAGATTGAGTTTGTGTGCAGCTCACCAACACTTCAGGTGAACTTCTTTCTAACTTCTGCCAAAAGCTGCCGCTCTGCACTCTCAGCTCTGCACTCTCAGCTCTGCACTCTCAGTTCTGCACTCTCAGCTCTGCACTCTCAGCTGACCCCAGTCAGGATGCAGACAGCTAAGGTGGCTCTTTATACAGAGGAAACAATCTGCTCTCGCAACACTTCAAAAGCTTATTAATAAACACGTTAAATCTCATATGTTAATCCAAATGCAAATAAAACTGCAGAGAAAAATTAAGTAATGCTGATATGTAATTGGTTTTATCCAGGAGGGCATATTATAGCATATTTCCGCCCACGCACAAAAAGGAAACATTTAATAAACTTTGCTGCATCATAGCTAATAAGTCATTAATCACTTAATGTAACTAAAAGCTGTTATTAAAGCCTGTAACAAAGCTGTTTCTGTTTGGTTGATACATTAACTGATGGGAGCTTTTAAGGCGAGATCAAGAATTGATCTCTTCCCTTCTCTCATGAGTTAGCCAACCACAAGAAAAAGCTAAACTAAAAAATGAGTTCAAGCTCAAAGCATGAGGCATCATCTACTGATTAAACATTTAGTGAGATCTAATAACTTAAAGATCAATCGGTTGTTTGCGAGCTAATAAGGGACAGATGAGGGTAGATTGCTAAAGACTTCAGTTTAACAACAATGCTCCTAGTTGGGACTACATTTTCCTTTATGAATGTGAAGCTGGAAGCTGACACACGGGCCAGTGATCTTTTTCCCACCAGGTTTTTCCCCCTCAAACCATTGTGTAAAAGAAGTGACGAGATCAGCAGACAGAGAAGGAGCCGTTGATGTGTGGACGTTTGTGGATGATCTGTTGGAGCTGGACATTGTTTATTAGACAGGAGCTGCTCACAACAACAACAACAACAACAACAGCTTTCATTCTGTGCTTCTGTCTTCCGCACAACACATCTGCTCTCTCTGTCTCACTGTCATGTCAGCTTTATATGTCGCCGAGTTTCCATCCATGGATGTTTCTGAAGAATTAAAGTTGAAAACAATAATACCTCATCATATTTCTACTCAAATGTCTCTTACCTTTACAGTTACATAATCATCTGTGGTGAAAACTAAACATGCCTTGGTATTCTACTAATTCTACTTCTACTTGTTTCAATAATATTACAATTCTGAAATATAATTTTATGTATTTCTTAATACTTTAAAACTACCACATTTAACAGGGAAATGGTGTTTCTGGGTATTTACCATATTATAATTCATTCAAAATGTATGATCCACAATCAAATCACTTTTTCTTCATCTTTTTGTGAATATCTACAAAATGAACTATGTTAAGGAAGAGTGCTGTTAGAAGTGGAGACCCACATGGCTACACAAAACAGACTTTACAATCTATCATCTATCAACCAACCGTAATCGTTAAAACACACAAATAAATCTTTTTCCTTTTATCTGAGCCTGATGACAAAGTAACTCAAACTACTAAATACTTAAAGACTACAAATACTTCATTGAATCTAGCTAAATGTGTCATAACTTTAATCCGGCTCATTACCTGATTCTGTCTGGTTTTAATGTACAAAGAAAGTCGAAAACATTTTAATTCACAACTCGACAATGAACATATAGATCAAACTCCCTCTTTTAAATGAAATGTGTTCAATTCTTCTGAACATACTTAAACTTCAGTGTAATTATAAATCTGTTCCTTATAGAGACTTCTGAGATGTTGATGGTTCACACCAAACATCCTGAGCTGAACAAGATGCCCGAGACGGTTTATTAGTCTTGTTGTTCTTTTCCAGCGAGCATTAAAGAAGGCAGCACTTGTAACAGTTGCTTAAATGAAAGTAAATTACTACTTGCCCAAAATAAATTTCCGAGTCTTTCCATTTCTCTTGTGAATGTGTTTTTCGACACTCTGGTAATGGAAATGCAGCTAATCTGTATTTCTAAAGTTCAACTAAAATTAGCTTGACATTTGGATGGAAACAGAGCTTTATATGTGATTATTCATGTTTCTTTTTTTCTTCTCTTTTCTGCTTCTCTGCCTCATCGCCACGCTCTTCCTGGACTTTCTCCTCTTTTTTTTTTCCCATCTCTTTCACTTTGCTCCTTCATTTTCTGCTTCTTCTTCGTCTGTGTGATTTGGCTTTGTGATCCATCGCTCTCTGTTTTACATTCTTTCGCCTGTCTTCTCTTTGCTCTCCCACCAACACATTTCTCTCTCTGTCTCTGTCCTCTTCTCTCCATCTCTCTCTCAGATCACAGTGAGTGTGGCTCAGGGCCGAGTGCGGAGCCCCTCCCCTCAGCCTCGCTATAAAAGCTATGCCTACACCCAGGCTGCATATGTCAAGTCGCCCGAGCAAAAGAGGAGGCGTTTTACTGATCAGGTCCGTGTCTCGCAATGCTAACACTCCACGCCAAACGTCCGCCTGTCGGAGCATGTTTTGGCTGCACACCTGTTGTACCGTCTGTCCTTGTTTGTCTGTCATATACAAAAAATGTCCAATCACAGCAAGCCTCCAAAAGAATGAGTCTTCATCCCGATGCATCTTTACTCGTAGCTATTGTAAGATTAAAAAGTGGTTTGTCTTATGCTACTCCCCAACTTCCCAAAGTGAAGACCCTTTGGAAATTTAAATTCCTTTCTTTTTTCTTTTTTTTTTTTTACTTGAAGTGGTGAAGACTTATGAGACTTGTTGACTTGGACATTTTTTGCGTTCTGTTTTAATTCATGACTTGTGTGAACTGCTTTGCCAAATTCCTTTAAGCACTTCACGAGTTAGAAGTGGTGCTAACTTGCCTATGGGGTCTTGGTTTAACCAGCGGTGATGCAGACAGCCGTTTCATACTTTCTTGACAAGAGAGTTCAAAGTTTAGCATAGCTTAGCATCAAGATTTGCAAATCCATTGCTGAGAATCTTTAAACGAATAACCAAATCAAATTCAAACAAACAGTTCTGCTTTTTACAAAGAAAGCTTTTCAATGTCGGTGTCAAGTTGCAATATTAATCAAGCTTTAACAAAAACATATCACAGCAAACATCATGTTCCTAGCTCTACATGGAAGGACTTCCTGTTCTTATCAAAGCAATGACAGAGCTAGTGGACTGTTGGCAAGTTAATCTTCTAGCATGTTTACAGCCAGCTGACTATTTCTCCACTGCAGCAGCCGGTAACACAATGAAACATCCTCTGTGCTGCCACCCGTCTGGTACTTTTTTGATGTGTCCCTTCTACTCCAAAACATGACATTTCCAAACGATCAGATGTCTTTTCAAAGCGGTCATCCTGCGCTGCGTGACTAAATGTTGCCCATGATTTACTCAGGCTCGGGTGGAAAGTATTCCGAGACTGTGTCAAATATTGAATGTATCAGCGGGGGGCTTGACTCGACTTGGCTGGCACCTAAAAGGCCTTGCAAGAAGAAAAGATAATTTGTCAGATTATCCTCCCTGTAGCACACCCACTGTTCTTTGAAATGGAGGATGTAAAGCAGAACCTAGCACACAAAAACTGTCTCCATGCAACAAAGTTTCTCATCTCCAGGAAATGAGGAACAGAGATGACATTTTACAACACATTGTCCTCAGATAGCATCAGAAAACCGTGTATTCTAAGGACAACATAGCAGAGTTACTCTTTAGAATCATTCTTCATACCTGACATTTAATTCATTTTTTAATTCGGAACAAGATTCAAATTCTGTCAGAAGACTTCTCCAGCACACATTTGATAAACAACACAGACAGAGAGCAGTGCTGACTGTGGCTGGACGGTTATCAGCTCCGTGGAAGGGCCCTGTGTATCTTTTCAGAACCTTATTACCGGCGAGAAGAATAGAGTGAGAGGAGGAGCGTAGAGCAGAGATAAAAAGAGAGAAGTTGTTCGTGTCCACATCAGTAGCGGGCACACAAAGAGAGATATGGTGAGAGAGTGGAAGAGAGAGCCGGAGAGCAAGAGGACCAGTTGTTAAGGTTGGACAAAGGCCAGAACTGCTTGTCTGCACCAGTAATGGAAAACACTAACAGGCCTCTCCTCGTCTCTCTCCATCTTCTCTGCCTCCCACCTTTCCTTCATGCTGCCTGTTGTTTCTTTTTCTTCTTGCCTCCCTACCTCCATGCTCCTTCTACTTTTTGCATATTTTTCTGTTTCCTTCCCTCTCTTCCTTCTCCATTCTCTCCATGTCTCAACACTGACGCCCTTTATTCCTCCTCTTCTCCTCACATTCCTCTCCACAATCTCCCTCTGTTATCTCCCCTCCTTACTCCATCTTTAGTTCCTCACTCCCAGCCAGGAGGAGCTGCAGCGGGGCCTCAGCCCTCTGCCACCAGGCTCCACCAGCCTGGAGAGCTACCAGGCTGCACTGGAAGAGGTATGGTGCTGATCATTGATGAACTCTTGTTAACTCTTCTTCTGTTACTTAACAAATAGAGCCAAAACAACAATGATTGCATACTACTATAAAGTGTTGTATGTCCATTCAACGAGCTAAAAGTATCATAGAGCTCCATGTGTTTAAAACAAATCTTTAAGACGTATCAATTCAGCCCACTGTCACAATGGCTGATGTGTTTCCCTGTTGTTGTGAACTTGTGGGGTCTTTTGCCTGCTTTTTGTAAAGACAACATTTGTTGTGAATTGGCGCTATACAACGATTGATTGATTGATCATATTTATGTGAATTTGAAGGTTTTGACGTGGTTGCTGTCGGCTGAGGATGGACTCCAGGGCCAACCTTCAATCTCGAACAACGTGGAGGAAGTGAAGGAGCAGTTTCACACACATGAGGTGAGAGCTAGAAGAGTCAAATCCTGGTTTGACAAACAATAATGTTATGAGAACAACTTCTCCGTTGTTCTTAATGGAGCAGTGTTTATGTTGGAAATACAGTTCCACACTTTGTCGAGCGGTGCCAAAGCACTGACATCCTAATTAAAAGAAGGCTTGAATTGGTCAAACCATCATCATTAATTTTCTAATTCTTTTGTCCATAACTGAGCATCTCTTTGATATCATAAAGACAAGTTAGGCATATATAATGGGCTGTTAAATGGAGCAACATAATGAGATGTTAAATATTTTGAAATGAGAGTTTCTCGCAGTCATAACAAAACAACAATTATGTTCCCCTGCAGTAGCTGTAAACAAGCACAGCACATAGATTGTTTTCCCTTTCTACTCAGTTCTACAGAGGCAAAACCCAGCCGCCCCCCCCCCCCCCCAAAAAAAAGGAAAAAAAAAAGAAAGCAACAACAACAAAGACGTTATAGTAATAGCAGCAATCATTCCATAACAACATACCATCTCCAATAAGTAGAAAAACGGTGTAGTTAGAGACAAGAATGAGCCTCTTTGAGCATCACTAAAGGTCCAGGCTTGAGAGGCTGCTGTAATGAGTGTAAAGTGGCCCTTCATCTAAAAAAAAAAAAAAAAAGACTATATCTGCTGTTAGTTGGTAGAAGGCAACAAACAAGAAGACAATGACACATTGAAAATCAAAGCTACAAAAGTACTTTTGAACAATAAGCAAATTCCTAGGTGCCCTGAATAGTTACAGAGTTCTGTAGGTCTCATATAAGGAACAGAGTTTATAACTCATTTTGAATTGATGTGTGGAGTTTCAGCTCTTACAGCACAGACCAGCTGTTTTAAAGCTCCTGTAAGTGTTCAAATAAGACTGATGAATGTGGACTTACAGGAACACTGGCTTGCAATCGACTTTTTATGCTCTGAAAATTAAATTAACCCTGACCGGTTCTCTGTGTGAGACCCTAGAAGGATCATATAAGAGTTAAGTGCTTGAGGGAGAATAGATTAAGAACTAAAGCGGGAGGTGGAAGTGTGTTTGGAGAGCAGTTAAAGGGAATGGTGAGAGGTCATTCAGTGGGAGTACTGATGTGAGGCACTACTCTTCTTACAGATGAGCAATTAGGCAAAATGAGTATGACTATGTGTGTGAAATGTGTCTGTGTCTCACCAGGGGTACATGGTGGAGCTGACCACTCACCAGAGCAGCGTGGGGCGGGTCCTCCGGGCTGGAGCTGCCCTGCTAGGGGAGGGGAACCTGAGCGAGGACGAGGACTCAGAGGTCAGGGAGCAGATGAACCTCCTGAACTCGCGATGGGAGCACCTTAGAGTTGCGAGCATGGAGAGACAGAGCAGGTAAATATTTATGGTCCTTGTTAGCCTGCATGTTCAACAGAGGCTAGCAAGGCCAATCCCTCTGCAGAGCCCAAACTGTTTCCATAAGGAGGAATGTCTGCAAATTAAGAAAGAATGCATATTTAAAAATGGATACAAGTCCACAACAAATGCAACAATCAAAACCTGCTGCAAAAGAAAGAAAACGACTGCATTAATCTGTCAATTTCTATCATCGTCTTCAGCTGTCCAATGATTGACTGAGTCTGTGTGCTTCTGATTTTGCATGATGTTTTATATTTGCAATAAATAAGCTGTACATGCAGATGTTCTGTATGATTGCAGCACTTTCTTTCAGTTACAGCATGTTTCTGTTGTTGTGGGGTAATTCCTAAAACTGATGGTCTGACACCCATACCCTGACAACTTTCTAACATGTTCCATGCTGATATATACCGTCACAGTTGAAGTTTCTGGTGTAAATTAATCTAGACCAGCAACAGATGTAAGTAGCATATCTGATGTAAGGCAAAGTCATGCCGTCACATAGAAAGATGTTTTCCTTTCCAATTATGAGAATGAACAAAAGAGTCAGAGCTCTCAAATAAATAGTTTGGAATAAAGAGACCTTGTGAAGAATAGTCATATTGATAGAATGTATTCTCCAGTAAAAGATGTTGAGACAAACTCAAACACATATAGAAATGATGTCAATCATATCTCGTAAACTTCATTATGAACTGTACATGTTTTGTTCTATCTTCATTTAGGCCTCTAAATAAAGTGTCATCTTTTTACACACAATGAAAGAAGGTCTCCACAGTAGCCAACATTCATGGACACAAAGAGCCGCGGCCTTTCTAATCATGGTGAATCGGATGATAACTGACACCGAGCCAAATTTAATTAACTGTTGAGCTATCTCCTTTGATAATCTTGTGATTCAGGCACAAAGCTTTGCAGACATGGCCTTGACTACCAAATACCACTTAGACAAGACAGCCCAGGTCTGCTGTAGTGCAGGGGTGAATGTGAGAGCAGGATGGGTGATTTTAAAAGTTTCTACCAATTAGATGAGCAGCAGTCACTGCTTGGGGCATCAGCGTGTTCAACCAGACCTTCTGCTCTCTGAACTGTTCTTCGGCAGGACTCCGGTTTTGATCATGGCGAGCCCTGCAGACTCGCCATGTGAGTGAAACAAGCTGACTGAATTTTCTTTCATTCTCAGACTCCATGAGGTCTTGATGGACCTGCAACACCAGCAGTTGCAGCAACTCACAAACTGGTTAGACGCGACTGAGGCGAGGATTAAGAGGATGGGGGCTCAGCCACTGGGTCCCGACCTGGAGGACGTCAAGCACCAAGTGGAAGAGCACAAGGTGGGCTGAGCCCTGTTTTTTAACATGCCTATAAACTAACCCAATGCAACATGCTGTTATTAACTTAAAGTTTAAGTCTTTCAAATTCTTAGTCTATCAAAGTTTTCATAATAAACAAGTGGTCATGTACGGTGGCCGGTAGGGGTCAAATGCTCAGCAACTGATGAAACGACATACATATAGAAAAACGTGCAGCATATATAGAAATGCTGCACATTCAAAAGCAAATGCAAACTACCACAACAAATGCAAAGACACAAACGCGCTGCAAAGACACGAACACGCTGCAAATAGGCAAAACAACTGCATAAGCATCAAACGCGCTGCAAGTACAGAAACGAAACTTAAGTCAAAACACACACAACCAGAAAACAACTGCAAACACAGAAACGCTGCAAGTTAATCCTTAAACGGAAGTGCTCCAGGCCTGTAGGGGCGCTGGAACTGTTCATTTTGGTTTATTTACGTGAGAGAGTAAGAGAGACAGCTAGGATCAGAAAGTTATGTTTAGATAGGGAAGTTGTATCGTTGAAAGACACAGGATAACTTCAGTGTTACTGAAACGCAGAGATAAAGCGAGTCCGGGGTCGGGGACGAGATCTGTACATTTGCTTTTGAATGTGCAGCGTTTCTATATCTGCTGCGCGTTTTTCTGAATGCATGTCGTTTCGTCAGTTGCTGATCGTTTGACCCCTACCGGCCACCGTAGTCATGTGTTTAAAAAAACAGAGTTCAGATGTTACAGTTTGTGTAACTCTGTGTTATGACAGCTTCCTTTAGTCCAACAACATGCATCAGTTCAGAATTTATTCTCTGAAGTTTCAGTTCATTTCATGACTAAGACCCTTTCAGCCAACAAATGCAGTTATTTCCAAAAGTCTCAATTTCTGCCCATGTATGCCACACTCAACGTGGACGGTCCTCAAATGGGTCAACAGCTTTTTCAAAAGTCTTTGTTTTATTGGCCTGATATGCTGAGTACTGTGGATTGGCACAATGAATGGAAGCTAGCATGCTCACTGTGTATCAGGTAATATTCAGTAATTCAAGGTACGCTGTAGTAGGGAGACATTACAAAAAAAGTAACAGCTGACCAGTTTACCTCCGTGTAGTAGTTGAGTAGTTACAGGTACGCTTGTGTGGGAGAGGTTAAAGGTTCACTTATTTTAAGTTATAAAGAAGGTTAAGCAACCCTTCGTGTCTTAAATGAATTGAAAGCACTCAACACGTGGTGGCACTACTGTGTTTGATGTTTGGACAGAAAGTTCAGAGTTTTGTGTTTCTGTTTTTACACTTAAAAGACGAGAGACAGAAAATGGACTTGGATTGGCCAAATGACCCCCCCAATCATAAAGCTGTACCATTTCACCTCAAACACAGCTGTCAATCATCTCAAAATCATACGTCTACCACAGACAGAAAAACAGTACTCTGGGGTATTATGTCTTTGTGTTTTGTCGGAGTAAATATTGCAATTCATGGTCACGACTATAAGGACAAGTTTGTAACTTCTGCTTTTCTTTGAATTCACTGTTTACAGCTGAGTTTAAAGTAGAAGATGTTGTAAGGGGGTAGATCAAATAGTGGTAAGGTCACGCTCATGTATAGAGGTTATAGCCCTCCAAGCAGGCGGGCAGGTCATTCTCCACTCTCTCTATTTCCTGCTCTATCCACTGTCTTATCAAATAAAGGCAAAAAGCCAAACTCACTTCGTTTTTTTCCTTGTTTGGTGACCGTATACAATCATGAGCATGAAGATTTAATATATGTATTCTCATGAACTCAAAGCTTCGAGTAAGCATATCTTTCTCCCTGCTCTTCTCAATGTCATCTTGAGATGTGGTACACATTATATTGAACTTGAGCTCTGAAAAGTTTCTGAACTTTAGTAAATTCTGTAATGATTATGAACGGATAATTTAAGGCAGTCTTCAACCACCTGCGTCTGAGATTTTTGGATCTGCTGCTTTATTCCATCGTCATTGTTATTAGAAAATCTTTGAGTTTCTCTCTTTAAAAAGAAGAACAATTGTATCATTACTTATGGGAGTCTGGGCTTTTGATTGATGGTAAAATACCTTACTCTTTGTCTGTTAACATTACAAAAGAGCAGGTAAAAGACCTTACTCATTGTTATGTTACAAAAAGCAGGTAAAAGACCTTACTCATTGTTATGTTACAAAGAAAAAAAATATGTGATAATATGTGAATGTGTACATGATTTATAAAGTGTAGAAAATGAAAGCATAAATCCACTGAAGAGTGTTCATACAGTCACAATGACAGTACAGTATGAAAGACATGAAAGAAAAAGACCTCCAATAAATAACACAAGATGGAGCTTTATTCTAAATTTGAATTAAGTTTTACGCTGAAATGTGAGTGTTGAGGGCTTAAAGACGGTTAAAAAGATCCAAAGATAACATTTAAAGAAGTATTAAAGGCTGGAGATGGCCCCTTTCAGTCTCAGATGTCTTAAATGAGCCGAGCTTATTGAAGTTTCTGAAAGGAAATGTAAAAAAAAACTACACCAAATCAAGGTGTCAGGCAATACACATTTTTTGAATAGGACTTGAAGGGTGCAAGGCCAAAATAATCAACATTTTCTACCATGTTTAAGTCTGTCACAAAAAAGTCAAAATGGTATTTGTAGTGATGATTGCAGTGTTCAGGCACAACTTCGTTCTGTTCTTACCGCCTGCAGGTTTTAAAAGGCATCAACAGTGTTTTTGCTTCTGTTGCTTCCAGACATTTGATTTCTTCTGGGCTTTACTGACATGCTCGTCTCCATGTGTGTGTTGCAGCTCCTGCAGGAGGACCTGGAGCTGGAGCAGGTGAGGGTGAACTCTCTGACCCACATGGTGGTGGTGGTGGACGAGAACAGTGGAGACAGCGCCACCGCTGCTTTGGAGAGCAAACTTCAGGTGAGGACATTAATATTTACTGTTTTCTTTATGGACCTGACACTTAACCTGATCATAAACTAAACCATCTACCTAAAAATCCAGATTTTATAGATCCCCAGGTTTTTATCCCCGTTTGAAAAAGCTGTCCTGACTTAAGAGCAGTTAGTCATTTTTCCATTCAAGAAGGCTCAGATGAACCTGCGCACCTACACATATACACCTCACTCTTGCTCATTATGCTCACTATGCAGACAATTGCTGATCACACAAAGCTTTGGGGAAATTTTGTAGGAAGACAAATATCTTGAGGCCTAATTTTCCACTAATTTTAATAGTGTTTCTCTCTCACTCGCTCTCTTGTTCTGTCTGAGTGGGAGTGGGCTCGGCACACTGCTGTTGTTTCTCTGGGAAAATAGATTGAACGGGAGATAGTTTTGTTTTTGGTGTTGTGTTGTAATTAGACCTTGCCAGAGAGGTGTGTGTGTGTGTGTGTGTGTGTGTGTGTCTGTGTGTGTGTGTGTGTGTGTGTGTGTGTGTGTGTGTGTGTGTGTGTGTGTGTGTGTGTGTTGCATCTTTCTGCTGATTTTGTTTACTCTATAAGTCATCATTGCACAAACTCCAGCTAAGAGCCCAACTCTGCTGCCTGTTTGTACGGTTAATTTTCCACGCTTGTCTTGGTCCCTGATGCATGGGCCTTAGTTCCCCTTGTTAACTCCCAGAGTATAAAGCTGAAATCTATTAAAACTACAGCCGCTGATCTCCACCTCCGTCTAATTCACTAGCCTTAATTGCAGAACGCTGCCCTGTGTCCAAGCACCGTCACACTATCGCACTCCTAGTCTGAGATGCAGATGTTGGAAGGTGTTTCTCTCTGAAATTGATTAAATATGAGAGAACGCATCACAAACAATTAGACCAGCATCTGTACCTGCATGAAGCATAGAAAATGTCATCAACATCTTCAGAATATCAATTGTATAGATTCCTGAGTTGACTGTTTTCAGGTTAAGGAAATGCCTATACTGGGGTTTAAGAGGTTTAAGTTAGATGATCTTTAGTTTTTAGCAATAGCCTAGGCAACCTTTTTTAAGTTTACGTCCATGTAGCAAAACATTTTATCCAACTTACAAAACTTAACTATCATTTCACATCAAATCATTAATGTGAATATTTGAAGATAAACAGAAAGTAGCTCTCATTCTTCAGTCTGGTCCAATCAGCTGATACAGAAGGAGAGGTGTAATTAGATGATCTAATTAAAAAACCGACTCCAGTCGAACTTGAAATGATGATTTCACCTAACTTTCTCCAATTTCCAAACTAAAAAAAAAGACTAAAGTCAATTTTTTTAATGATAATACCTCTCAGATAACACTGGCCTTCATCACAATCCTAATGAGCACATAGATGGACTACCAGCTGGGCAGAGTGGACATGTGCCAGGATAAGTTTGGACTTTTTCTTTGTTCTTTAAAGTGTTTAAATCTATGAAAGAATAGACCCTGTTTATGGAGTAATTCATAGAAAAATGATATGTAGATCTTAATGCCAGATCCTGGATTTCCAGACATGTACATTATAGCTGTGTCAGGCCTCAGGCTCTGTGCTCATGATATTCTGTTACATAGGATGAGCAGTGATGTTGGACTTTCAGGCTTTCTTACAGATAAAAGTTTGTTTGAGGCTGTCCACACACTGAGCTGCACATGATATGAACTGATTAAGACCTGGGGGTTGTTGGGAGGAGAAACGCTGGAAGTCATGGTGATTTCATCTGGAGAAGTTCAGTATATTGTCTTCTGGAAATGTGCGAGTGAGCAGTCTGAGGTACATTTGGACAGAGCCGGCGATGAACAAGAACAGGAAATGAAGAAATGTAGATAATTGGATGCGACTGAGACTTTTCCTTGGGGAGAAAAGGTTTGAGGAGCTGTGGATAAAAGTAAGCTGCTCTGTACTGAAAGCAGATTAGCCCAAAATGAGAATCTCTCCTCCCAAACTTTAGTCACTTCCAAAAGAACAGTCATTTGCATGAATATATTAATGCAGCTGCGAGTATCTTGAATTCAGCGTGTCATATTAAGCGATTTCAATGCAGAGCACGCCTAAGTTGTTCTGCATGCAAAGTGTAATCTCACTTAACATCATTAGAAACCAAATGAAAGTATGTGTTTGAGCTTTAGCTGGCATGGTTTCCTGCAGTGCAGTCTATTGCAAAATACAAAATAAGAGAGATGAATAGATGAGAGAGAGTAGATGAGAGAGGGCATCGTGTACTGGAATGTAAAAATGCAAATAGAAGGTGCCTTCCCTGCTTTCTCCCGCTGTTCCACTGTCGCTTGATTAATTACAGGCCATTCATCTTAAGATTAACCTGCTGAGTCTCTTTCTCCATGTCTGTCTCGAGCCGCTCGCTTGTCCCTCACTTTCTTTCTACATCTCATTGTCTTTTCATTTCCTCCCCGGCCTCCCTCTGCCTCTCCGTCTCTGATGACTCTGTTCAGTGGGCACTCTGAGGGCTTTCGTCTTTGCCAGTTAAATGAAACGGAAGAGTGTCTCTGGCATTCTGCTCAGCTAACAGTCATCTGCCAACATATCGATATGATGGAGACAAAAAATTAAGTTTCACAGCTCACAGATTCTGTGCTTGTGTCAGTGCTTCCTATGAGCCTGTCCTATAACTAATGTAACATTCAAACATGAAGACATGACATAGTTATAGAACCAACAAGTTAAGAAGTTATGTATGTAAGCAACCTAGAACCAACTGAATATCTACATGTGAAATGTAATCATCACTGAATATGTGATGTAAGAATTTGAATACCACTGAATAGATTACCATGCACTCTCTTATATCAGCAGGTAGAGCAGGTCATCCTTTTATTGCTGTTGTGCTTGTTTTCCATGTATGCCTGCTTTTTCTTTTTCTACATGTCGGGTATCATGATGTAAGTTCACTGAAATAAAGCTGCAAACTTCTCCTGGTCAGACTGGTTTAGGATTAAACTTGTATTTTGTCATGCACACAAATTGGATGAAAGCTATGACACACAACATGGCCTAAGGCTAATGGACAACCATTGAAGGCCTGTTGACAGGAGCCCCTCCTTAGTTTAGGCCATATCAAACAATCGAAACACATTTACATTTATGAAAAATAATAACAACAACAACAACCTGATGAGTAGTTCTTCAACCTTTTATTTCACCTTTTCATTTGATCATCATTAAACTCAACGGTCATTGTTCTTCATCTGAAACATCTACAGTCAGTGAATTTCATACGGTTGGATGGAATATAGAGATATTTTTGTTCCTGTCATCTCTGCATTTCATGCCCATCAAACATCATGATCGGCCCCGTCCCTCTGGGAGAGAGAGAAGCACGAATCAAACCGCTTTTTTGGCAGCAAAAAAAATTGAACTGGCAAGTTAAGACGTGAAACCATCAATGTTTGAGGCAATGTGATGAAAACATTTCAGTGACTCAAAAAGAAGTTCTGTGCTAATCTCGACATCAATCTGTGATTTATATTTTATACATATTGATCTGTTTGTGTGTGTGTGTGTGTGTGTGTGTGTGTGTGTGTGTGTGTGTGTGTGTGTGTGTGTGTGTGTGTGTGTGTGTGTGTGTGTGTGTGGTGCGTGCGTGCGTGCGTGCGTGCCTGCGTGTGTGTGTGTGTGCAGGTGCTTGGTGACCGCTGGGCAGCCATTTGTAGATGGACAGAAGAACGCTGGATTCTGCTTCAAGAAATTTTACTGAAATGGCAGCACTTCACAAATGAACAGGTAAGATGCCTCACCTTAGCTAAACTTTCAATCTTAATTTAACACCAAAAGAGGACTGCAGACTTTGTCCCCAGCGCTTCAATTAGACATGTACCAGAAGGGGATCTCTTCTTTATTTGAAACTTTTGACGAGCTATCCTGTCATAGATGTGTTCATGAGATTTAGAGAGATTTATTTAATGAGAATTATTAATGAGATGCTCTTTTGATATCAGAAATGAGTCATTTTTCCTCAGCTCTTTGTCTGCGACTTTTATTTTTAGAAGCTGATGACTTTGTAAAGGACATGAAATGTGTCAGGATATCCAATTTGTTTTTATTCTCTGGTTTCACAACTGAGGAAGCTCAAATCACAGCATCAGATTATACATGATTAAATGATCAATCTTAATTAAAACCCCCCTAACAGGATTCAGGTTATGGTCCCCCTTTGATTACTCTTAGATTTATTACATTTTAAGGCTTTAAAAATGAATTATACATTCAGCTGTAAGAGATATGTATTGTTTTATTTGCAGAAAATAGTGACACTGTCTAGGCATGTCATATATCACTTAAATAAAATCTATATTTTTGCTTTTTCTGTATACTGGGCTCACTCTTTAAAAACTCACTGTGTGCACTGTGTATTTATTTAAAGTCATACCAGTGTGCCCTAAACGTAGGACTGTAAGGCGCAGCATCATCCCATTTGATGAATAGTGATTACTCAGCTGCACACATAAGTGCAGAACCATTATGAAATAATCTCTTCACTGTGTTTCATTATGAGGAATCATTGGCTGCAATGGCTTCCAGACATCCATAAGAACCCGATTTAATTTGATTAATTATTCAAAACATCAGGAAATACATTGGATTCAATTTTCCCCCTTCTCTGGCTAAATGGTTGTTCAAGTAGCACCGCAGGCTCTGGATGTAAATGAACCGTCCGCTCGCTGATAACAGAAATGCTCACGTTATAATCCCGGGCAGAGGAAGAGATGCTGTAACAGACAATAGACCTGAGGAGGAAGCTGAAGTCAGGAGCTGTCTGTCGCAGCGGGAGACAATGACTCCAAGTGCACCTCCTTCCACATGATGAGATGTCTCCCTGCTCATGTCTCCTCATTTCCTGTCGTTCTCTCTTTATCCTGATCTCCTTTTTCACTACGTTCCTCCTCTCTTCTGTCTTCCTCTGTATACTCCTCTTTCATTTCTCTCACCTCTGATCATTTTTCCCTTTCTCTTTTCTCTTACTCTCTACTTATCTCCCTTTTGTTATCTCCTTTATTCTTGTATTCCCTTTCTATATATGTTTCTATATTTATTATCTTTACTTTTCTCACTCATATCTAATTTCAATCCTACCATGTCCTCTCAATTTTCCTCCCCTCTCCCTCTTCTCCTTCTTCTTCTCCTTCTGTTACTTTTACACTGTTCAACTTTATCATTTCTTCTCCTATATGTTTCTTTATCCACCTCATCTTTCCCCTCTCTTCCCTTCCTCTTCTTTCTGACCTTCTTTAATCTCCTATCCCCTTCCTTTATGTACTTGTTTATTTTCCTTGCAGTGTTTATTCGACTCCTGGCTGACTCAGAAGGAGGAGCTGGTTCGTTCCATAAAAACCTCCAACCTGAAGGACCAGGCAGAGATGGTGGCCTGCCTCCGCCATCTTGCTGTGAGTCTCCCTGCAACACGTCGACTCTCCTTTCTTGTTTAGCACAGAGAAGGAAAAATATAAGTCAAATATGTGTGTAAATTCTGTGTATGAATCTTTGTTCTTCTAGACGGTGAAGGCAGACCTGGAGTTGAAGCGCCCCACCATGGACAAGCTGTGCTCCATGAGTCAGACCTGCTGTCCAGCGTCAAGAACAAAGAGGTGGCCAGCAAACTGGAGGCCAGACTGGACAGCTTCGCTCAGCGCTGGGACCGCCTCATCCAGAATCTGGAGATGGGCAGCTCCCAGGTACACCACACATAGTCCGTTTTATAAATGATGTGTTTGGGTGAACTATAAATGGTGAACAGTTACAGTATTAAAGCTCTTATCGGAAAAAACAACCTCTGTGTTGCTTGAAGTGTGCTAAATAAAAATAAGGAGATAATAACTGTGTTATTAACTGAGATAATAACTGTGTATTATCTTTGTTCTGGCCAGAGCTAAAATGCTCATAAAAAATAGCATGTAAGAGTTATACTTGTAAACACATGTATTTTGTGTATTTAATCAGCAAACAAGTCTTTGGTCTGGCCAGGTCGAGACTCTGTCAGCACTGGTCCTCAGAGTTCAGAGTCTTGACTGTGTCTCTGTCCTAGCAGCAAGATGATTGCACTTTACCTAATTTACTTGTGGTCCTGGGTCTTAATCACTTTGTGATTAGGTAGAGTGAAAACCAGCTGGAAGTTGCAACTCAGGGACAAGTTAAAAACGGAAATCCTGATGAAATGATTGCTGCAGGAAGTGTGGATTAAACACTCCAGAATTAGATTTCTTTAGAGGAGTCTTTTCTTATCTGCTTCTTCTCCTGCATAAAACCATCAGAGTGCTCTTTACTGTTTTACAAACGACTGCTTTGGTTGAAAGCTCTACACATGAGCCGCTCTGGTTTCAATTTCGGACACACTGAGGTCACATTTATCCCTCTGTGATGAAACTCTGCCCCTTTAGCTGCAAGTGTTTGACCTGAGGGACAGAGGAAATCAACGGATTGTCTGGGTGATAGAGGTCAGAGGGCTCTGCTGCACAAAATGGAGATTATTGAAGGATGAAGAAGGCAATAAGGACATAAACTTGAATCGTCTAGAGCAAAAACCTCTGATGTTATGGATGTGCTTTCAACCAGCAGCAGCATACAATTATCACTCTTCATGATCAAGTGTTGGATTGTTAAATTGTCACTTCTTCCCCCCGCTGTTCTCTCATCTTCTTGTGTAACTACGCAGTAGAATCCTCTGCCTTTTTATCTCTCCATGTTTTCAAAAGGGCTTTTTAAACTGACATGCTCACTGACAAGTGATAAGATAAAGATAAAAGGCTTACGTGGTTTTTGAATTTGGCTGATGAAGATACTGCACTGTCATGTTGCCTTTATTCTTTATCCCTCTGGAGCGCTTCATGCTGAGCACTGAGTAAACTATAAGAATTATTTATATTGTAGGTGTGAAAAGAAGCATTTATGCCCTGAAGTTTGCCTTCTCAGTGCAAAGGAGGGAACTCATCTCTATGGAGCGCTGTTTTGTTTTCTTTATAAAGCTATAGTTTTCTTAAAGCAATTTATTGAATACAGGTCGAACATTTTCTGAGAGGCCTAAGTCTGGCAGATCTATCCTTTAACCACAGTATTTAGATACATCAACAAAGGAATATGACATGACTGTCTCCTAAATTAAATTGGTGTCTTTGTTGACATATTTAAAAAGGATAAAAAGAAAATTTCAGTTAATGTAGATTTGGTCTTTTCTATTTTTTTGAATTGTTGTTGACATGGAGTTTAAAATTAACCCAAATTCATCTGGAGACAACCTATATAAAGAACAACAGCAGCGGAGCACACAGCTGTTTGGCAAATAACAAAATGTAGAATAACACCAACACTGTCCTTTTAATTAGGAAATAAAAGGAAGAACTCAGAAGCTCATACAACAAGTCCAAACTGTTTTATGAAACGCAGTAAAAGACAACATCTTCAGGTTATTACGGTATAGGAAATATGAAATGCAGATCTCTTTGTCTTCTTCTTTCTCTCTCTCTCTCTCTCTCCGTCTGCCTCTCAATTATTTGTCCATTTTAATCAGTCAGATAATTAGCAGATTGACCTCCACAGACACACACACTCCACCTCCTCAGCAGAGCACACATATACACACGTTTCCATGGTAGCAAGGCTATCCCAGTCGTTGAACTCGCTTCTTTATTTTTATCAGCCTCATCTTTGCGAAAAACACACCTTAACACACACACACACACACACACACACACACACACACACACACACACACACACACACACACACACACACACACACACACTTTAATTACAAGAAAACAAAAAAGTTTTCATATAAACCTGCATAAAAATGTTCCCTTCTCAATCAAGTCTGGCTCCCAGAAATCCCAAACTGCTACTTAACCATCTCACAGCTGTCTTAGCACATACACACACACATATACACACACATACCTGTAGTTGACTGCATTCATGTGCTGGTATATTTTTGTGAAGATAATTTGTGATTTATACAACTGACCTTTGACTCATCGCCTCTCAAGGACACTGCCGCACTTTGTGTGTGCGTGCGTGCGTGCGTACGTGCGTGCGTGCGTGCGTGTGTGTGTGTAGGCACTCAGACAGATGTGGGAGTGTTTAAAGTGGTGATTTGGGATCTGTATGATTTTGACAGATCCTTGTAAACTGGTACAACACCTGCTGTCGCCTTCAGCTTGTTTACATTCATTTGTGTGCTTTTTTTTTGTGTGTGTATGTGTCTGTGTGTGTGTTTGTGTGTGTATTCAGCTCTCGTCGTCTGTCAGCCTGGCCCAGCAGTCCGAGCTCACCCACTCCGTCACAACGTCCGTTACCAAGGTTACGACGAGGGAGAAGGTGTCAGCCCTGCGCCAGACCCGAGAGTCACCGCCACCACAGAAGAAGAGACAAGTCGTGGTGGATTCTGAACTCAGGAAAAGGTGTGTGTGTGTTTTGATACTTTAAGAAGGTCAACTCTGAATTATAATTAGTATGGAAACATCAAAAGTGATTTTTTTTTCTAACTTGTGTGAAATGTTCAGTTACATGCACCCGTTTCTGCTCTCTTATCTCAGCAGGTAGGTGATGAAACAGATTCTGATAATGAGAGTTTGTGATGGTAATAATAGACGAGCCCTGAAATGAATCCTTTGATAGAAGTCAAGTAGGAGGTTCTCAAAGTCGTGTTGCATTTTGTAGTGAGTCGTGAAGAAAGTTACCTTAGAAGTAGATCTGTTATGCAGCAGTTCAAAGTCGGTTAGTCAGTTAAGAGGACCCTGGAAAATGTACGCTTCATTTCACCTCGACATTTCAGAGGGCAATGTTGAACTTTTCACCTTTACGTTCAATCAAATCAAGTATTCACATTGAAATCACAAGTGTTGTCCTTTTTTTATATCCTGTTGTCTTTTTTATGTTTCCTGTTGTCTTTTGTCTACAAAGTTTTGGGTTGAAAAGAATTACAACATAACATAATCAGCTGATAGATTTACAGTTATGACACTCATAAAACTTTTATATTATTAACACTTTCATAGAGACTTTCATATTTTATACAGTACTTGACAAACCACACCTCTATCAGTTTATCATTTATTTAGATCCCCATTACCTTCTATGTTAACAGTAGCCTCTCTTCCTGCAGTCTCCATAGCTTCATTGACAAGATTTCATAGATTACATAAAAACACATCCATGTATTCAGACTCAGTAAAAACACATCCATGTATTCAGACTCACAGTATAACAAAACACATCCAAACATCCCTATTATTGCAACACTTTTGAACGTTCTTTATTTATTTATTTTAATATCCCAACCTATAAAAAGGTGTTATTCAAATTATCCAGAATACTCTTAAGTAAAGGATTGAACTACTTTCCCACCACCACAGTTATGATCATCTTTACAAAAACACAGAACTTTATAATTGTGTTGAAAGGAAAGAAAGTTTCCCCTTTAGAAAACATTCTCCCTGTCATTAGTTTATATCACTAATATAGTATTGACTGTAGTTTAGTAAAATAATCGACATTATTGGATGCTAATGTATGTTATGTTTTTTTTTACATTTTGCTGTGTTTGTATATTCATTGTTGGACGTCCCCATGTATGATAAATGTAAGCTGATACATGTCATGATGATATAAATGTATTGAGCTGTTAGAAGCGCTTGTTTTTCAAACCATTCATAAAACTATTGTTATCATAAAACCCCTCTGAATAAGTGTCAAAGGGATCTTTACTACATGGAGGTGAAAACAACGTCCTCTGTGTTATAGAAACCTGTTTGCTTAACTACCTGGCTCCTCTGCCGTAATGAGGCCATTTCCCACATCAGCCTGATTGAATGGAGTCAATGTGATGCTTAATGAAGGGAGCCAATCAAGAGCTAGTGTGATGACTGAACATTAGACAGACTGCTTTTTGAATTTGAATGCAATGAGTACATAGTAGATAATAAAAAATATTACACTGGATTTATACTTTTGGAGTATCAAGATCAAACTATAAATATAAGCCAATGTTTCAAAATGTCAGTTTATTCCTACTCTGTCCTCTGAGATGTATAAAGCCCCCAAAAATCTTTAAAAACCTGTGAGGATAATGCAAAATCTGACTTTGAATGTGAGATCATATTGAGGAAACAGGAACAGAAAACGACATTGTAAGAAAGATGTATTTAATAAAAAGTGAAGTTATAATTATCTCTTGAGCTAAGAATACGTGTTAAGTTTGTAAAATTGCCATGTGTGTTTGTGCGTGTGTGTCCACAGGTTTGATGTGGACTTCACAGAGGTCCACAGCTACATGACTCGTGGCGAGGCCATCCTCCAGAGCCCTGAGTTCTCCGTGTCAAGAAAGGACGGCAGCATTCAGGAGCTGCATGACAAAGTGCAGGTAAAAACACTGCGTGTGTGTGTGTGTGTGTGTGTGTGTGTGTGTGAGAGTGTGAGAGAAAGGCACCCCGTGGAGCTTAATCTACTGAGACCTGTGATGCTGAAATAACAAGGTTCCACCCCACAGTCAGTTTGGAAATGAATTTTACCTTCCATATAGCAGCGTTACCTGTGAGGGCATCGTGAGCTGTGATTATGCAGACGGGACACGCTGATGTGGCTCCATGGAGGGATGAGATTCAGCAAAGTGTCCATAATGGAGTTTTCAAACTTTAATACAGCAGCTACCAATGCATGTCAAGTGACTGAATGTGTCCTCTGGAGGATAAATCAAACAAGATAAAAACACAAAACAGGAAGATCAATGACGCCCGCTGTTGAACCAGCCTCTGCTTTCTGCAGCTAACAATCAGAGATGACAACAACCTGTTGTTACCTATCAAATAGGTATACACTTTTTTGATAAATGTTTAAACTTGGACAGTCTCCATTTATGTCTACCACATGTACCACAAGCCAGAGAGAGAGAGAGTCGAGCTTTAAAAAGACTAAAGTATGAACAGGAATATGAGCATAGATCGGGAATCAGACAGCTAAAAAATAAAATAGGTATTTCAAATGTTTTATCCAGCTCAAGGGAATGATATTAATGAGATGACAGGAATAGATGTGCACAAGAAATATAATGCTAATAGTTCCATTAATATGAGAGAAAAGTGTCACAGCCTGGCTCATTCGTGACTGAAAGAAGGTGAGCCACAGGATTGCTTAATATCTTTCTATGTGATTGTTCACACTTAAATATAATAGAAATCAAGTATATCCTCTGAAAATAACTCTGTGAGTCATGACTGTTTACAATGGGTGTAACACCCGAGTCCCACTGTCTGTGATGTTTTCAGAGTTTTCAGAGTCCTATCTTCACTTTGTTTACATCGCCCGGACGGCCGGCTGACTCCTCCCCTCACGTATAAAAGTTGTTTAATTGAGGGACTAGAGAAAAGAAGAATAACATACTGTACTCACTGCTTAACTGTGTTTCTAGATCACGCTCATTTCAGGTAAATTTACATGCAGTGTGAAGATACCAGCATAATAAAGATCACTAGCATTAGCATGCTAACACAACAATGCAGCGCGAGTTGTTTTGCTCAAGGGCGACATCTGCTGGATCAAAAAATTGCATATAAAGCCTTTAAAGTAAACATACAGATTGAAATTGTCCTAGTTTGTATGCAAGTCGGTGTGTTTGCAGTGTTAAGTGTGTATGAGTGGGAAACACATTATACAAAACAAGAATGAAGGCAGTCTGAAGGCAAGGGAAGCGAGTGAGAACACCTGCAGCTCAGCTTGATACCCTCCAGAGTCCAGCCTGCCAGGTGTGCTGCCTTTCTGACAAGGTGTCAGACTCCACCCATAGCTTCCTGAAACAAGGAAGAACAAAGCCAGCAGAGGAGACGGACAAAAGAGGCGAACCCTGAGGACGTCACAATCGCTGCAGACAGACAGAAACACACACAAGCAGCTGGCAGGAGGTTAATCCCTTTTTAGTAAACATCAAAAAACAGATTTACAATAAATATATGAAACACTGTCTTAACTCACACAGGGTAACGTGTTTGATTAAGTCCTTGTTCTCATCACTAATCCATTTGCTACAGCTTTAAATCAAAGATAGAAAACATCGACTTACATCAATACATTCATGTTGAATTAGAAACTCCTCTCAGTGTATAACACTCAGGGAAAACTCACTAAGCACTGATGCATGGTTGCTCCTGATAAACAATTCAAACTGTAGATTATACTCAAACTAGTTTAGCTGTTAGCCAGTGATTATAAATGTGTTATCAAATCATTCATGACGAGCGAGCTAAAGACTGCAGCCCCTGTAAACAATGTATTATGCATTCTAAGCACTATTTGTTAGCAGGATCAAAAACTACTGCTGTTACAAACGATGTGTGTGTATGTGGGAATAGATACAAACTGGTTTATTTGACGTAGGCTCATTCTTTAAATTCTTCTCTGAACTTGTTTCTTTCTCTGCAGCAGCTCATACAACAAACAGAATCAAGTGTTTCAGAACATGAGGAAGCAAAATGTGTTTGGATATTATTATTTTTATTTCTACTGGAGAGGGAACCGAAGTCCTAATTGTTTGAGTAAGTTTAACTGATCTTTCTTAGCAGAGGATAAGCACTTAGACTCTTCTGTATTTCTTTTACTTTGATTCATTCCATGAAAACTCACAGGAAATACTAGTTTAGACATTTAACATAAGTAGAAGTGGTTTCCTTGTTTCCTTATGTTGACCTTGTATTTTTCAAAGCAATCATAATTCCAACAAGGCTGAACTATTATTTTCAACTTGGTACAAACCTTCTTCTGCTCAAATACTAAAAGATCCCAAATGAGGCTTTAAAATGAGCAGTGACCCATTTGTTGCCCTCAAACCTTTCTGTTTCTTACCCACAAAATGAGCCGACGTGCTCAGGTCGTGGTAAATGTCGCCGCAGAATGAGATCAGAGGTGGATCAAAGCTACAGGACTTTAATTCTCTATGAGTAATACTGGGCTGAATTGGACATTGATTTTTAGGGGTTTTAATCTTTCTTTGCAATAAATAATAATTCTCCTGCTGTCTGCCTGTCGCTGTTGATGTCTCTTGTCCTTTAACTTTCCGCCTCTCCCTCTCCCTCTCTCTCTGACACAGGCGATAGAGCGAGAGCGACCGGAGAAGTACCGGAAGCTTCAGGAGGCGACACGCACGGCGCAGACCCTGGTCGAGCAGGGTAACACACACACTCGCGCACAATCACACAAATTCATTCACATGCATGCAAACACATGCACGCACACCCTGTCTGTCCCCATGGCAACCCCACCACCTGTCCCACCCTCTCTCCTTGTCTCCATAGAAACACTGTCAGAGAGAGGGACTGATAGGGAGAAAAAAAAAAAGAGGGAGAGAGATGTTTCTTCTTGTCCGTCCTCTCCTCTGCCCTTGTGCAGTTGTTGGTCTGAAAGCAGAGAAACACTTGATTTATACTTTTCACTTTTTCACTCCTGCTTCTGCTGTAGCAACAAATCAAACATACCAGAACTGAACTTACTGAACAGAGCTCGGTGTGTGTGTGGAAGTGAAGGGGAGGGACGGAAATTGTATCTAGACTGTTTTTGCAAACAATCATACAAATGCATCACAAGGGTTCATAACGTAGAGCATTGACTTTAAGTGAATTATACCAGAATTAGAACATGCAAGGGAAATAATCCAAGACCCAAATACAATATTTTTCTTCTTCTCTCAATATGTTCTGCCTTCCCTGTCCAGTCTGTGACACACACACATTATCACTCCATCCAAGTGTTCATATTTAAAACGTCTCTCAAACATTGTTGGGCAAGATTCAGGAAAATGAACTCAATTAGTCACAATTTATATCACGTCCCATTTAAAACAATGTAACTTTACATAGAGCCTGTCAGTAAAGTGATCAGCTACATGGTTTCTGTTATTATCTTTTTAATATAATAACAGGAAATTTAAAGGAATAGTTTGACATTTGAGAAATTAAGATCATTGTTGCTGAGAGGGAGATGAGAAAAACGATGATATAACAGTTGGATAACTTAGCATGGCAAAATGCTGAGACAGTTTAAAACAGCTTGCCTGACTATTTAACGAACCAAACCATCCACAACATTGTAAGTGTCACGATTCAGTCTGTTTTAGTTTTGTTTAGATGTATTTATCTTTTAGGTCCCGTTCTTCCCTAGTGTTGCTGGTTTTTCCCTTGTGTGTTTCCTAGTTTAGTCTTCAGTGTTTCCTGTGTTATTTTTTAATTTCAAATCCTTGTGTCCCTCTATGTTCTAGTGTGTCGATGTTTAACAGTGGCTGTATCTGAATTGCCAAATACCTACTCAATCTTTCAGTATGCAGTACGTACTGTCCGTGCTGTATACTGTTAGTACCTACTATTCAGTAGGCGTGCACAGTAGGCAGATATTTGTTCCTACTTCTTCTGATTCATTCAGTAAGGAAGTGGCGTCATTTACGTTTCTCGAACCGACCACATCCACCCGGTTTTTTTTGTTTTTGTTTTTGTTTAGCTTTATTCAAGAAGAGTAACGCACATATACAGTCAGGTAATAGGATAGGATAGTACTTTATTGATCCCCAGAGGGGAAATTCAGGAAAAAAACAATATCACAAGTAAAAGACAGATTAAATAACTAAATAACATACAGCAGCCTACATAAAGAAAAGTACAAATGAAAGACAGTAATATTTGAGTGTTTTTTGAAGACTGTTCCATGCAGAGGGAGCAGAGTACATGAAGGCTCTCTTCCCAAACTCAGTACGATTAAGTTTTTGTTTGCCTTTGGCCTTTTTGATTATTAAATACTTTTAGTTTATTCTGCACTTGGGTCCACCTGTCCTTGTTCAACAAACAACATTCAGTAATGAATAGTTGGTGGAACTTGTTATGCTAAGCCAAGCTAACTGGCTGCTGACCATTTACCCAACAGACAGGAGAATGGCATTATGGTATAAAGCTTCTTAAAATGGGCCAAGTCATTACATTCATGCCAATATTTGGTGTAATTTAGATGTTATTGCAACAAAATTATTTGAGCCATTTGCCACTTGCTTATTGACATTTTTGTAGTTCTTTTGTGTTTGAAGTGAGCAAATCAAGCTATCCGCCTGTCCTTTTACTGAGCTAGCTTGTCTCTATAAAAAGTCAAATGAAGTCAGAGAGATTCTGGTAAGACAGAAAACAAATACCCTGATGCCTCTCATAGCATTAGGCTAATGCCACATTGCATTCCTGGAACAGCATCAGCCATATTGTTGACCTTTAAATGTAAATGGAACATAATTGAGCAACGATTACTGGAAGAAGGAATCTTAAGAGAAAGTCAGGAAGCTGACGCAAACAGGTGCAGGTTTTCATTTTCTAGGCACTGGACTCTTCTTTAAATCACCCATTTGGATAAAAAAAAGGGTCAGTTTGCATTGTGCATGACTGCTTAGAAAGGTGTTTGTTTGTGTGTGTTCATGTTGAGTGGACTGGTGAATCAACCGTTTCTGGATTTTGTATTTTGTGCAGAATTTGAATAATTACTTTACCTCTCCAACAGGTGACATTCGCCAGATTTTGTTTGTATTTGTGTCTGTCCCCTACAGAGAGACAAGTCATATGGTGTGAACTGTGATGCGTTCATTACTGTGTGTGTGTGTGTAAGACATCGTCCTTCTCTCTCCCCCTGCAGAGGGGAGCCGTGCTGATGACATTGCCCAGGCAGCCGAGCAGCTGAACCAGCGCTGGGTGGGATTCTGTGCCCTGTTGGCAGACAGGCTGGCATGGCTGGCTTTCCAGGCAAAGGTAAATGCATCCATGTATCTGCCTGTTACTTTGCAGTGTCACAGAAGTAAACTAAATACAAAAGGTTGTTGAAATTAGCAGCTGTGGTGTTGATGATGCTCATGAGTCAATGGCATTGTAAATTTGTGATAAAAATCTATATTTTTTCATTATGGTGTTTTATCTAAGCAGAAGATCTGATTACCACCTTCACCGCTTCTTTAAGTGAATCATTTGAGCCTCTACTGTTTCTTTTGGCAAAATATGCAGGACCATGAGGAATTTCAACCAGCAAAAGTGTTTGTGGAATCTGCAGCTAGCTGTAATTATACAGAACATTTCCCCTGTCTGCTTGAACCTATCAGATATGAGTCATGCTTTCATGTTTTGTTGGGGAAAATAGTTTGAGAATGTTAACTGACGTAAAAAGTAATTTCCCAACCGTTACTTTCTTTAGTGTTTTTCATGTCGGAAAATGAATGAAAACTGTAAGGTGTCTAAAAGGCATGTCAAAAAGCATGAAGTGAGCCTCTAGCCAGCCCTGTTAAAATGTATAGCCAGAAAATTGCTTTGCAGGTACAGAGAGAGAATCTCAACGTGACATGACTCACTCTCAGGTTATCACAGCTTTGAATGGGCTCGGTCTTTCTGCCTTACTCGGCTCTACTCCAGTAACGGAAGAAGTCTGTGAAACAAGACATATGTTGCGTGGGTGTTTGTTTGTCTCATGGTACCAAAAGAACCTTCACCTTTACTCAAAATGTGATGTTTTTTTTACGTGTGTGTGTCCTGCAGGTGTTGGCTTTCTACAGCTTGTACGAGCAGTGTGAGCAGGCTGTGGACAACAGTGAGAACTGGCTCAAAGTCCAGGCGCCTCCAGCGTCTGAACCAGAACCGCTCAAAGTACAGCTGGACCGCTGTCGGGTGAGTGTCAGCGAGAAGATGCAGTTTTGATTCTTTTTGTAAATAGATGCAACATTTGATTGAGTTCTCCTCTTTTTGTGGAAATCCAATCGTGGTGAGGTCTATTTAGTTTCATTTCCTTCACGTACTGTTTGTCATGTATTCAGCCTGTCTGAATTTCTGTCTCTTTCATGCATCTGTTTGTCACAGCAATTATCTGTAAGTATTTCATTCTTTATATGTGTTGAGCTGTGTGACTGTCCTGTGGTGCAATGGTTGATGGACCTTTTTAAAGGTAACAATTTGGCAATTTGGGGGGAGAGATGAAGGTGTTCCAGCAATGCCAGATTTTGAAAACCCCTACTTTTAACCAGTCGATCTCTGAATGAGTGGGCGGGGTATTGATCAGCAGAAAAACACACACATAGAGACAGGTTCACTTCGATAACATCGTAACAGCAGGAGAAGAGAAGTGACAGCAGGCTTTAGATAAACAAACTTCTGAAAAGCGAGACGAGAGAAAGGAAGGTATAATTAAAGTAAAAGGAAGGACACAAGAAAAGAGAGACAGTGAAGAGACAAGTAAATGCTCCAGACTTTGGAGAAGAGAAGACGGAGAGAAAAGGGGGGAGTTCAGCATCCAAATAAAACCAAAAATTAGAATAAATCAGAAAGGAGAGAGAGAGATTGTCAGATAAAGCTGGGAGAAAAGGAGATGGAAGAAAAGTGAAATTAGATTGTCTTTCGAAGAAACGTCGAGCTTCGGCTGCACACAAATTCACACAAACAAGGTTTTCCCTGAGAAGAGCGCCCACACATTTTCCCTCACCGAATCATACACACAGATTTAAAATGCACACTTGATACCACACAGAAATACTTTCTGAGATCCTTTCTTTATATTAAACAGGAAAGGCTTCGGAGAAAATAAAATATTAACTGAAACTTTAAAACGACCTTCCCGCCGGCAAATCGTGCTGCCGACTGTTAGTTTATGAAAATATATTCTGTCTAGCTTCTAAATGCCTGTGTTTTCTAACATTACTCATGAATAAGGAGCGTGTCGCTTGGCTTTAGGCTACAGTGTTAACTCACACTCTGTTACAGGGGGATAAGACTGAGCTGCAGTCAAAGCTTTAACCTCAGGATGGTTCAGTGAATATTAACCTGCCGTACCTGCTCAATCCTGGACTGATCCTCCTCATTTTCCACCAGGCTCCACTTGAATTACTTACGGTTTGAAGGATAAGTCTGGTGACAGTCTGTAGTTTTTGTTTTTTACCTCTTCCAAACCATCATTAATGAATGAATTGTCATGATCCAGCATATTCTACAAAACCATTAACTACAATTATTCCCTCAGTCAGAATCAGAATATTTTTTTATTACCATGTACATTTAAACATACAAGGAATTTGACTTGTTGTTTGGTGCAAAACAATTGGCAGAGGACTACGGCGAACCAATTTGAACTTATAAAGATGTTTTACATGTGTTTTGATTTCAATGTGATTTGCAAACAATCGTGATAATATATGATAATAATAATAATAATAATAATACCACATTTTAGGTCACATACTGAGAAAGTATAACAGTAAAATAAGGCATGATTAGGTGCTTCATCCATGTATATACAGTCCTTTCCATAAAGTGTTACCCAAAGTTGTATTCATGAGCTAGTATAAAGACAAGCACTTTCTCCTCTCTATGCTCAGGCAGAAATCAGACGTTTGACTTCATAGACCTCAAAGGAGATCGTCAACTTGACTGATCTGACAGAAAACACTTTGTAGCTCTGATGAAGCGCGGTGATAGGAGTTGTTTACCTGGCTGGTATCCATACGACCCACAAAGCTTATTCTTTTTAATCACGCCAACCTTCTAAGTCTCCTAATGCCAGTTTTACCTCCACTCTGTGGCAAAGTTATCTCCGTCTTCAGCTGCATGATTATAGTGGATTAAATCAGGTTTAATCACAAACATTCGTCCGTCAGCAGAAAGATAAAGCTCTAACCTTACCTTTACCTGTGATGTTTGACAGAATTCACCTGATATCAAGACAACATGTTTTCTAATAAAGCACTTCAACATTTACATCTGTCAACTTACATTCTGTGTGTTCAGTAGGGTTAGGAATCACAGAGTAAATCATGATACGATACTTGACACAATATGTGGCTCATGATAACATTAATATCATAATACAGGGATTCTGATACTTTATATAGCGCAAGAGAATTATTAAATGATCCATCCTGGTATCTGATTAAAATGCTCCTCACAATGTCATGTGCTGGATTAATAATTGTATTATTTTCTATTAGGGGTCAGTTTCATCTCGTATCACGCTTAACTTCTTTTTACTGCTGTCAGACATTAAGCAGCTGCGTCAACCTTCTTCTTTCAACCTGATGTCAACTTTTTCTTAGGCCAATTAACTTCTGTCCACACCCCCCTCCTTCATGGCTTCAGCTCTACCATGAGGAGTCATGAAGAAGTGTCACATTGAGTCAATTTAGCAAGGAAATCTGTTCTGAGGCTATATTATTATTTGCACCAACCATTGGATCATTGTATTACACAAAAATTACGGTACATGAAAGTTTCCATCAAAAGACATGCAAACTTGTACTTTTTACCAGGCTGGTGAACACAAACCAAATGTAAAAAAAATGATATAAACATATTTTTCTGAGACACAAGGTTCTTCTCCTCTTCCTATGCTGATAAAGAACTCATCTATCTCTCTTCTCTCTGTACGTTTTAAAGATCATGAGAAATTGTTTCAAAGCTCAGTTTCACTTTTGCTGAGCTGTTCCAATTTCCTGCTTGATTTCCTCCTCATTAACAGTTGGGAGTGTATTTAAACTTTTCTGTGAAATAGAACTGAATGAGCATATGGCGGGCCGAGTGAATGAACACAATTCTTTAACACAGACCAGTTTTTATTGAACTAGGAGGAACATATGGAATAGTGTTTCCCCCCCTAAATTCTCCATCGTAGAAACAGAGGAGTTAGTCTGTGTTGACCCCTCACCTCTCCTTCTTAATCAAACATAAGACCATTTCTCCCCCTCCTTGTCCCTGCAGGAGGAAGTGGCTCGCCTGGCTGCCCTGCAGCCTCAGGTGGAGCTCCTGGAGAAGCAGCTTGAGGAGCTGAAGCAGGAGAAGGAAGGAGAGGAGGACCAATCAGCCTTCCTAGACGCTGACATCGTCGCCTTCAAAGAGCACTACCACCAAGTCCTGGAGGATCTGAGGGCGAGAGAGAGACAGCTGCATCTGGGTGAGAGAGGAGAGATGCTGATCCACTGCAGACACTTAATCCTGCAGTTTAGTGCTGAACAAAAGGGCAGACCTTTAGTACTGCACCTCGTCACCCCTCGCTTTGTTTACATGCCCTCAATTTCACCTGTTGATGTTTGAAGTTTATAAGGGCAAGTACTGCATTAATGCATTTACTTTTTAAACAGTTTTAAGTTTCCTAAGCATAGGGGTTATATCAGTAGCTTTAGACATCTTTCTGAATATTTATGACACCGAATCAGCTTGACTGAAAGCTCACCAATGCTTCAATATCATCGCAAACCATCTGCAAGTCAATAAAAAAATGAACTCTTTAAACATTTAAAACAACCAACTTCAATGCCAGATCAGTTCATGTCAAAGGCATGTGAAGTAAATCTGCACATAACTTTCATGAACAGTTTGGCTTTGGTGAAAATAAAAACTGTCTTGACGGCTCTGAACTTTAAAGGAATAAAAAAGCTGGAGAGTCCAAAATAAAGAAGACAGAAATCATACCTCATTAGCTTGAGTGCTTTGAACTGATCCACAGTGAAGGCTAACACGCAGACAGTTATGCAAAGGGTTCAAATGTTTCTCCTTTTGGAGAGGCCAGCCGGGTTTGCTGAATTGGAGGTTGCTCACAGGATGGTCGGTAACACGCTAACCTGTTTATAGAGACAATGATTATGACTGACCATGGTTATACCTCAAGTACTCCATCATCTTTCAAGCTAATGTGTTCAACAGTGGTATGTCAGTGTGATTGTCTTTAAGTAATATCAAATACAAATCCCTCTCTAGCTTATTTTAAAAGAAAGACACAGACATTTTTAACCAAGCCTTTAAGCTCTCTTGGCTTACATTCAGCTCACCAAGAGCAACATATTTTGGCAAGAGCTTGTTCAGACCCACTTACATTTACAACAGAAGAATATTCTTTTTACCTGCTTCCTTTAGCTGCTTGCCCAATGATTATCAAGCAGGAATAGGACTAACAGTCAACCTTTAATTATTTGAAATAAGACTGAAACACAGTGAAGAATTCAGCATCGAATTAGTTTGAGTCATTTCAGCAGACGTAACTAGATCCAGTGTTAACTGATACATCAAGTTTAATACCATGTATCTGCCTTTTCCCCTCCGTCTTTGGATGCCAGATGCCAGCAGACACTTCCAGACCTGCTGCCCTGGAGATGTTAAACAGTGAACTCATGATAATAACTTTTAAAATAAAAGTGTGAAGAAGCCTGAGCGGTTTATCAAAAAGACATTTCAATTACCATGTAAGAAACGGTGCTTCACTCCGATTCAAACCAAGCATTTTTTTGTTTTACAATTATTGAACAGCCCCGTGGATTATATTTTAATTAGATATCCATTAACATATAAAAAGATAATTATAATGAAGAAATCCTGGCATTTCTTCATTAAGCAAATAAATGTCTTCTGCGTCTGCTTTATCACTATTGTCGTTATAAGCTGCACAATCTTGATTTGATTGGCTTTAATATTGTGCTATTATCATGTTAGGTCATCAACAACACAGTCCATCAAATAGTACATTTGCAGTTGTTGTATAAAAAGAAAAAAAAATCTGTTTACAATTTCTTCCATATTTTAATGGGGTTCCTGAGCTTGGTCTTAATCCTGCTCTTAGGAGGATAGAAGCGACAGTTTCCAGCTGCTGACAGTCAGCCTTGACAGCCTGCTGTAGCCCACACACTGCTTCAGACAGACCAGGAGTAACAAATGTCTCTACCCACAGAAAACCAACATTCAGCAGAGACACACTTGTTGTGGTTGTTGAAAAGCAGAACAAATGTGTTGAGATGTTGCAAACACATCTGCAGCCTACAGCAGCGTCTCTCAGTGTGGGTAGATGTGCGGCTGAAAATAGGAATGTTTCCATATCGTCTGCATGCCAATTACAACCACAGAGCATCTGTGTGTTTGATACGGCACAGCGTGACGTATTGTATAAGGTTGTTTAATAAATCATCCTGGCAGAAAACAACACTTACCATCCAGCATGGCTGATATCAGAGATATTATTTTATATTCCAGGCTGAGCTTCATAATAAGTCAAACATATAGAAACCATTCACTGACTCATAACAGTCTGTTGCAGAATAATATAGTAGGAAAGACTGCTTTTTAACTGAATGACCTCAATGTAACAAACATCTAACTAGTTAACATATCCTCTGGGTGAGAGTCTGAATCTGTGCCCGCTTCAGTCCTGAATAATGCCCACAGTGATGTCTGTAGTCTGTGGAGAGTGGGCAAGAAACAAGATCATTTACATATGGAGATCTGTAAGGCATCATTATCTTAGATTTTACACTGACATCTAATATATTTTTCAGTGTGAGGCCAAAGTCCAGATGTACCTGACATTCATGAGCATTTAAATATTCAGAATGAGCAACAGCTGCACACATTTTCATGACACCTTCTTTAGTCACACCACACAAAGGAAGGCATCATCATTCATGGACTGCAACTGGAAGTCTTTTCAGAATATTTACATGTTAATGGAAATGTACATTTAATGTTATTAAGATCTTGATTCACTCTGAAAAACTTCTCTTACAGTTGTCATTGGCTACAAAGTCATACAGTGTGCAGTAATACAGAACTGAAGCCTTGAGGAATATATACAGGGGCGTGTCCATACTTTTTAGACTGGGGGGCCCAATATGACTTGTGCAGGGGTGGTCTGAAGGTCTGAATAAAGAGCGTTTATTTACCCCTTCTGTCTGCACTAATCACATCGACTTTGAAGTAACACAGGATACTGGCAACATAAACATCTTCTTAGCTTAAATCTTCAAGGACTCAAAACAATGTATGTCTAAAGTCACAATTTAAAGTATTTAAAAATTGCAAACAGACATCTGCTCACTGAAAACTATGATGTTGCAACACAGCCTGAATGGTGGATTTCAATATAAGTCTCACCTCAGGCAAGGCAAATAGATAATAATAGGGAAGGATTTTGGGGTGGCACCAGGGTGGCTAATAAGATCTCAAGGGGGGCCCATGCCACCCCTGGCTAACCCTTGGGACACCCCCTAAATATTACATACAGCTGCTTCTCCAGGAGAATAAATATAATACATGAATCAAGGAGAATCTAATTAAAATACCCTTAACAGCTTTGTCATTCTGCCCATGATGCTCATGTTACACTACGCCAATTTAACATGTGGTTTACAAGTTGAGTGACTCATACTGTTGTGTGAACAAACACTCGATGTGCACCCATGTGGTTACACCTTTCCACCTGTCTACATGGTGAGCAGCAAGGGAGTGTGTCAGCGCGTCACTTAGTTTAATCTCTAGTGCTACTCTCACTTCGTTTGTGTGTGAAGACGCTCTCTGTAGTGAAAACATCCACAATGAGACTTAATGAGATTGAAAAGCTGCAGCCGGCAAGACAAGAACAACTCACACAGATGCAGTGACGAAAAGAAGAGCACATAACTATTTATATCAATGAGGGAGGGAGTGATGGAAGGAAATGAGGAAACAAAAAATATCGCCAGTGAAAAAATGACCCAGGGGGTTGGGGGACTTCTTGAGAGACAGATGCAGAGAGTGGGAAGAGAAGGAGAAAAGGAAATGAAGTTGCAGGGAGAAGAAAAGATGCTGACAGCCAAACAGACAAACTTCTTCACTCACTCAGACAGCTTCTTCCCTCGTGCCACACACTGTGCTTTTCTCAACCCACGCCTAGGGTGAGAAACCCAGCACATATTCAGCTGCTCACACTACTACTCACACATATATGCATATGTGCAGACACTTACTGACTGATTCCAGTGTCTCATTCAAGTGCAGCTGAGGGCATACAGAAAAAGATTTCTCTGAAGGTAATGCAACAGTAATATGAATGGTGTGTTTTGACTTTTCTGGCTTTCCTTTTGAAACTCTTTTCGCTTCTGCAGTCACTTCAGGTCAGCTTAGCAGATTTTGTTCAGTCAGACTTACTACCACTGCCACTAGGGGATAGATCATTTATATTTCACACAATGTATTTTTAGAATAGATTTTATTTAACTTAAAATAAAGTGTAATTCTGTGTTTTATCTTTTTTTGGGGGGTTTGAAGTCTTACAACAGCACAGATCCCCTGACAGCCCCTCTGACGTCTGTTTCTGTCTCTCCCTGTCTGTCTCTAGTTTTGGAGAGCTTGCCCCCGGCTCGTTATAAAGAAACCATATCAGCCCTGTTGGCATGGTTACAACAGTGCGAGGCCAAGCTGGCCATCCCATCCACGGCTGTTACAGAGTATCCTATTATGGAACAGAGACTGAAGGACGTTCAGGTATGAACACACACACACACACACACACACACACACACACACACACAGAATCAACAGTTCTAACAATTTTCTGATTGTTTCAAAGGCCGTAGGACTGTCAAAGCTGATCAGTCCAGAGCTGTGTACTGAACAGTAATGTTGGTGGTTTGTGTATCGGTAGCTCACGATCTGGTGTGAATCACAGTTCATTATGCTGTAATGTGGGTAACTATAATCCCATCATCCACTTGGAGTAAGCTGTGATTCAGCTTGAGGTGGCTTTGCGCTGAATCACTGTGTATGCTCTCGACAACACTGCTGCTCAGATCTGTTTACAAATTCCCATAAAAAGCCAAAATGGATGTGGCTCTACAATCCTGTGGGGCTGTATAACACTGTAATCAGTTTTTACAGCGAGTTGTAAAGTTATATTGCCGTCGGCGATGCCAAACTGCCAAAGCAGCACTCTTTTAAAAGCTGCTTTTTTTGCTGCTCTTTGAGGTAACAGACAGAGGATAAAGACGGGAGAGAAAATAGATGAAATGCCCCATTAAGTAAGGGTCTGATTCATACCCACTACCCTCTGAGGAAATTGTGTGAATCTGATACATCGGGGGACTTCCCCAAATCACTGCTGTAAACATAAAATCCCAGTAGAACAAATCAGTAACGTAAAAGAAGTGTTCATTGAAATAGAAAAGGTCATTTTCAACCATCTGTTGATAGTAAATGATGGATTAAAGGAGCATGTAACATCCTCTTTAAGATATGTCTACCTAAGAAACAAGATGCTGATGAAATCCTCTTTAAACGGTGACTTTAAAACAGAGAGACATCAATAAATACATAATGTACTATGATAGGTTTCTCTCTTCAGTGGTGGTTTATGAGACATTATTCTCGATTAGTAGTACCTATAATACGAGTGGTGAGCGACAGCGGTGTGAAAATGGTCTTCTTTGTTCTAGTGCAACTTTTTGACCAAGACAAGAGGCCGCATAGTTCTTTGCCGTCTGCTTGGTGTGTCATCGCCTTAAGACAACAAAGAAAAATAACATAAATATATAATCTCTTTTTAAACTGCAATTATACGACATCATAATTAACACAAACAGTTAAACTAATCAAAACAGTAATCATGTTTGAACTAAACGTTCTAAGAAGAAATTATCTTCTATTTTATGGGCTGTTTTATGATTCAGACAAACAGTTGGGGGCATTAGCCTGAAATAGGTTGAGCACCACTGATGTTAACGGCATCTTTTCAATTTGAGAGCAGCAGCGTCCCGAACACAATGTGAAACTTTGGAAATCCTAAAAGAAGACACAGAGAATTTCTATTTCAGTAAAAATCTGTGAGTTTGTAAAGCTTGAATTTTATCTGCTTAACATGCAGGCCATGCGGGTCTGCTGCTGGTGTGTGTGTTTGTGTGTTGTTGTTATTTTGTTTGTGTGTGTGTGTGTGTGATTGTCTACAACTCTGCAATTATGAGAGGTGGGTGAGCAGAATCCCAGTGGAGCAAATCAGTGTCTCTGTTTATCACAATATCTACCTGCAGATGCAAATAAACACAAGTGCTGAGCTGTGAGTACACACAATACAAAGCAGAAAACACACAATATTGCTTCTTTTTTTTTAATGTCAGTTTCAATCCAGTCAAAAGCATGGAGGTCATTTGTTCTCTTTTTTTTTTTTGATACTTGGTTGTTGTTAAAGCACGGTTGATTTTATTTTGAACTCAAGTCAAGGTCACACCACAGAGGACAGTGTGTGTGTGTGTGTGTGTGTGTGTGTGTGTGTGTGTGTGTGTGTGTGTGTGTGTGTGTGTGTGTGTGTGTGTGTGTGTGTGTGTGTGTGTGTGTGTGTGTGTGTGTGTGTGTGTGTGTGTGTGTGTGTGTGTGTGTGCGCGTGTGTGCGTGTGCGTGTGTGTTGTTAAACTTGATAATGGTCTCATAGAATAGCAGGGAGATCAAGCCTTGTAGCCTGAGATTAATTAAAGTCGATTGTAGATAATAATTAGGAATTCATTCTGCATACTGATAAGCTGTCATTAATTTTGTTTCCCCTCTCGTCACCAGGAGAGACGAGACTTCCGTGTGTGTGTGTGTGTGTGTGTGTGTGTGTGTGTGTGTTTGTGCGTGAACACGTATGTTTCCTTTACCCAGAAGACCGTACCACCTCTCACTCTGGTTACTTTATTCATTAAAATAATGAGGGTTCCTCTCAGGTGGGGTCTGAGTTTGAATCCTGACCCCCGTTAGAACAACAGACCTGCTGGCTGATATTGAAACCAGCTCTGATTGGTTCAGAGAACTGATAGCCTAAAAAGAGACGCTCATTAATATCATTCTGATTGCTGATTCTGATTAAGATCTGATTGCCGCATTCAATCACCAGCCGTGATTCTGGTGTTCTTACATCTCATGATTCATTTTGGATTTTTTAGATGAAGACGTTATGGCAAATAAGCAGGGGGACGGGCTTTGGAGGTAATTGATTGAAGATTGCAATTAACTTTAAAGGCCAAAATGATGCTTCACATGTCTTGGTTTGCCTAAAAGAGAGAGAGCTGAAAACACAAAATATTCAGTTTAAAACACATTAAACAACATGCAAAAATGAATAACAACAGTTTCTGCATTTAATGTTCTGACCATTTCTTAATGAAATATAGATCACGCAAATCAGCTTGAAAAGTGCTGAGACACAATCTTCTCAGACTTCTGCTGTGTAAGCTACACATTGCTGCTCTCATGTACCACAGCTTACTGAAAACTATTGACTTCCTCTATGTTCCTGTCACCAACACGCTCATTTTTTTCTAGATAAAGTGCAGAAAGTTCAGCTGGCCAGCAGCGACTGTTACTTTGACCTGTTAAATAAAAAAAATCAGCAGGTCATATTAAGTACTGCCAGTTATTGTGACTTATCTTGATGTGAGTCCAAATTAAAGCATATGTCTGTTTTCCAAAGACATTAAAAAACCTTCAAGACAGCTGTGATAGAGTCAGAGTTCAAACATAGTAAACAATCTACGCGCTTGTGTCACATAAATTTCAGGAGTTGCTTTCCCCAGTTGAAGCTTTCATTCATTTAAGAGCTGTGATTGAAGCTTATAAACCGTGTACTTTTCAATCGGCACCATAAAATTTTAAGAAGAGCCTTGTAAAAGCAAAGTGTCAGATTGAGTATTCTACTTGACTGTCACCACGGGTACTTCTTCGAATGCCAGCTTGTAAAGTTGATGCTTCGAGTAAAAACATAGATAAATGTAGACATTGAAACAAGAGTTACATATTTAACCTTGGTCCTTTGAATTATGGATAACCATCGCATGTTATATGTGCACATTAAAACAGCTGCAGTCAATGGTTGGAGAGAGGGTGGGAGAGACAGAGGAGCACTAGAGCAACAATGTGAGGGGGGGGGGGGTCAGGGTTAGGATGGAGGCAGCGGGTGGTTGTGATTGTCAGGGTTGTAAATGCAATTTCAAACTTATGAAGGTGGTGCTTTTTAAAAGAAGATTGTTTACGGCTATAAATCTCTCTAATGATTGTCTTGTTTAGTGTCCAACTTTAATCACAATCTTAACTTTCACATATAAGCAATCAGCAAGCAATATATCTGTTATCTCATCATATTTGTAACTCTATAAGTTGTCTTATTATGTTACCGTACTGGAGGAAGGCTGTCCAATAACATGTGATCATAGGTTCAAAAGGTTGAAGCATTTTGCCTGGGAACGTATAACATCGTCACCTTTCAGTTGAAACTCTGTGAGGCGAGCTCACTCATCTCAATCTGGTCCAAACGGTACTTATCAGACACTGTGATTCAGATAAGAGTGATTTAAGGAAAAGGAGCAGGAAAGAAAATGAAGTCTCAGAACTTTGATCAGAAAACATCCCTAATGCCGCTCTGCTTTGGATTCATTGTGGCAGCTGAAGGATTGTGGGTAATCCATGGTAACTGACGGATGTCCTGTCTGAGGGCCGTGCTTGAACTAAAATAATCTAATCCTCTGAGCCACCTCGGTGTGAACAAGGCTTTCTGTTTCTCCTAAAGTTCACCAGGGACCCCCTCACCTCTCCACTTGTAATTCATCCTGAGCAGGAGAGTCAAACAGTGTGGAAAAAAAGGCTTTTATTTTACAAAATGTTAACAGCGGTCAGGTCATAACCTCTCATGCTCGTCATCCCTCATTCTACCTCCTCAGCGTTCTCACTTCTGTGTAAAACGAGGATAAATCTATGAAGGACTCAGGCCTGCGTTCAGCTGCATTTCTTCAGAGACTTATAGTTAAAAGGAAAAATCAGCATTGAGATTGATTCATTAAGTGCTTGGTGACTGTTTCCTCAACACCGCTCTTAAAGGTTAACAAGCGAAAGTCTTTACTTTATACTTAAAGGTATTTTATGTATAATACCTAAATGTCACCAGTAAGTAGTGTTGTATTTTTTAAATCCTAACAAGCGTTTGTTTTTAATCATAGTAATAGATCCACTTGTTATAGATTCAGAGGGGGAAGCATAGAAGGTTCTGTTGTAGAGATGATTTTTTTACACATAACCAGATCATTTTCCCTTCAGACAAACCAGATTTTCCACACTTCAGCCCTTTTCTTTCCCCCATCACCCAGTTCACAGAATCGACTGTCTCACTGCTTCTTTTAAGTATTCACTCCTTACTACTTCAGATCTTTGCTCAGGCACCGAAATCATTGCCAGGCCATCAAAGTAATCCAGCTTGTTGTGGTCTGCATAGTGTGAGCATTAACTGTAACCAGTCATGTTAGCAGGATTAAGGGTCAGATGAGTTAGACTTTAGAACATGTAAGAATAAGGCTAGTCATAGATGTGTTTGTGCGCTGGTGGTCTAGTGGTTAGTTCCCGGGCCCAAAGTACAGAGGCAGTAATCCTCAAAGTGGGCAGCCTAGGATCAAATCCGACCTTTATCTTCTTTCCTGCACACCATTCATTCCCCACTCTGTCCTGTCTCTATCGCTCTAATAAAGCCCCCACCCCTCTGAAAAAAGGGCATGCAAAACAGCTACAATCACGTTTTTGTAAAAAGCTTCTTTATTCACTCAAAAAAAACTACAAACCCACTTTAATCCCATCTGGATCTCCTCTAATTCCATAAAAAGCAGCTTTATTTTAAAATGTATTTATGCATTTATTTTTGTCTCATTAATGAACAATGGGAACATTTTTTCTCACTATGTATCCTCTCATTTATAACCATACAGCCACCGTAGATTCACTTTACACTCATATCGATTTCTTCTTGTTAGCACAACTTCCAATTCAAAAACAACTTTTTCTCTCTCTCTCTCTCTGTCTCTGTCTCTCTCTCTCTCTCTCTCTCTCTCTCCATCTTCCCTCTGTAGGCTCTCCAGGTGGCTCTGACCGAACATCAGAGTGAAGTGGACTACCTGACATCAACTGTAGAGCAGGTCTTCCTGAAAGCTCCACCAGACATTTGCCAGAAGTGAGATTTCTTAAATGTTTAACTATTTGTTGTGTCAAAGGAGGTGGGATTTTGATTTGTTGATTGTTGTTTTATTTATGTCACAAGCCAATAAGCTTTTTGTAATTTTCTGCAGGTATCGTGCAGAGATGGACTCCATCATGGCGCGTTGGAGACGACTTGGCACCACCCTGACAGAAAACACCCAGAGAATCCAGGAGCTCATGGCCAAACTGTTGCAGTTTGAGGTACTACAGATAAGTCACTTGAGCATCCACATGATACAAGACTGTGACTGATCTGCTGGAGGAAATATCTTTCTTTTCAAAAACCTCCTCTCGTCTCTTCACCAGAATGATGTGAAGACTTTGAAGAAGTGGATGGCAGATGTGGATGTGTTCCTGAATGAGGAGTGGCCAGCTCTGGGAGACTCTGAAGCTCTGGAGAAGCAGTTAGAGCAGTGCACGGTGAGGAAACCATGCATCCTGATATCTAAACTGCTGCTTTTAAGGGTCTGTTTTGAACTGAAAAGAAAGTCAAAGGGGTCAAAGTCAATAAAAGATTGAGAATTGTTTTCCTAAAATAACTCGTAAATAAATCCCTTAACTTCATAAGATATTCAAGAGTTTTTCAAATATCCTACGAGACAGTAGAAAAGAGAGTACATTAAGAATGAAAGCTTCCAAAGCTAGTTGTAGTGAAATGCTGTTTAAAACAACACAAGGACCTAAAGATCCACTTTTACATAATGACACTGATTCTTCTTGTTTAACCTCTATGATGCCCTCTGAATGGTCAGGCTCTGGTGAACGACATCCACACCATCCAGCCCAGTGTGAACGGCATCAATGAAGTGGGTCTGTACCTGAAGAAAGAAGCCGAGCCGCCGTTTGCCGTCTACATCCAGAAAGAATTGGACGACCTCAACGCACAGTGGGAGAACGTCTGCAAACAGGTGTGCAACCTTCATCCTGAGTGTTCCTGCCGTCGTGACTCTGCATAATGTTGAGTGCTTATGATTGTTCTACCTCTGTCCAGGCCTACGCTAAGAAGTCGGCTCTGAAAGGCGGCCTGGATAAGACCATGGCTCTGAGGAAGGAGATGCAGGAGATGCAGGAGTGGATCAACCAGGCTGAGGAGGACTACCTGGAGAGGGACTTCACATACAAGACGCCTGAAGAGCTGCGCAAGGCTGTGGAGGAGCTCAAGGTGTGTTTGCTAAGCTGATGTAAGAGGTTGTGGATGATTTGAGGGTTTGTGCATGAGCAAGAGAATAAGGCAGAGGCACACATCCAGTTTCGCTTTATTATTTTGACAAGTGTAGTATTGGCCATGCAGGTTGTACAAAGTTTTATAAAGAAAAGAGGATCTGAAGGAGAAAAACAATAAGGTTGCACATGAATATATATAAATAAATGAAGTATTTCTGATTCTGATATATGACTTAACTACACTATGCAATCTCAACTACCATTCAACAAAGAAAGTACACAATGAGCTGATATGAGATCATCGGTTCATTGTGATGGTAAGCAATTCAATTAGAGGGATGAACATTTAACATCAGTATATGTGACATCACCTGTGTGTCTTAGTTTCAGCGTGGTGTTGTGTTCACTCTCTGAGCGTGCTCTGTTTGGATTTCCTGACATCTGGATAATCACTATCTCAGTCTATATTCACAGCTCACATCTGACTCACTCTGTGCAGCTGCTGCAGATGTGCTTTCTCTTTCTTTTCTCTGTCGCTCCATTTTGATCCCGGTTAATTCCAGGTCGATAACGCCCCTGCCTGCCTGCCTCTCCTTTCATTGTTGAAAAAAAAAAACGCTCTCCTTCTTTCTTCCTTTATATCTCTCTTTATCGTCTTCCCTCGCTCACAGCTTTGTCTCTCTCTCTCCCCTCTCATTCCTTCTATTCCTCTATTTTGTATCAAACTGTATCGATCCCCTCATTCACTGCTGCACTTCTCTTTTTTTCAGCTTTCATAACTTTAATGTGAAGTATTTGTCATGTAAATTTATGGCACCATTTGCTGTTCATATCAACCAAAAAAGCCTTGGCAGAAGTTCTCTCTTCCCTCCTTCCTCAAAAATAAAAAGTTTACTTGAGAGTGAAGTTAAAAATTAAAAATTGATTTCACTCTGCTTGCTCTCACTAATCCTTCCTCCTACTCCTCCTCACTCCTTTCACCTCCTCTGCCTCTTCTCTCCTCTTCTCGTTCTGCTCTGAGCTTAAAGGAAACTCCATTCGTGAACCCGCTCACTCGTTTATTCTTCTAATCCCCTCTCCATCTCCCCCTCCCCGTCTCCCTCCCTTCCTCGTTTGGGAAAGTATTAGCTACACTCTTTCATTCATTGATTCGCTGGCTTACTTGTTCACTCCGTTTCTCTGTCTCTTCACACTTGGTGGCTTTGTCAACAGAAGATACATTGATTCATTTGTTTGGGCATCCATCCCTCCATCCATTAAGCCCTCTCTTTTTCTCTCTCTTTCGTTCCCTTGATATGACATGCCTGTTAATGTACACTAGCTAGACCAACTGCACTTAAGATATTTTTCAAACAAACCCAAATCTATGTCACTTATTCAGCCAGCAATGTAACGCTTTCTGCTGTTGGAAATGTTGATCGAAAACAAACTAACCACATGAAACAAACATGTCACACTGAAGGTGTTTAGCAGTAGTCGCATTTGGTCATCAAACAGGGGTTCATCATTTCCTTTAAACTCTTCTTACAATCCACAATTCACTTTGGCTCAGTGGCAGTATGCCGTCTCTCATCTGGAAGGTCAGAGGTTGTGCCCTATTTCCTCGGGCAAGACACTGAACCCCAAGTTGCTCCTGTTGTTTTGTTGGTGGCGTGTGAATGTGTATGAATGGGATTAGTTAATACTGAGCACACTTTACATAGCAGCCTCTGCCAACTGTGTGTAAATGTGTAGGTGTGACCTGCTGTGTATAGAAAACTAGAAAAGCTCTATACAAGTCCATTTACCATTTACAAAATCACATACTCACATCTAAGAAAATTCTGCATTTTCCCCACCCTTCTCCAGATCTACATTTCCTACCATTTTTGGACAGATATTATCAATCTCCTTTAATGTGACATTCCTGCTCATTATAGAGCAACAAAGTTCAGTTGATGAAGTTAGGTGTAGAGTAAGCAGTAACCCATGGTAACCAACTTCTTTTTCCAGTATTTTTTATTGGTTTATTTAACATACAGTGACATTGATGCTGTAACATTTAACCATGCACACATCCCAGATGCACTGCTCTTAGTGTATGTAGCAAAATGCCAATTTGCAACACATGTCCAGGAAAGAAATTACATCGCAAATCAGGCTGAGTTCAGCCTCAAAGAGCTGCTTGCATGGCGGTACACTCAGAGGAAGCACGTTTTCGTCTCACAGTAAAATAAACTGCTGGAGAAACTTTGTACTGGAGCAAGTGTACTGATGTTATCCGTAAGCTGTCTACCTGTGGGGATGTTTCTGTGTGCTTTTGTTTGCCTTCAGCTGAACTCAGCAGAAACTCCTCTTTTGTTTTGTCCCTCCAGTCTCTCTCCTTTCTCCTCTTGTACGTTTATAGTGATATATTGTTTCAGACATCCTAGGATGAATGCTAATTCCTCCCTCGAGTAAAATATTTTCATCAAGGGTCTGTGGGAAATTTGCACTGCCCCGGGAGAATTTGCATTTAACTGCAAGTTTTCTTTTACTTTGTTTGCTGCGTTTGTTTTGTTGAACATAGTTTGTCCCATGACATCAAAGCTATTGCAAAGAAATTCCTTTTTTCCACCATGGTGTCCTCTTAATGGGGCTATTATCTCCCTGAGGACGTTTGACATGTCTGAACTCAAGCTAGCAGTGGTACTCCTATAAATACTGCTTAATAACGCTTCTTTCTCTCATTCTCTATCAGAGGGCGCAGGAAGAGGTCCACTCAAAAGAGCTGAAGGTCAAACTCCTGACTGACAGTGTCAACAGTTTCATCGCCAAGGCTCCACCGACCGCCCATGATGCCCTGCGGTCGGAGCTGGATGTCTTGACGGCAAACTACCAGCGACTGTGCAGCCGGCTCGATGGGAAATGTAAAACTCTGGAGGTAAGAACTTTATTTTCTCTTATATGTTGTGTTCATCCAAGGCTGCGTTGCTCGCATGCATCAGCCCTGGAGGGCATGATGCTGAGTTTGGTGGTAAAGATGAGAGTGTGAGTATTGTCAGAGGGTGTTTACAGTACATTGTATATGAGCTGAGCTGAGGTTAGCCAGGCAGGATTGTTTCAGGCTCTGTTCATGCATTCAAGATGTTGTTTCATACAAACTGTAAGATTAGTACAAAAGATGTGAATAATCAGAAGTTGTTTCACAGATTAGCTGGAGGTTTACAGAGAAATAATTTGAATAAATTGCATCCCATCATTTTGTATGATTAGTTTTGTTTCCAATTGTATCTGTACGTATCATTTCATAATTTTGTATCATATCGTAAGTATTTGTCTCACATGACAAATCATGTCATATGAGACTTATATTTATGAAAAACATGATAAAAGAAAAAAGAGGAAACCCCTGCCACAGAAACCCTCTTAAGAGAGGCCAAAGGTAAAGTATCTACCTGTAAGACAGTGTAGTCCACGATCATCACAATACAACAGCCCTAATGTGCTTTTGGATGCTTTGAGTTAATGTGTCATGAAACACTGCTGAAACTCCAGTCTGATGGTAATGACCTGTGCAATGAGGCAGCTCCCTCAGCATCTTATAGAACAATGAAATGTGTAATTGACTTCAAAGAGAGTGTCTCTAACTGTGTTTGAACTGAAAATATCACGAGACAAAACTGTCATAATGAATAAAAAACACTATCTTCATAGATTAGGTTTCAGATACCTGAAAATAAAAAAAACTCTGACAGCTCTCACTAAGCCCAGGACTCATAAGTGAGGGATGTGATGAAGCTCTAAATATTTGTACTAGATTACATGTGAACAACATCCCAGCAGGCTTGATAGCAAAACAGTGACGCTCTCTTACCATCAAATCAGGTGTAGAAAATGTTCACAGCGACTTTCTTTCTTTGGAGATGCACACACATCCTTCCTGTCGCTGTGTGATAACAAACACAAAGAATAAACTTAAGTCTGCAGTGGAGGTCGATTGCATTAAAGTTGAGCTTTTGTTGCCAGATGTAGGCGTGGAGGTATCTGTATTTTTCTCCTCTCACAACTCTAAACACACACAAAAGCAGCTTTTGTGCCCTCTTTAATGTTTATTGACCGACGTCTGAGATGAAATGTGGCCTGACATTCAGACGCTGCCCTGTGAGCATAAGAGGCAGATATAGCCTTAACTACACTTTTCATCCAGGAGTTATATTTGTAGTAGCTTTTGGCATTTTGAAAACGTCTTTTTATAAAATACCTGATGCTATAAAATACACGCTGTTTCCAACACTGTCTGGAAACCCTCAGCTGTTCCACTACAAATTGTGCACTTGATATTGTTGTAAGTCTACTTTTTCAGATTGTTTAGTTTTCCTGATGTAGCTTTCCCTTTTTTATGTTGTGGGGACAGGTCAATCACTTCAGCAAGACAGAAGCAACTGTTGCCTAATATGTGTATGGAAAAAACATGTCACTTGTCGCAATCATTTGCTTTTCCCTCCTCATGACTTTGCACACGCTCGTGTGTGTGTTTTTTTTGCAGGAGGTGTGGGCGTGCTGGTGTGAGCTGCTCTCCTACCTGGAGCAAGAAAACGCCTTCCTTGACCAGCTGGAGCAGAAACTGGACGAGACAGAGAACATGCAGGGAGGAGCGGGGGAGCTGCAGGAGGCGCTGGATGTGAGTGTGAACAAGAGGGTGCATGCTCGGGCAAAATAATGTTTGCAACAAGTCTTCAGACAAAATAAAACATGTAAAGGAATCAAGACGTGTTCTAAGTTTTTCACAGGCTCAGTTTAGCTGGACACTCAAAAAAAAAAACGTGTGTCCAGCTTCAAATTGATCCGTAACCTGCTGGAGACCCAAGAGAAAGATCTGTTTCTAAAAGTCTCTTTCTGTCTTCAGCTTTTTGTTCAAGCTGACTCGAGCTTAGTTCCTCTGCTGTGTTCCTGTTGGAGCTACAGATATCACCTTCTGCTACTGTTTACTGATCCTATTGGAGCTGTGTTCAGTCTCTGATGCTGCAAAATAAAGCCCGTCCCACTGCTGCTTCACCATCAAAGCTTTGCACTGCTAAGACAAGACAAAGTTGTTGTTTTTTCTGATGGGGAATATATACTTAAGATAAAAACGGTTTGCCACTCAGAGATTACAGTTATTAAAGACATATGTGTTCACAAAATTAACTTTCCTCTAAGGACATATGAGGACATATTTAGATCACTTATAACGACTGCAGCAAAGTTCCAAACTTACCTTCGACTCTGGTCCATTTTTAGCTGCATGGACAAACAGTTACAGGAGGATGACACTGAGCAGTTTGTTTTAACACTCTTTTTATGATCTGAACACAGAAGAAGAGGGGGTTGCTGATTATAGTTGCTAATTTCACTCAAGAGAATAAATCACTTTTTGTAACAGGAAAGAATCTTTATTTCACACAAGACCGTAAAAAAGCAGAAGCAGATAGAGCAACTATAGACACATGCAGAGGGTGTGGTAGGATCCTGCAAATAGCTCAATAATGTCTAGTGATTAGTATGTCCTTAGCAAGGCAACACCTCTTGCTTTTTACCATATTTACTTGTTCAATAAGGTTAGAGAAGATGTTTCTGCCATTTATAGGAAATACATAGTGGACTGAGATATAAGACCTTTCTGATGCTGATATGCAGAACAAAGTTTTTTAAAAAAGTGAGGCCATTAAAACTTAAACTGAATTGTTCAATTAGAGACTTTGAGGTTTACTAGTGTTTATGATAAAATACAGGGAGGCTTGTTTGTTAATTCCAAACTGTACTTGTGCAGATTGCCTTAGATGTTACATGCAGGGGTTTAATAATGAAGAAAGCTTAAAGCCTCCTGTACAGGATGCCGTCTTTCATGTTGTTTCAATGTTGGTATGTTACAGCAAAAATGGTAATCACTGCCTACTCAGCTGAGTTTTACTACGCTAATCGCTCCACCGACGCCAACCACACAGACCTTCTGTGGGTTTCTGAATGTGTGAAAAGCTGTTAAGTACCAACGTCAGACAAACAAGGACTAATTGACTTATCTTAACCCCTACATGTCATCACTTAACACTCTAATGCTGCATAATTTTCAATTTGCTTCTCCTACATGATCATGACTCACAATATTAACTATATATATATGTGGTCGTGATATAATATCACGACCACAAGAGGCATCATCTGAAGCTATTTTGAACTGAAATTAAAGAGTGATTGATGATATTTTGCTTGTGTGTACAGGGTCTTGAGGTTCTTTTGCGGCACCCAGAGGACAACAGGAACCAGATCCGCGAGCTGGCGCAGACGCTGATGGACGGAGGCGTTCTGGATGAGCTGATTCAGCAGAAACTGGATGCCTTCAACACAAGATGGGATGAACTGTTTGCCAGGGTAAGTTGCTAAGTCCACTCATATGATGCAGAATAATACTGCATGTATTTTGTCAAGGGTGCAGCTTGTTTCCATATTCCCAAATGTGGATTGAACACATGTATGTTGGTTGAATAGCTAAGAATCAGGATCAGCTTCTCTACACCCTTTTCACAAGTGTACAGAGACATCTGAGTCTTCTGATTGATGACCAACACAAGTCATGCCTCCTTCCCTAATATATACAACATCAGAAAATGGTTTGTGTTCATCCCTGTTGCACCTGACTGAGAGTGCCCCTCATTCCTCAACCTGACAACTGTAACATCCAGCATGTAGTGAAAAAGCTCTGCAGATCTTCCACAAAGCATTCTGGCTTCAGTCAAAGACAGCTAGTGTCACTCTACTTGGTATTGTTCCCTATTGGTTTTTGTTGTTTCTTGCACTTTGTCCCCCTTACACAATAACCATCATCTAGAAAGTGCTGCGCAAAGAGAGCTTACAATGTCAGTGTTTAAGGCATGCAAGGTGGTACGCTTCAAACATTGTAAACCGCAGGATGGAAAAAGAAAACACACAGGCCACCAGAGACATGTCGGAGTTTAAAGTGAACATTTCTATCTGAGGGGTTGGGCTGGTTCACCCTCTGTAAACTGTGACATTTCATGTTGTGTTCTGATGTTTTGGTTCTTAAACATGGGTTGAAGCGAAAGTCACTCTAAAGTCTTTGATCATAAATGTATGACCCTCTTTTCAGTCGCTAAAGCTGGAAATCTGTTGCTTTTTGATGCTGTTTTGAATGGCAAACAAAAGCTTTTCACACAGCACGGGTTGTGGTTACTGCAAAACAGCAAACATAGAAGCAGTTGCTCTACCAAATAAAAATGAATTTTATGTATCACAAGTCAATCTCACAGAAGTCCTACAAGCAGGTTTATAAACCCTCTTGTTTTTTGCTCAATGCGCCCAGCTAATTAACGCTAACTGGGCCTACTGTTTCAGTAAATCAGGGGGTCTTAATCCAAACTCCTCCTCTGTCACTCTGCCCAGCATCTTTGTTCTGCAGAATCCCACGAGGTCTTAATACTTCTGAGAAATCCTCATTTCCCAACATGCTCTCGCTCCCTTCTCATTTCCTGTCTGTGTGAACATGCAGATGCGTGCTCCCTGTAACACGTGCTCTTTGAAACGAAGCATTTACTTTGATTAGGCACCTTGATGCACTGTGGCTTCGATTGTAGCTCATTTGTGCATCGCTGTGAACAAAATGCCACATGAATAAATGTAAAAGTGCACTCACAGAAACATAGAAAGTGACATAACATGGAAATATAAAGGCTGGATGCATAACTGGTTGCTTATTGTAAGCCTGACGTACGGGAGAACAATGAGCCGTTTGCCTCCTTAGAATATCAATTTAGAGGAAGATTGAGCTACAACAAGATGGAAATGATTCCAATAAAAACTAAAGACTTATTACCTCGAAATGAATAACTATTGTAGTTCTGTATTTTCTCCTCCACCTCTTTGCTTTCTGATTTTTTTAGTATAAAAACAAGAAGGTTTTTGGAAAAAGTACTTCTTCTATTTGTATCTTTTATAACAGTGAACCAAATGGCTTTTGGCTGTGTCGACTTGTGCCTATTTTCCAGCATTTTAAAGATGAAAAATTGATCAGTTACTGGACTAATATTTCAATGAATCAATCGTGAAGCAAGTCTTATTTGGAGCCCTCTTTTCTTGCTCTTTGTACGTTTTTCCATTTGCTCTTCCCTATCCATTTCTCTCATTCTCCCCTACCTGCATTAATCACACATTCCCCTCACTTCTATTTATTTATCATCTTCCTTTCTCCTCTATTCTATCATCTTCCTTCCCCTTCTTCTATTGCTTCTTCTGCCTTTTCATTGCCAATTTCTCGTCCATTTTCTCCACCTCTGTGCCCTCTCTACCTCCCGTTAGCCCCCTCCTCCTCCTCATTCTCCTCCTCATTCTCCTCTTCCACTCCAAATATCTCTCTTGCCCTGCTTCTGGCCGTCATCAGCCCTCGTCAATGGCAGCGATACATCCTCAGCCTCTTGTGTTGATCCTCAGTGACACACTACAGTAGACACACAAACACTCATAGACACACACTCATTGCCTGCTGGGTTGATCCTCCGTCACAATGGAACCAGATTAATGTTCTCCTTGCAGCCTGATAAGCCTCCTTTTGTTTGTCTACCCATCTGAGAGTGTGTGTCTGTGTGTGTATCTGTTCTTTTGTGTCATTATGTTTGTTGACTCCGTATGTGTTTGATAGCACCACAGAAGCTGGTGTCCTTTATTTGGGCTCGTATGTCAGTATGTTCACGTGTGAGGTGATGCCGGGCGGCTCTGAGCCCCCGTTTGTTTGTCATCCATAAAAAGGACGAGGAGCTCGGTGACAGGACGCCGCTGTTTGTGAGTCTCTCCAGAAAGACAGATGGAGCCGCAGCAGCACACACAACAAAATATTGCCTTAATGTGTTTCCCTTTCTTTGACCTGAGGGAAATGCACTGAAGGAATCCCTTTCTCTTTTTTTAAATGTCCTTTTTGTAACCTGATCTAGGCTGTTTGAAGAACACACAGTCACACCTCAAGGATGGCTCCAGACTCACAGCAGTCATTTCTCAGCCTTAATCTAGAGATTTCTAGAGACATTTAGAAATGCCATGACCTCAAATTGTCAGATTCTGTCTGCAGTTTGAGTGGTTTTAGACTGATGTGGCTAAAACTGGTCATATCCTAGATAACACACTTGATATGAGGCATCCTGAATATGCTCTAAAAGAAAGATATCACAGCTGTCATTGTAACTTATAAATTAAGATTAACAAACCTGGCTGTCATATTGATGGTGACAATGCTACCAGAACTGGGCTCTGCAACTGAAGAGGCTGCAGCCATTCCTAACATTATTCAAAGTACCAACTGTTTTCTGGCCATGAAATATAGAAATGTCTGCTATGAGAAACACATTTTTAGCCAAATTCTGCCAACACATTTGTTACACCATAAGGATTTTTGTTTGTTTGCAAAAGAACTCCACAGGGTGCCTTTTATAAAAGGTCATTCCCATCAAATTAACATACCAGGCCAACTTCTGCTACTTTTTGAAACTCTGTTGGTATTTAGAATAGAACAAGTAACCCGGAGCAGGGTGAAGCCTCCTTTCTCCCGCTTAGATTAACATAACTTTGCATTTACAATGAAAATGTAGATGACATTCAGATCAGAAAATAATTTCTTATCAAATTCCTTCTTAGCCATAGAAAAGTATTAAAAGTGCAAGAGTCAAATAGCTGACTGTTAAAGTTGTCCCGCATCAGATTGAGCTGTTTTAAAGAGTGCAGGGGTCCCAGTAAACGCAGAGACATTGGAATAAGTCTCTAATCTCTTTATATCGATGTCCCTCTTTGATACTTGTGGAGAGATAAAATGTTGTTTCACTTCTCCGTCTGCACTTCTTCACATCAAAGAGGCGTGTTTGCCTTTTTTAATTTCGGCTTCTTGTAACGGCTGAAAACCAATAAGAGGAAGCACGGTGCGGAGACGCCTCCTGCGCTTTGCCCACGGCGTTTCCAAGACGAGGCAGTTAAGCAAACAGCGATCGTCTATCTCTGGAGCTCACAATCACTGCATGCGGGACTGTGTGTGTGAGAGAAATAAGTAATAAGGGAAAACGGGGTGTTTAATAAGAATATGTATTCATGAGGCAACAATTGCCAGAGAAATGGATTACATCGCCACAGGGAAGGTTGTTATCAATGTTTGTCTAAATATTTAATCCGGCTCAAGTTCTCATTTCATACATTATCAACGAAGACACAAGACAAAACGTAACGATACATTCCCTGCTCTCATTAGGAGCGCTGTGTGTGACACGAGTTAGGCAGGCTCAGGGCTATACTTAGAGTCATTATCCTTCTGTATGGGATCAGCATGCTCACCTGTAAGCACATGTACACTCTCACTCTCCGTCTCGCACTCACACACACGGGGCTCACACAGGTGTGTGACGTAACTAATTGGTCTGTTTGTAAGTTAATCCTGTAGGAAGAGGAAAGAGAGAAAGGAGACACTTCAGTAGTTGCCAGGCTCTTCGTTGTCAACCAGCGTCTGAGGTTAACGGTGTTGTTGTTGTTGTTGATGTGGTCGTTCTCTCCGAGACATCATGAGAGAAAAACCCCGGAGTCCAGCCTTCAAGAGGGTTCAGGGGGACAAAGGTGTGTGTGTGTGTGTGTGTGTGTGTGTGTGTGTGTGTGTGTGTGTGTGTGTGTGTGTGTGTGTGTGTGTGTGTGTGTGTGTGTGTGTGTGTGTGTGTGTGTGTGTGGAAGATGTAGTTTATGTACGTGTAGTTCAGTGTTGTGTTTGTGCTTTGTTTTAGTTTAAAGGCAACTTTAAATTCATTAAAGCCTTTCTAAGGAGTTTTAGGCTGGTTATGATGCAGACTAAAATTAAATCTGTTTCCTCTTCATGACCTCCAAACGCAAACAAGACCATGATCCAGAAGATTGATAACTTATGTAGAGTCATTTTTGAAAGCCTAAGGTAGCTGTAGATTTTCAGCAAGCTTAAGAGAAAAATGGGATATTTGTTTGGCTCTTGTACAAGGTAAAATGTGCAAACCTCCTAATTACCAACCATGTTAAAAAGTTTTGTTTGCTTCAAGAGATTATATTCCTCTCCACTAATTTAATTATCCAACACATGGATGTAAAATCATAACTTTTGGTTTTTTAAATATTGCATTTTCCGTCCTCTGTGTGTGGCCATAACTCTTCCTGAGGACACAAAATACACACCACAAACATGCAGTTACATTTTTGAAAAGGCTCCAGTGACTATTCGCAGCAGCAGGCAGTGTACGAGCAGAATGAAGACACCAAACACCTGTCTGCTTCTGGGTTTTGCATGAGTCACAGTCCCATTTTTGACTCATCTCTTGGCTTAATTTCAGCCTCTGAAGTGTAGTAGGCTGTGTGTGCAGAGGTAGTGATGTAATTCTGCAGAGGCTTTTTATACACTGGGTGTAAAATGCAGCAGTAAACAAGATAACAGGTGTAAATATGTGAATGAAATATCCAAAGCTCCCCCTGAGGACCTTTTAAACATGCATCTAATCTAAATCTCAGGGGGAAGAGATTTTCAAGCTTTTGTTTGTGGGATATTACTTTTATACTCGAGCTGGAAAACTGAATTTAAGAATTCATGTAAACATAGCCTAGGTGTTCCCCCTCAGCCGTTCCTCATATTCATAGTCTTATTGATGTGTCTGCTGTTTCCTCAGGCGGCACTCAGGCGGAAGGAGCTGGAGAAGAGCGTCCAGTGGGCCCAGGAGAATGACAAGACTCTGAGGCAGATGCAAGACTCACTCGCCAACACCGACCGACACCTCACTGCGTACCTGGCTGACCACATCGACGCCCTGCAGATCCCACAGGAGGCTCAGGTAGCCGTCTGTGTGTAACAGTGTGTGTCTTTAAGGAATCACAGGAATAAAAGGAAGAACATGAAACCTCACATGTTCCCACCATCATACTATGATAACTTATAAGATGACCAATTCTGCCTCTGAGACCTTTTCAGCTCCTGAATACTTCAATGATCTCGAAGTAGAAAACTAATTGTTTTGTTTATGCATACAGAAAAAGTGAACTTAAACATTCCAAGAGATTTGTCCTCGATGTGGTGCATTAATCAAATAATAAATCAACCAAAGGTCAGATGAAAATGCTTTATTTATGCACTTTCTCTGCTTCTTTAAGCACCAAAAACAAAAGCAATGATTTCATCATGCTAATCTTACATTATCAGTCAAAGTGAACTTTCAAGTTACAGTGTATTAATGAAGGAATAACTCAGCAAAAGGTCATGAAGATAACAAAGTTCAACAAGATGCAGTTTGTAGATAAAGATCACACTTGTGTATCTGTGTGCGTTGCAGAAAAAGCACCACAGTTTATGTGTGGTACTTTGTATGGAGGTGATCAAACCATTGGAACATGATACTTTTTCTCTTTGGAAAACGTTTTAGCAGGAAAAACACTGACAAACATTTAAGATGAATTAACCACTGGATGGTTCAACCAGGTCAAATCTGAGACAGCTTTTAGTAGAAATCGTGTTTTTAATCTTGCTCTACCAAAGGGCTAAGAAGTAGAACATCTGTTTGTATGTGTAGTCTGATCAAAGAAAAAAGTGTTGGATATGCTGAGTATGACTTTTTCTCCGTCTCAGTTTTAAATGTATTTTTAAACTCGATATTTCAACATGTGTTGCATCAGTCGGTGTACAAAGAAGCAGCAACAACGCACCCAGGTTTGTACACTTTCACATTCAGTGCTTGTACTACACAGTCACACTATTCTTAAAAGGGAACACATAACAGCTTGATGTAAAGCACTGTAAGAGCAAGGTTATATGGGTAGATGTGATTTGTACAGTGTGTTTATAGGTGTTCTGAACAGCCACACTGGAGGCCGGCAGTCATCCAGTGTGATTTAGTATAAATACACAGATAACAGAGCAGATTTTCAGTCTTTCTCTCCCCGAGGACATTCAAAGTGTTGCACTTGGTTATGCACATAAACATGACAGAAAAAGCTGTGACAAACAGAGAGAGCTGTGAGAGAAGTTCAGACCCATCTCTCTCTCTCACCTCCACACAGCTGGAGATGCACAGTGTGAGGCGGACGTAAATGTCTGGTCTTCAGTTCCAGACCTTTTCAGGAATGCTCAGACACAGAGTCATCCCGAGTTTAGTTACTAAAACACTGTATACAGTTTTCAAAAAATACTTAAAGAAAATGACTTACAGAGAAACTTCAGTAGTCAGTACTGAGTCTTTGTAGTCTGATGGGACGATGGGCCTTTTTGTGTGAACATGTTTGTCTTTTAGATGTTGTAGATTCAGACACAGCCTTTGTGGTGTTTGTTTCTTTGGGGTTTTGTTCATTAATGTAAATTTATTTTGTATTATTTTCAACCCAACTTATTTTCTTCCCTTCAGTACATTGTCCACAGGAAGGCGGATTGATCCAAAGTGTGAACAGAGCAGGAACTACTCAGGAAGCTCCCCACGAGTGATTGGGCCAAGTGATGATATTTACATTGTGCTAAGCCAGGGGGATCTTCATGCTCATAGTGAGGCATAAGCCAGAATGTTCTTTTGCAAATGTTGATTCTCTGACTACATCATCCAATTACATGTAGCGTTGGGATAAGGCAAACATTTTCATCATAGCATCAGACTCTGTTTCTTTGCTGCCATCTTGGATATATTGTAAACATTACACAGTGAATTCCGCAGCATCCTTTTCACCTGACCCGGCAGGGAAATATATATGAGGGACATGTCTGAAAGGGTAGCGGCAGGCTTTCCTGATTTATTTATATTTTCAGGAGTTCTGTGGTGAAAGGGTCTACTGTAAAGCTTCTGGCTTTTTCAGATTGAGTTATAAACAGAGACAGGCTAAGCTGACAGGTAGAGGGAGAAGAGAAAGACTTGAGAGAGAGCGAGAGAGAGAGCGAGAGAGGCAAATGCTCGTTTTCTCTCAGTGGTCATAATTAAGCCTGGAGCAGCTTTGGACACGCACACCAGTCTCACACACACATTCACACAAACTGCCTCCGTCTTTTGGTCTCTCCCTCTGACATCTAATTCCTTCACATCCCTTCCATTCCTTCCTTCTTTTTCTTTGATAACACACACACACACACACACACACACACACACACACACACACACACACACACACACACACACACACACACACACACACACACACACACACACACACACACACACACACACACACACACACACACACACCACACCACACAGGATGATGAGTGAATGATTGGATTAGTGTGGTGTGGATGAGCATATGTGATTACACGGCACTTGGTATTTAAAAGGAGAGGGGGTGACAGAGAGCAAGTGAGTGTGTGTTTGTGAAAGAATGAGAGAGAGGCAGACAAGTTATTCAAGCTTTTGAGCCCCCTTTTCTCTCTCCTTGATGCCTCCTGCCCCCTTGTGGAAAGCAGGATGAGGTACATAATCAATTATTTTAAACTTTATTGATTTAGTCTCACTTTCCAGGCAGACCTTATTCAATTGACTAAATTCTATTCTCCTGTTCTTCGCAGTCAATCACAAACATTCCCCATCTGAAACTGATGTTTTTGTGTAGTTGAAGTTCCTTTGTTCACAAAATTTGACATTTATTGAATTTGTGGGTGTGTGTATGTGTGTGTGTGTGTGTGTTTTTAACACAGAAAATACAGTCAGAGCTGAGCAGCCATGATGCAACACTGGAGGATTTAAGAAAGAAGAACCAAGACAAAGATCCGTCCAATAGGATCTTGGGACAGATAGACGTCACCCAGGTACACACTCACACCTGCACTTTTAATCTTAATATCCCAAAGTTGAAAAAGTTGTAAGGAGCCTTTTCTGTCTCATGAGGGAGCTGTGAGATTTTTGTTTTATCTCCAAGGTTGAAATCTTTTTTTTAAAAGTGTGTGGTGTTTTGGACTTAGAAAGCAGAGAGCTTACCAGAGCTTCTGCAGCCCGCACCTCATCTCTGCTTGAGGCTCCATGCTGCAGGCTATGTTAGCCAATTCTGGCATAACACATCCAACCCTCCCAACTGAACTGCTGATGGTGGAGTTGCATTCTGACTGCCAGCAGGCAGCTGTTGTATATTTATGCCCCAGCTCAGGCAAACTGTGCTACAGTTTTGAACTGTGGGAAATTGATATGAATCCTCATTAATAAATTCAAACTGTGGAATTCCTCTTTTCGTGCCTTTAATACAGAGAGGACAGTGGATAGAGTCGGAAACCAGAGAGAGAGAGCGGGGAATGACATGCGGAAGGGGGCCACGGGTGGAAGTGAACCCGGGCCTACCGCTCGAGACGAGAGTCTCAACACATGGGACGCGCGCCCTAACCATTGCGCCACCAGCGCGCCCTGAAATTCCTCTTTACACGTTTAAAAACTGTTATTTCTCATTCTGAATACCAAAAAACCTGTTCAAGTTAAAATGCAAATTATGAGTCATATGGTCCTTTAACAGTCATACCATTAAACACACATAGCAAATGGTATTTTAGAGATTTGCTCGTCAGTGTGCAGAAAAGTACACAATGTCACTTGAAACATCACTTTTAAAATCTTGGCAGTTTTGCAGAAGATTTCAATAGTTAATGAAGGAATCCACGTTGTGCCAGCTGTGTGTGATGTACTCAGGAGAAGTGTGAGTGTGATCTCCTGCCAGCGAGTTGATCTGAGCAGGTGGATACACGAACAACGGAAAACATGGAGGCCTCTGCAATCTGCTCGTAACACTTCATAGTGGATTCTTCACATTTATTGAAAGAGTTTACACTTTGTTTGAAGCGGCTGTTGTGTGATTTTACTGTGTTCGTAACACTCTTTGCAGAAATTGCTGACAGACGTGTGGGCAAAGTTCCGCCTCTTCCAGAAGCCTGCAAACTTTGACGCTCGGCTGGCCGAGTGTGAGCGCGTGCTGGCTGGGGTCAAAAACCAGGTGGTGCTGCTGGAGATCGGCAGCGTGGAGCAGGATGTGGTGCAGTCGCAGCTGGAGCAGTGCATGGTGGGTAATCGAATTACAATAGCAGATCAAGATAGATTGATACGATGTTAAGCTCCTGCTGTCTTTCTTGTAACAGAAGTTGTACAAGGTGCTGAGTGAGGTGAAAGGCGAGGTGGAGACGGTGATAAAAACAGGCAGACAGATCGTACAGAAGCAGCAGACTGAGCTGCCCAAAGAGATGGACGACAGAGTGACCGCCCTCAAACTGCTTTACAACCAGCTGGGATCACAGGTCAGGACACACACACTTACATACTCAAAAACATGATGACTTAACTCAGAGGTAGACAAAGATTTGACCTTGTTTAATGTGTCTGTAGGTAACAGAGAGTAAACTGGAGCTGGAGAAAAGTCTGAAGTTGTCGAGGAAGCTGCGTAAGGAGCTGAATGGACTGACAGAGTGGCTCGCCGCCACTGATGCTGAGCTGACCAGACGCTCGGCTGTGGATGGTATGCCGAGCGACCTTGAGGCTGAGGTCGCATGGGCACAGGTATGACACTCATTTTAAAGCTACCTGGTGGAGCAGCAGAAACAAGATGAAACACACCACCAGCTGTCTGTTCCTTTTAGCGACTGCCTGCTGCAGGAGATTGGTTTAAAACAATAAAGCTGTGGGCTGTGAAGACCAAAACAACAAGCTGAAAGACACCTGATGAATGCTTGACCTGACCCGCTGCTGATTGTATCTGCTTTCAAGAAAACCCACAAGAGCAAATAAAAGAGCTTATAGAAACCAGAATCTTCTTTGTCTTTTTCCTGTCAGTCCATACATGCAGAGACTGAGAAGCGTCAGCCGCAGCTGCAGGCCGTGGTGGACCTCGCTGAGGCCCTCAAAGCCGTGCTCCGGGGCAACGGGGGCCTGGTGGACGACAAAGTCAGCCTGCTGCGCTGCAACTGGATCGCAGTCACATCAAGGGCGGAGGAATGGCTCAACCTGCTGCTGGTCAGAGAAAGAAGATGAATTTTAAACACTGTGATGCTCATCTGTCTTCTTAGTTCTAAAATTACACCAAACTCCCTAAAAATAGCTGATCAGAAAGGGAACTGTTTGCAGAATCAAGATATGAATACTTTCTCTCTCTGTCTCTCTCTTTGTCAGGACTACCAGCGGCAGATGCAGAAGTTGGATGGAGAGATAGAGGAAGTGAACGGATGGATTGACGGAGCAGAGAAAAAGATGGACAAGATAGACAGCCAGGGACCCAACGAGGCTGTGCTTAAGGTTGTGATGTTTGTTTTGATGTTGTTTCATGATGTATTTTTTGTCCTTGTTTTAAATGTTTCTCTGCTAAATCTCTGAGAATGTTGTTGATAAGATAAGAGAGAGTAATGTAAGAGAGTTGATCTGACTGACTCTGTGTGTGGTGTGTTTGGTGTGTGTGTCCTGCAGGTGCTGCGTGCAGAGCTGGAGCTGACGAGGGGTAAGATGGAGGAGGTGAGGGCTCTGGCTCAGGAGCTCATGTCCACCAGAGGGGAGAACTGCCAGGCTCAGGTGGGACCCAAAGTGGAGCAGCTCAACCAGAGATTTGACACCATCGCTCAACGCATCACCTCCGGACTGGTAGGGAAGAAAAGAATCATACCCTCCTTTAAATTCTTGAAGCTATAACACACAGTCTGATGAGATTTGATTAATATGTCAGTAGATTTTTGTTTTGACTTCGGGCTGCAGCTTTAAAGGGGTTCTTTTTCTTTAATCTGTCTGGCTAAAGACTTTAATCGACCTATCCTCATAAATATACTTCAAACTCTCTCTGAATTTTTTTTAATTAAGTTCAAACTTTCTCTAAATAAACTACAAACTCTTAGAAATTTACATCAGAGGCTCACTAAATCAACTTCAGACTTTCTTGCTAAATGTTCTTCAAACCCTCACTCAACAGACCTCAAAGTCTCCAACTAAATTTACTTCAATCTGCACGTACCTCTTTGTCTAAATTTACTTTCTCTTGTGCATTAATGACCCTCCTTTCCTCCTCTTTCTGTGTGCCTTGTGTGTGTGTGTGTGGCAGACGGCAGCGTCAGCCAAAGAGCTGGAGCAGTACCACAGCGAAGCACAGATCTGGCTGGAGCTCCTGGAGGAGGAAGTGAAACAGGGGGAAAACCTGAAAGAGGAGGACTTCCAGGAGGATAAGGTCCAACACACATACTATTGACTGTATATAAAGGTGGCTGATGTGTCTCCACCTCCTTCATCAAAAGTGAAGCCAAAATACCTCACTGACAGGCGCTGACATGTTGCATTGGTGACATGATCTGGAGCCAGAGTTGCACAGTAGACTCTGCAGCGGTTTGGACGTCCAACACACATTCATCCATAAAAGAAAGCTCTCTGCGGTCGATAAAGTCGGCAGCTAAAAGGATTAATGTGTCGGTTTAAAGCAGATACTTACATTTGTAGACAGTTTAATGAGATATGGTGGTTTTCATTACATTTTCCTCTGATACGAAATGAAAAGAGTAAACTTTAAAGGCAGGAATCATATTTGAGAACATTTCATTTGATGTATATTTTTATTTTATAGTTTGAGCCATGTACGACTCATAATGCACAAACGCTCCAAATCTTTTGGCATCACTTTTGGTGAGCGGTCATGCCATCCATTTTTTTTTTACAGTCTGACACATAAAACAAAGAAAATGAAGGGGTTAAATTGATATTCCATGTGCACTTGTAAACCCTGTGTGTGTGTTTTGTAGGACTGTGAGGAAGGTGCAGTGAAGGAGTTACTTTTGAAAGGAGAGAATCTACAGAAGAGAGCCCCGGATCAGAACAAACGAGAGCAGATCAAACTGAAACACAACCAGCTCAACAGCAAGTACAACACCGTCAAGGTAACACACGCGCGCACACACACACACACATACACTCACACACAGAAGCAATGATGTCCCTGCTCTGTCCAAGATGATTGTGAGTGCATTTGTGTGTGTAGGACCTGCGTGTGCTGAGAAACAGGAAGGCTTTGGCCATCGCTCCCCAGTGGTACCAGTACAGGAGGAAGTCACATGACCTGCTGGCCTGGCTGGACGACATCCAACGCAGTGTGGACCAACTGCCAGACCCGCCCGAGGGAGAGAGGGTCAAGGTGACAACACGCACACTCATGATCACACACCTACATATTATAAACACCGATATAATAACAGGCCTTCTTTCTTTTCCCCCTCCTTTGTTAAAATGAGAATATGTGTCGTCCTGGTCATCCTGCTCTTCGTCTCATATTCTCTGTGCCTTTCTTCCTTTTCTTCTCCTACATGTTCCTGGTAAATTGCATCAATGGGAAACTCTTTTTATTCCATCTTCCATTCTCCTGCTTTTGACAATGGCTTTGGTGTCGAGGCTTTCACACTTTAATTCTCTCGCTCAGAGGAACTAGTTGTACCAGGAAATCATCTTCATGTCAGTTCAAAGAAATATGATTTATCTGGGAGTTTACTGTTCTTGACCCATAGCAGGAAAGAGGCTGATTAAACTGGGCTATAAATAACATTCACATCAATACATCATTTACAAATGATTAATGACTCATATCTATCTGACTGAGGTAGTTATATTTGAATGTATGTGACAGAGTTTAATAGCATTATCATACAAACTCAAACGCTTATCAACAATTAATAAATGCTGTAAAACTCATCATAGCAGATTCATAAACAAAAACTAGAATATGTTAAATCTGAAATGTATATTAAATGATGAGAATATACAACCATAGTTTTCTTCTAATATACTAATGCTATGTAGTAGTACAGATATATAAGTAGTAGTCTTACAGAATAGAAAATGTACCTAATTTAAGCATTCTTCTTACTATTTGTTGATGATGTATTCATTTATTTACACATTGCATCACGTTTTGAGTCAGAGTAATAAATCTAATGTTTACATTTTTAAATATCATTTCAGCTATGATCATAATTTAACTATATGCACAAGTTCGACAGGCCTAATGCCATCTTTTTGTTGTTGACAAATCCAATAACAAAAACTCATGAGGTAGCTGTCTCGTCTTTGAGTGATGCCACAACACATTTTGAATGTGCATCAGTTGAACCTCATTGATTTGACAGTGATGTTAATGCTACATGCAGGTGCAGCACCTTGAAATGTGCTTTGAAAAGGTTTGACGACAACTCCACGTGTTTTTTTTTCTGTCTCCACGCTGACTCTCCATGTGTGTCTTTCACTTTCAGATGATCACAATGACATTTCGCTAAGCGGACGTCTGACTCGCTCGACTCTCCTGTCATTGCCGCATCTGAAATTCCTCACTGTGTGTCTGTCTGTGTGCTCATCTATCTACCTGTCTGTCTGTCTCTGCTTCTTTTTACTCCCACTATTCCTGGCTCTCACACTCGATTACTCCACTGTACTTATTCAACCGGCCAGTGATTGTATTCCTTCCAAATGTAAATAAAGTCTCAAGGCATTGTGGGCCTCCTAATTCAAGCACCACTTTCTTATTTATATGGACTGTTCAAAATGAGACACACATCATATCATAATATACAATCTAGATACTTTGTGTATGTTTGATGCTTACAAACATGATTTCTGTCCTTTTATCAGTGTGTAGTGTCTTTGTTGAAGTGGGTGCTCTTGGGTAAATGAACGTGTGTTATTATTTTAAGTCTGTATTAATTGTCACTGTGAGAATGTGTATTGTTCCAGCACATCCACACGCCTCTCTGTGCTTAACCCCACCCCTGGGCTTAGCTGATAGTAAGTGACTTCCTGGTTGATTTCGTCCAATAGGAAATTGGCTCAGAGTTCGACAAGAAGAAGGAGGAGCTTAAGGAGGTGCAGGGCTTAGCCAATCAGCTCTCAGAGGCTGGAGCCGCCAATCTAGTGGAGCCCCGCCAACTCCATCTCAACAAGCGCTGGGTTGAGGTGGAGGGCAAGTTCTTACCCTTCAAAAGACAAAGTGTGAGTTTCAGTAGGCACGACTTTTATATCTACAGTACTAACAGAAAAAACTAATACTTCTACATAATACTACTCTATAAAGCCTTAAAATACACAGAATGAGACTTTCTGTTGTCACTAACATATAGCATGAAATTTGCCTTTAAAGCTTATGGCAAAACTATCTGACATTAATGTGGTACACAGCCTTCAGCAGACTTTTCATTTCTGCATGAAACATTTTTTAGTTCTGAAATCTACAGAAGTAGACCATAGTTAGTCATTTATGCCTTACAACAAACCTGTTTGATCTCTGGCGCTGAGTTGGGTGCTACAAATATAAAGCAGGCAGTTAGTTTAGCCTAGCAAGAAGACTGGAAGCAGCGGTATAAAAAACTCACCCACCCAGTCTTTAGTCTTCTGCTGTTGCTGACTGGAGGGTCAAATCATACTCCTACAGGTGTTATCGATGAACTTATTTCTTACTTTGGATGGTGCTCGTTAGCAGCTTAGTGAACATTCAAACATAAATCAGGTGTAAATCTTTTAGGGTACGTCTTAAAAAGAAAGCAAAGAAGCACATTCAAAGCATAGGGAAATGTAATTATACATTTATCTATCAATAAGTAGCTTCTGTAAAGATTAAATGGACTAAAATTATTATTATTTTTAGAACTAATGTATTCATTACTGGTTTTTGGAAATTGGAGAATTGGTGTCCCCTCTGAAAGTTAAATGTGAATGCTTTTTTGTTTTTCTTTGCTGCATTCTCATGAACATATCTTCTGTTAACATGTGAAGCACACTCACATGTCTCTATCTCATTGGTTGCTCTGTCTGGCTCTGTGTCACTGCATGCCCCGCCCCCCTGTCATACGATCACATTACATCCATCGCTGAAGATGTATGTACACTGTCCACCAATCACATGAATCCTCCACATGCACTCACAGCACATGGTAACACATTTCAAACTTGGACAAACACACATCTGATCTGTGAGATTGGAAACTTGCAGCGATGCATTTCTTCAGGCGCGGTGAGAAATAATTCAGCAACATTTCCCTTTCAGCTGAACACTCGCTCGCTGTGCTTCAGTGTGGTACAGTAAACCTGGGAGCTGCCCAGGCCTCCGAGCTGCTCCACTCAAGCTGTTTGGGCACTTCAGTGCATTGCTCAAGGACTCTTAAGCAGTAATTGGTGCACTTTATTTCCCATACCCTCCGAGCTGCTGTGGTTACTCTGCAATCACAGAAGTGGCTCAACTTTAGACTACAGCACCAAAACTTAGAAACATACATGCAATTGATACCATATTGTGTATGTTATAAATATGTTTAATGATTTAGCTCAAGTTGACATTCACTGAAACCATCACAGCTGAGAGGTATCGATGCTAACCCTGGACCTTTGTGTAGAGTGAAACAGTTGGAAAAGAATTACCCTTAAAAATTTGACATTGCAAAATGTTGACAGCAATCAGAATTGATATTTAAGCTAGTAAACATTTATGGATTTCATATTCAATCTATGGGATCTCTTTCATTTTGGGAAAACGAAACTATTTGAAGGCATTCCTCATAATTTGATGATTAAGGACTCATTTTTCTCTGTCACGTTAGCCTTCTCCCTTCAGCAGAGTGATACTGCTGAGGAGACAGCACTTAAGTCCACCAGACATTTCCCCAAGGAGACATAAAACGTATCGTATCGTAAAGCTTGTGTGAAAAAAAGCACACATGCACCTTTCAGCACAGGCACATCCGAGAGAAATAACGAGAAACAAAAAATCAGATTTCAAATTGAATTCCACTTTTAAATGAAGAAAATACTATTATTCCAACTTAGTTTGAAGAACATCACCCAGAGCGACAGAATGTTATTTTTGGTGCCAGTATTGGAGTACACAGCTGGATGGGCTACATTGAACAAAATACAAAACCAAGACAAAATGAAAGCAGGAAAATTCCCACCATGCCCCACTCTGCTGAAATACCAGCACCAAAAAAAAGAGTCCTTACTCACTTCCATCTCCTCCCAGTGCCTGAGCAGAAATGTATCATTGAGAAGTGACTGCAAAGACTGTTTGTTTGGTCTCTGCTGCCAAATCAAATCTATAAATAATATCTACATGAAGCCAAAGAGCGTACAGATGTGTGTTCAGTCCAAGGAAGATAAGAGTAGACGGGTCATGAGAGTGGTAGACACAAGCTATTTTCTATCCTCTCCATTTCTAGATTACATTTATTTAGTCTACAGCCCTAAATCCAGCCTGAAATCTGTTTTAAAAATACTGTATCTCTAAGAGTGATGACATTTGGAAGCTCCCAAAGAAGTCCACCTACACTGACTCAGTTTTAAGATGCTGAAGAGGAATGTGTGTTTCCTGGCCAGAGCTAAATATTAGTCAGTCTAGACAAAGATGTCCAAACAAACCGAGAATAACGGCTTGGCTAAAACTTCCTGTTGAAAGTGAGACTCTAATCCTGGAAACTAAATCTTAAATATCCTCACAATATCAGGCTGTGTTGTTTTGTCATTGCCAAGTTGAAGTACGGTTTGTTTCAGAAGAACTAAATGTTGCTTTAAGCCTCCCCTCTCATCACTTGGATCTGCTCTGCTCTTATCTCAACGTTCAGTAATACACATTCAAACCACAAACACATGTACACACTTTAATATGTGTGTGTGTGTGTGTGTGTGTGTGTGTACACAGATCAAGCATTATTTTAGAGGGTTTATCAAGTGAAAGATGATGACGTGTGTCACACTGGGTTAAGACTAAATGAAGTCACAACTCAATTCTTCCTGTGTAACCATGACTCTTAAAAATGACTTTTAAATGTAACCATTAGAATAAAATCTCCACTTAACTTTAAACTTGAAGTCAAATGATGAGATTATATATCTTTTTAAACTATTCTCCCTCGTTTCTGGAAGAGAAAGTGTTTCTCTTCAAAGAAATATGACACATCAGATATTTGCCGGTCTATGATCTGTAGCTTGTTCAGGCTCATGTTAGTTAATGTTGCTGTTTGAACAATCTGTCTGATGTTTTCTACAGTAACACTACATTGTAACATATCAATCCAAATAAAGAGGTCCATGTTCATAAACTGTAACATAGTCTTACTCTGTATTAAAGTAACAGTCAACATGTAGGTGCACTTAAGTACTATCTTAAGTCTATTGTAAGTATAATCACAGAAGTATAAACTGCAACAAGAACTTAACAAACTATAGTGTTCACTTCCTGCAGAAGGACCCTTTCTGAGTGACACTGTTATGTATCATTGACATGTAAATATTATTTCAAAGTGTAGTTTACATTTTGAGCTGGAACACATTTGAACTTTTTTGCTTAGTGCTTTGGCATTACAACAGCTGAAATGTTAAGAACTAATTTGCCTGCAAAATCTTAATTAGCAGATAAATGAGTAATTAGCCAATAAGTAGCTCCTCTAATGGGCCTGTTCCACCTCGTTGGTTTTATCCAAACAAAACCACTTTTTACATGTTGATTTCTACAAGGAATTCAGTTTTACTAAGAGACATGAATGCATGGTGAGAGAGTGTGCGTACATGTTTAACTCTCATTTATACTGATGATAACACCATCCCTCTTCGTCCAATGGAAACCCAGTATGACAGAGGTGTCGGTCTGCAGCAGGCACAGAGCTCATAGTAAAGGGAGAAACTGGGACATTAAAAACTCTGGCCTTTAATTGACTTCATAATGTGAACTTACTTTAATAGTTCTGCTGCTGTGACTAATCAAGTTAAGGAGGAACTGCAACACTTTTACCCACAATTAACTCACCATGATAATTAATAATAATGGTCTTTGGTAGAACCACCCTGATGATGTCATAGTGATGTCACCAAGCCCTCTGGAGCACACATTTAATAGAAGCATATTGAACATTGCTGTAGTGGAGTTAGAAAGATGAGGGCGTTGAGATGTTTGGCAGAAGAATTACAGAAGTCATTGTTGGATGTGTGAAACAAACTCAGGACCAAAAGACAAAATATCTTGGTCTCTTCTACCTACATTGTGAATTTTATTGAAGCTTAATACAAAACGGCAGGAGTGCCTTCTTAATGATTTAAAAGTAGCACATTTTACCCAGCTGCCAGTTTGAGCAGCTCTATCCCTGCAAAGGATTTTCAGTCCATCAGCGAGTGAGTGAATCAGCTTTTGAACTCCATCCCACCCCTGTCTCAAATATTATTACCGTCACATCGGGCCAACCCAGAGCTGACTTGTTAGCTTAAGGCCGGCAGCAATCATTAACTTTCTGCAAGGCTGCGAATAATGCTAATGTGTGCCATTTATTTTGGGTTAATTAAAAAGTGTCATTGAAAGGGAGAGAGGCGAGCGCCCAGGTGACAGGAGCATAACAATGAGGTGAAAGGAACAGAGTGTTAATATCCCAGCATCTCGCCACTGTGGGAGAGGCAGCTTCAGTTGCAACGCGGTGTTGTGTATCATGGTCAGGGGGACATGTAATATTAATTTAAAATGTGACTTCCATAATGACCACTGAAGCTTAAATATGATCATGATATGTAATAGAGATTAAAATCTTATTAAAGAGGAATTTTACAGACTTCCTTGAACAAAGTTTAAATTTAAAATGAATCCACAATGAGTAATTTATCTTTTTTTTTCATACTATGAGCTATTTTAATTCATGCCTGTCATATATAATTCTATATATATAAAATATAATTGGAATTCCCTTCTCTCTTTTGGAATAAAATTCCTGAATAATTGAAATCCCAGATTGGATATTTTCCCCCTTAAAGCAACCCTTTAATGTGGCCTTGTTAAAAAAAATACCTAAATATAAAACAGATTTCTTTATTCATGAAGTCATATTATTTCTGTCTTTTTCTGATCTACCTCTCTAATGTGTGTGTTTGTGACCGCGTGTGTGTGTGTGTGTGTGTGTGTGTGTGTGTCCAGGAGTACCTAACAGAGCTGCAGGCGTTGCTGCGTTCGGTGTCAGAGACGGACTTCAAGCTGAACTCTCCTGAATACTGGCCCGCAGCGTATTATAACCTGCCTCAGCAAGAGCACTGCCTGAAGGTCAGCACTGCATTAGTGTGCTTGTGAGGGAACTACAAAAAAGTGTTTTTCAGAAAGTAATATAATTGACGAAGAAGTAGGTTAACATTTAATTGAGCTCATAAAAATGCTCAAGAATTGTTAGGTGTGAAAGCAGAAGAATTTGGTTTTTATTTCCAACAAGAAAAATCTGAACATTTAACGATCTTGTTTAAATTAAGCAAATGGATGTGATACAACCAGAAATAAACTGAATAATTATGTTACAGTGAAAATACCACACATTAGTGGTGTCATCTTTGAGTTAAGAAGGAAAAAGTATACGGAGTGGCCGGATAATTGTTTTTTTTGTCTGCCACCCTCTCATCAATATTGCACATTCAGGAGGTGAAGGGGAGCATCGACCAGCTCAGAGGCCCAGTGGAGGGAGCGTTGGCGTGCAGAGAGGAGATGGTGTCTGCCGCTCGGCCTCTGGAGGGTCAGAGGATCCAGGAGACCGCCTCCCTCCTCAACACCAACTGGGACAAACTGAATAAGCTCCACCAAGACCGACTGAAGTAAGAGGATGGAGCGAGAGCTTCAAGATTTATATATACATGCAGTGTATTTATATGAATATGATGCATGAATATTGAGTCATTTTGTGAACACGCTTGAATGAAATCTATGTGTGTGTGTTTGTTTGTGTGCACTTCAAGGCGTTGGCAGGAGTGCAACACCAAGTGGCAGAAGTTTGTTTCGGATCAGAAGGAGCTGGAGGAGTGGCTGAATGATGCCGAGAGCACTTTGAAACTGGCCGAGAATGAGCCAGCAGCACACAGACACCACCTCAGGGTAACACACACACACACACACACACACACACACACACACACACACACACACACACACACACACACACACACACACACACACACACACACACACACACACACACACTCACACATACACATACACATACACACACATAACCTGAAACACAAGCATTTCTGCACAAATAAAAACCCGTCTGCACGCACATTGATGATTGTTCCCACAAAGCTGCTGAGTGTATTCCTGTTGTCGTTGAGTCATTCTGAATGTCCAGCGTCCACTGATGCTGCTGAAGTGCCCTTCAGCAAGACTCATGAGTCCAAACTGCCTCTGTTGTCTAACTTGCTTTCATGTTTTGTATTTTAGCATTACGTAAAAAGACAGATTCCTTGTCACAGAATGATGAAGTGACCTAAAAAGAAGTGACATGTTATGGCCTAAGACATCATATCAAGACATAATCTGGGATTCAGGACATACATTTGTGCCATCATGATTAATTTATGCTCTATGTGATGTGAAACTTCAACTTATCATCTCCTGATTAGATAACTTCCTAAAAATATAGCAAGACGACAGTCCCTGTCCTTCTCTCCTAAGCAGGATCACAAAATAATATGTGCAGTACAAAGAAGTATGCTCTAATGTTTTGGCTTCTTTTTTGGTGTGCTGTTATTCTGTCCATCTTTTTATACAGTCAATGCCATCAGGAGGCTTATATGCTTATCTTGACATACCAGCATAATTCTCAGGAATAATTGAGACCATAAATTCATTTAGAGTCTGTGACCGCAATATTGATATTTCTGTGTTTTAGACTCTTGTTCAGACAAATTGAAGATACATGAAGACTTCTCATTAGGTTTGTTTCAATGGAAAACGTTCTTACAACGGGACATTGTAGTACATTGCAGTAACATGAGTCACATGAGTGTCTTGTGTCGTCTGAATTAAACACACACATACACACACACCACTCTCACCCTGGCACATGGATGGCAGTTGTCAAGAGTAAAAGTCAGTGTGTCTGACAGTGCAGCCTCGATACCAACAGAACTCTTTCCTATTTTAGACCTTATGTAAGAATATTATGTCATCAATTTTGACATTTCAATGTTACATCAACCCCAAAAAACCCAAACTGAAGGATTATGAGTAGCAATTGAACAGAAGAGTCGAGGAATGAGTATTTACATCAGCAGGATTTAGATTAATAATGTATGAGGAATCATTTCAGCGAGGCGGTTTTGTTTTCAAAGATGTTTCACTCTAAGTTGTTTTTTAGTTTTGGTTGCTGTGGTTAAACTGATGCACTCAGCCCTGCATATGAAGCGCTCTGTGTGTGTGTGTGTGTGTGTGTGTGTGTGTGTGTGTGTGTGTGTGTGTGTGTGTGTGTGTGTGTGTGTGTGTGTGTGTGTGTGTGTGTGTGTGTGTGTGTGTGTGTGTGTGTGTGTGTGTGTGTGTGTGTGTGTGTGTGTGTGTGTGTGTGTTTGCATCATCAGACCTGCCTGGGCCACTTTGAGCTGCTGTGATCAGCTTTCAATGTCCACCTGCACAGACAGGGGAGCAGTGTCCAAGTGCCACTCAAGTGCCAACCTGTGCGTGTGTGTATGTGTTGTTAGAGGGCGATCAACAGAGAGAGAGAGAGAGAGAGAGAGAGAGATCAACAGAGAGAGAGATTGAATAGAGACAGAGGACCATCTGGCTCCTCAAATCATGAGCTGCCACCTGAACTGCACCCAATCTTAGTACCAGACACTCAGACATATTAAATTAATTTGCACTGACCTACATTGGTTTTGTGTAAACCAACGATAAATGTTCAGAGGAAATCATACAAAAAACAATTTTCCAATTTGCTTTGAATGCATTAAAAGCATTCAGCATTATTCTCCTCGCTGTCTGTTTTAAAAAAAGAATATAAATCTCAATCCCAAACCTGTGCTCTAAATACAATGCTCGAGGAAACAGGGGAATAATTTAGCCTGGCCAAGCATAGACTTATAAATATATTATTTATGATATAAAATAGGCTACCTGTTTCCACCTGGTTTCAATCTTTATGCTAAACTAGGCTCCCCTAGATTCTAGGCTTAACAATAATAATGATTGTAATCTGAAAATTATGGGATTTTAATATTTCTATCTGAAAGTGACCTGTTAAAAAAAAAAGGTGAGAATTTAACTGCAAAAAAACAACATTTGGTGTTATTGACAGAATTGTTTTTGTGGTGAATTAAGGTCCTTAATTATATTACAAATTGTTGGATACCTGTAATAGCATTACACAGGTAAAAGATTAATCCTTTAGAAACTGAAATCCATGCTGATAGCCAAAAACATAAATCATTATTGTATTTGCACTTAAAAAATCCCACCTCACAGTATAACTTAAAACCACTTTAAATGAAATAGAAATATTATTGAATGTTTCACATTAGTGTGTAATATAAGGAGTTAACTATGTACTCATTAAAATGTACCACATAACGTGTTGAAGGTTTTTAACAGGTAAGTATTTGCCTTCTCAAATTTACAGGCTAAATGCTGGATTCATTATAGATTCATTAAGGGTATTTTTAGAGGTTCATGTATCATATTTTACCAAACAATACATTATAATATAATCCTCCCCCCCAAACACACACACACACACACACACACACACACACACACACACACACATATATATATATATATATATATATATATATATATATATATATATATATATATATATATGGATCCTTCCTGTGTGTGTATGCAGGACGTGACAGAGGCCATACCTCTGCAGGAAGTTGTGTTGGGCAGAGTGAACTCGGTGGGAGAGGAGATCAGCCAGTTAAGCACACCAGACGACTCCTCGCGGCACAGAACGCAGCTCAAATTTCTCAACACTCGCTGGGCCAATGTCTGCCAGCAGCTCAATGACCGCAAGAGGAGGTGAGTGTGTGTGGCTGCAGGTCATTGATAACTCATGTTTGTGTTCCTGTTTACTAAATGCCCTTAAAATAGTCATTTATTGAATGTTTCTTTTCAATGTGTCTGTAAAATGTGTCTTCAGTGTTCTCCGTCTTTAGAGTTAGAATGTATTTTTGTTGAAGTACAACTTGTATGTATGCGTTATTAAAAGGTCGCTATGTGCCTCTGTAGCATTTCTCATCCTCCATGCCTCTGTATCTCTTGCTGCCCGCCCCTCCTGCAGGTCTGCAGAGGCGCGTACAGCAGCAGCAGCTCTTCAGGAGGACATGGGCTCCATGCTGGGCTGGTTGGACAAAGCCGAGGGTGTCCTGGCCATCCCCCTGCAGCCTGCAGAGCCCCAGCACATCAAAGACACTCTGGGCAAAGTCCAGGTACCTTGGAGACTCAACACAGCAGCTCCAATGAGCCTCTGAGCTCCATGTTTGTGTGTATGTGAGAGTGTGTGTGTTTGTACCAGTGTGGGAGTGTAATTTAATTCAGCTGCTATCACAGTGCAAATGAGATACTGTTCTTCATTATTACACTCTGCTTTGAAAAACATTTCCATGTGCTAACATGTGAGTGTGTGGGTTTGTTTAATTTGATTTGGAGGGTAATATGGTCTAAAATGAGATACTATAATGTTTCATTCTGAAATTCAACCTTGAACATACTCTATTGTTACTTGGTGTGCATTTGTTTGTGTGTGTTTGTGTAGAATTATGTAACTTGATTGAAAGACTGTCCTACATAGAGCTGCTCCGATGATTTCTTATTAAATCCACCATGTGTGTGTTTTGTGTGTGTGTGTCTGTATCAGGCACGTGTGGAGCAGCTTCCTGCCAAGAAGGCAGCGATGGATGATCTGAACTCGAGACAAAAACTGATAACACTTCCTGCTGACAGACAAAAAGACTTCAGGATCATCAACACTCGCTGGGCTCAGGTCAGCAGCTTCCACTGTGAATACTGGAGCAAACAGTACGCCAGCGTTTTGTAAACAGACAGACAGACACAACAGGGGAATGAGCAGTCAGGGCTGGTACGGAGTCTCCAGGTACTAAAGGCCTTTGTTTGTACAACGAGGTGTGCAGAAGGAGGCCAGAATGTTTCAAACTAAGAGCATCAGAGTCCCTCAGAAGTGGATTAACTCACAGATGGATGATTTTTCATTAATGTAACAGTGGTACTACTAAATCTCAGCTCCATCCACAACAGCTATAACAAGACTGCTACAAACTCTCCCATGTCTATTTATGTGTCTCCTCAGTGTGTGACTGTACAATTACTCTTAATGCAGATGACACTACTTTAGACTGTTTAAGTCTGTACAACTGTCTTTTAAAGCAAGCTGCACACATTCATCTTGAATAAATACTTTGAGCAGCTCAAATATCTGAGATGACTATTTAAAAAAACAAAAGCAACTCAGCAGTTTCACTCAGCTCTATGGACCTTTTAAGCATCTTTGTGGATATTGTTTTATTCTGAACAAATTTGAAACTTGACTTGAGATATCACAGCCAACAAGAGTCTAATGTCAACCCAAATAAATGTATCCATAGTGATTGAATATTGGTTCAAGTGTTGTGTATAAATCCCAGCCTGTATTTGTTTAGGTGTCCAGGGATCTGCCTGAGCGTCAGCTGGAGATCGAGGGTCTGCTGAGGGAGCTGGAGAAGCTTCAGGGTCAGCTGGACAACCTGTCAGGCTGGGCAGCTAGCACCAGAGCCAAGCTAGAGAGTCCTGAGGAGCCACCTGCCAGGGTAGGAAACCAACACTCAATTAGCATTAATATAATGGAAATATGCTGTATAATTAAAAAGATATATACTTCTATAAAGAAAATGCTTGTCATTGTGACTAAAACTCTCTTTCTACATATGTGTTTTCTCTCTATATGTGTCTTCAGCTCATTGAGGAAGTGCAGGTCAAGCAGCCAGAGGTGGAGTTTGTTTTGGAGCGAGCTGATCACCTGTACAAGGACAATCCTCCCAGCCAACCAGACAGGGTGAGGATATCAAACACTGTGTCAGTCACTTAGCTTTTCAATGAATGTACAGCATTCTTGTGATATATTGTCCCTCACTTATGCTATCTTATGCTGTGAAGGCGTCTGATGTCTTGTTTTTCACACAGAAAATAAACGTATCAATTGCCATCGACTTTTGATGATGGAAAAGCAACGAATACCAAAATAACATTTTTGAATGTTAATTGGGCTCGACTGATGTTTTGCTCTGTGTGAAAACATACAACACGTCTCTCTTTCATCCCATCACTGGTTCTGCTTCAAACGTGTCATGAAATCTTGATTATTTACTTTATCACTGTCGGACCGTACACATCAAGCCTACCGACTTGACTTGGAAAAGTTTAACTGAGCTGTCCTTAACTTCACTTGCCATTTCAAAGTAAAGCTTCTGATGAGATTTTCAGTACTGCCTTTGACTTTGTGTGTGGTGTCAGGTGAAATATGGAAAACTGAGGGAGGACTGGACTGTGATCCTGGAGCTGCTGCGGCAGCATAAGGAGAGGATGGCTGCTCTGCTAGTCGCCAAAAAAGCCAGTAAGAATCCATTTCCTTTAAACCAGTGTTTAAATACTTTCTTTATACAATGTGTATTTGATATATATAACATTTTTTCAAACTGTTAAATTTTTAACAAGCACATAATCAGTTTGTATAAAGGAAACGTAAGTGTTAACGTATGTGACAAAATAATTCAGAAAGGAACACATGCTCAAAAAATTGTAGCATTGAAGAAGCCAGAAGTAAAGTGAGGATTTATTCATTTCTTTTGTTTTTTCAACGGTACTGGAAAGAGTGCAGAAGTATCTTTATTCTGGATCTTAATAAAGTAAGAATGTATGAAAATGCTGCTGTCTGCCATCAAATTATAGCAGACACTAAATATATGCCAGGTGTCTAATGTTAGTGCAGAGACTCATTATATTATATGCCTGCAGGCTCGAGGCAAAACTTCTCTCATAAAAAAAACTGTCAATATAGGATTTAATAATGAATAGGTTTAACTGATGAGCTGCAGGGATCATAAAGATAAACTCTGCAGACCTATTTGTGACTTTTACGCTGAAATTTCAAAAGCATGAATACGTGCTGCATTTTTATAAACACTGTCATCGAGCATATGTCCTCAAAGATGAAGTTTGACTTGGGCTCAGCTGTAAGTCTGTGAGTTCACTCGCAGGTTAAGTGCCATTTTGTGTCTCTAGCATACATTTATCACACAAATAAAAACAATAGAGTTAAAGTTTAAGTTGTGTCTGTGTTCCAGATGAAACTCTGACAGGAAGTTCCCAGCCTGAATCTGCAGCTCTTGCTCAGTTCAACAAGTCCTGGGCCGAGCTCACTGATTGGCTGACCATGCTGGATAACATGGTGCAGAACAAGCGTGTGGTGGTGGCCGACCTGGACGACATCAATGAAAACATCGGCAGTTTGAAGGTCAGGACCTCAGAGAGATCACGGCTAACTAGATTTACAGCACGGCAAACAAACTAAACTGGACTAGTTCATGTGTTCATTCACCATTGTGGATTGTGTTTCCAGTCGTCTCTGCAGGAGCTAGACCTGCGGCGCCCCCTCTTGGATAGACAGCTCACAGCGGCCCAGAACCTCAAGAACAAAACCAGCAATCAGGACACCCGCAACGCGATCACTGAGCGCAGTACGTCACACAGATGCACCAATGAACTGTCATCATGTCATGTGAAAAAGATAATTTTCTAAATTCTCTCACTAATGGAAGAAATGTACATTCCCCACTATCTCTTTCCATTTATTTTTAATTAAGGGTTGTGGTTGTCCTAGAGTCTTATAGATCTTCTTCTTACCTTTTATGGTTGTAAAAAAACATAAAAGAGCTGCACATAGGGTGACATGTTCCTTCTTTATCATTAACACACACTGTGGATACTTCATGGTGGAGGTATTTTTAAAACACTCCTGTTTGGATTTTATGAAAGATAGCAGTTATCATTTTCACCCACACTCTCCTGCTGCCTGAAATAAATCTCAGGAATGCCCCATTTATTTACATGGCAGTAAAGGGATGCATGCTGCATAAAAGTAAAACAAATAACCTAAAAAAGCCATATTTTGTCTTCTATTATTGCAATAAAACATTTTTTTAATGTCTTTGTAGTTGACAGACTTCAGACTCATTGGGAAGACTCTCAGACCAAACTCTCAGATAGGACAAAGCAGCTCCTCAACATGCTGCAGGACTCCACTGACTGGCTGGATGCCAGGAAGGGAGTGGATCATCTCATCAAGCAGGCCAATGAGAGGCTGGAGTCCTGGCAGGAGATCACATACTCGGTCGAAACACTGAAGAAACAAAACGCTGAACTGAAGGTTAGGCTGAACAGCCATTTACTGACTTCATGATTATCCCTGCATCACTGTTAACTACTGATTACTGATTTTAGTCTTAATTAGATTTCATAATTATTAGTAGTTAACTGGTCACACCATTCTTCCATTTTCCTCATGAGATTTATAAACACGTCACAACCGCCTGAAGGTCATCTCACCCCAAATCATGTTTAGTTGAGAACACTGGCAACTGCACTGGTACCTAAACCGAATGTGACTTAACACATCAAATATGAGGTCTCACCTAGCAGATAGTATCCAGCCTGCAAGATTATTTTGATTCAAACTTTTACTGATTTTATTATTGTCTTGACAACAGCACGGATCACCAGGCGCTGTCTACTGTCTGCAGCGCTGCTCGCACACTGTCCTGTGGCGGGAATGTTTGTGTCTGTAAATGATCGTCATTGCATTGTTGTTCAGAAAATTATCAAATAAATAAAGTTCACAATCAAAATCATATTGCAGGCCAGATATTTAGCTGCCGAGCCAGTTGCAGACCACTGATTTACAAACAAATTTGCTTAATAAATGAAAAAGGGATTGGCGCGACAAAATCCATACCTCACTATTGAGCTACTTTGAATCAACACCTTCACAGTGACAGATAATCAATTTTTGTCTTTTTTTCTGTTTTCCTTCACTCCCCGTTCCCCCTCAGCTCTTTATGAGGGAGCTGCAGCAGTGGCAAGGACAGGTAGACCAAACCAACGCCATGGCAGACAAACTTCTTACACTGTATGCCAATGACGACACGCACAAGGTCACCCAGGTCAACGACAACATGATTGCTACCTGGACACACATAAGCAAACGGTAATAACACACACAAGCACTGTGTTTATTTTAAAATAGATAAACTCAAATTGCAAAGTGGAGTTCCTTAAGGTTCTGTTCGGCCCACTTATTTTCTTGTTATCTTGCTATTCCGCTGCACCTGAAGTTATACTCATTGCAGTCTCCTTTTCAACCTGTGCATACTCTTGTTGAATGTATGAATTATTAATGATCTTTGACAAACCAAATGTAGTTCAAAAAACATAGAATTTTCCTAAATTTATTCTCTTATTTTTACAGTATTTTAAGTGAAACACTAGAAGATGTTGGGTTAGCATTAGCAGTGGCTAAATCAAGGTGTAATGGAGCTGAAAAGGAGTTAACAAACAGAGACGCTGTTTGTTCTTAGTGTTGGTTTGTTGTTTTTTTAATGTCTGCACAGAATTCAGAGGTGATAAAAGTCCTTTTTTTTGATCCAACCACTTGAAATATGCAATGAAGTTTAGTATATTAATGGATGTAATGTAGCTGATATGGGTTTCTTTGCAGTGTTTCAGACAGGGAGGGAGCTCTGGAGGGGGCCAAGAAGCTACTTCAGCACTTCTACCTCGACCTGGAGAAGTTCCTCAGCTGGCTGACGGAGGCTGAGACCACCTGCAATGTTTTGATCGACGCCACCAACAAGGAGAGACTGCAGGAGCAGCCGGGCGCGAGGAACCTGCTCGCACAATGGAAGGTTGGAAACATACAATCCTCTGGTTATTGAACTATTTAATGATATTTATTGGAAACACACTCTTGACATCATGGAGGTCATGACAGAGATTTGAAGGTGGTGGACTGATCGATTATATCACTGACAGAATTCCAATCATATTTAATGCACGATTCAAGGGCTTACACAAAAATCATTGGGCCCATATGTTGATGTCTAAGGTGTGAGTGTAGAGAATTTAAAGGGTTGGAGAAGAGTGAGAACACTAGAAATAGCAGAAGATCCCTTGAAGTCGAATAAAAAGGCAGGCTCCCTTCCATTTTATGACTGACCTATTAAAGGAGGCCTGCTCTCCCACTGTGTGTGTGCGTATTAAAAATATTTTTACCATTTTACCTCCACAACTCCTGGTTTTACAACTCTTTTATAGCTAAAGCAATTTATCCCCTTACAGTTTTAACACTGGATGTTATGTTGATCTTTAATGGAGCAAATCAAGGGATCCATTTATGTTTTGTATGTGGCTGCTTTTAAGAATTTTATTGGAACAGAAGCCGAAGAATTTGGAGGAAGAAAGAAATAGCATCACCTGCAGAAACTCACAGAGAACAAGACATCAAAGTCCCGCCCATACTGTTGATTGACAGCTGTCACACAGCTAGCAATTGAGGACACTCATACAGGATCACTTAGTTATTTTGACCCAAAGTTTAAGACTCTCTGCCCCAGCTGGTATGACAGGAATGCTGACATGGCAGCATCGTGAGTTTTCATTGGTCCGTTGATGCCTGGCAGACAAGTGCAAAAATTCCCCCCACTGCATTGTGGGTGTTGAAGGGAAGGCTCTGTTCTGTGAGAGAACATATTTTGACCCTCGGCTGTCACCCTGCACCCACACATGCTTTCTGGTGGAGCTGCGTGTGCACACACAAACACACAGACAGACATACGGACTACAAAAGACACATACAGGCAGCATTTTGGAGATGTATTTCCACATACACAATGTTGCAAATTCATGTCTGTGCACACTTCCTTTCCACACACACAGAGCTCAGTACAACAGCAGCACTGTATGCAGAGCTGTGATGGTCTTCTGTGTCCAATTATAATGGCGGACTGCGGTGTAGCGTAGCATCCAGAGAGCGCACACATACACAAAAACACACAGCACGCAGATAACGTTTAATTGGAAAATAAGCGCGCTCATCGTTTTATGCAGCCTTTCAAGTTCTCTCTCCTCTTCTCTCTCTTTTTCACCCCCACTGTCTTTCCAACTCACTCTGACTCACACCCTTTTCTTTTTATGGGAAACACACTCTCCCTCTATCCCTCCCTCTTCCTCTTCCTCTTCATCTCCAAATCTCCCTCTTTGTCACACATCCACACAGAGAGCTTTTTTATACAGTCACACTAGGAGCTAGTCTCGAGGGAATAGAAGAGGCAGAAGATGTTTCTTCTTCTTCTTCATGGCGTCTAGCTTGGGGATTCCAGAGTAAAGTTCTGAGGATGCTGCGCAGGAAGGTTTACCATGTTCAGGTTTGGAGTGTTAATCAAGCGCTGTTCTCTTGTAAAATCAGCAAATGAAGGGTTTTTTTTTATGAAGATTGAGTCCATATTATTTAAATAGTAGATTTTTTTAGCTCATCATTAAGTGTTGAGGTCAAAGGTGAATAAATTAGATGAGTCTCAATGTTTAAAATACTCATAAAAATAATCTTTTTTTTTAATGTATTTCATTTATTTCGGTATAAATTTTCTGTCTACATGGAAAGAAGTGCTTTGTTGTTTTTGACTTTTTAACTGTCTTTATCAAAGAACCAGTTGTCTAGAAATGTGCTGATTCTGCACCTCGGGAGGCATAAAGGTCAACTAATGGACATGTACGATTATATTTTTGCCCAAGTGTGATAAAAAACAAAAGTCATGATATCAATTTCAAATGAAGACATCAAAGTTAGAGCCCATAAGGAGACACAGGGCTGGGTATTTCTCGACGTGTTCAAAGGGATCAGAGAACATTTAGATCACAGGAGAAACTGCTGGAAACTTTGTGAAGATAAAGCTGGATCCGCTTTAATGCCATGCAGCAGCTTGACTGTCTCCACTTCTTTCTATTTGTTCTATTCCTGTCTGTGTCCTGTTCTTTGCTTCAATGACCCATTTTCCCCCTCAGGTAACATTAACATTTCATGTCGTCTAATTTATCTTGTGTGGAACATTCTTCTACAGGATATTTTCCTCTTTCAGGACATTTTGAGAATTTGTAAAGCTTCAGTCATCCTTCTGATGCCGTGTAAAGGACAAAACTTCAATGCATTCTTATGTTGTCGATGAAAGTTAAATATCTGAGATGGCAGGAATTGTTAATAAAAAAAGATTCCTGAAATGACACCTACATGAAGCTGGTTGAGGTGTAAGCGCTTCGATTTCTTAGAGTGCACATGCAGACATAAAGAATAAAGTAAAGTGGCATCCCAGTTTGACCTCTTGTCATATAGAATTCACTCGGGGATGAATGAAAGTTTATTTGTGAAATATGTAGAAAACATGTCATCTTGACATATACTTAGACACTTGCATGAAATCTACATGTAGAAACTACAATGATTAATGACACATAAGTGTTCTTTTATGCCAAACACAATCTTTATTTTCACTTTACAAAGATTGTTTTCTTGAAGTACTGGATTTCCTCCCACCGTTTCTTTCAGGACATTTAATTATGGATTTGAGTGATGAATTGTCCTCACAGGTGGGACCACCACTGTTGAAGTAACAAGTTGATTCAAGGATGAATTGCACATCTTGACATTTCAGTTCTACAGAAGGCTCCATCCACGATGCATTAAGCCCTGCATTATGGCTCAATCCTGCTGCTTGCTGCTTTTAGAGACTAAATCACTTTCTCAGATCCTGATCCCATTACTGAGCACTCGAGCAATGAAAAAAGTGAATTCCTGAAAGATGGCTGCTATTATCCAGAAAATGAAGTGTGCGCTTCGATAGAATTTACTGCTGATGCTTTTTTCCCACTGACTCTTTCTGTGTGTGTGTGTGTGTGTATGTGTGTGTGTGTGTGTATGTGTGTGTGTGTGTGTGTGTGTCTCCAGGACCTCCAGGCAGAGATTGACAGCCACACAGAGCTGTATCACTCTCTGGATGAGAATGGTCAGAGGATTGTGAACTCACTCGGGGACTCGGAGGATGCCGCTCTGCTCCAGAGACGCCTGGATAACATGGGCCAGCGCTGGAACGACCTGCGCAACAAGACCATGAGTATGAGGTGAGGGCAGCCGTGGTCACTGCTGCACAGAACAATGATGATGCCCAGCTTCTGTTCAAAGAAACAATAGACTTTTATCAAGTTCAAAAAAACAAAAATGACTGTGTTTCAGGGCCCATCTGGACTCAGAGATGGCCCCTTGGAAGAGGCTCCACATGTCGCTTCAAGAGTTGCTGAACTGGCTTAGAATCAAACGTCAACAGCTGGAGCAGGAGCCACCTGTAGGGGGCGATGTCCCTGCAGTGCAGACACAGCTGGACACACACAGGGTAGGAGGAAGCAGATACACAATGTGTGGGACACCAACAGAGACACTGCCTGTCTACTGTTAAAAAATCGAACATTCTGCTGATTTAGGAGCTTTTTCTAGGGCCCAGAGCACTTCACAGTGCGACGGACCCAATTGAAATGCAAGGAATTATTATAATTCAGATTGATTTTAGAAATTCAGCTCAAAAGAAAAAAAAATTTCTTCGTTAATTTGATATTCATAAAGTCCCTCAAAATCCACCCTATCACAGACGTGAACTACCTTGGTTTAAAGTTTCCTGAAAGTGTACCACGGAGTCACAATAAAACAAAAAAAGACTTTTCTAACCTTCACCTCTATGCCAGTGCAATCAGCATTAACAAGCCCGTTTGATACGTTCATGACAAAGCCCGGCGGAAGCAGCCATTAATGTCTGAGACTTCATGTCTCTCCCTCTCCGACATTATGCAAATCAAAGCCTCTGAATAAATGGAAAGTATGGACATACAGGTTAAATGAAAAACCCATTTTATGCACCACTTTGTGCAAAAAGGCGAAACGATTGGCTTGGCTGATTTGGTTATTTCATGTCTTAACCTGCATTAATTCTGCAAAATGGTGAGTTCCTGCAAATATTCATTAGGAAAAAGCTTTTAGTCCAAACATTTCATAATGAAAATAGACATGTTTTAATGGTCACTCAGAAACATGGACGCTTTGATATCACAGAGACAGTGTATTTAATATGCACACAATACATTCAACCTTTTCAAAATGAATTTGATCCATTATAATAATCATATCTAAATATATATATATGTATATCTTTCATTGCTTTAAACCTTATCTGCAAAGTTTTGGTCATCTGGCTTTTTCAAAACTGTAACACATCAGTAGCCAATGGTAACCACTGGTTGTCATGGCAACAATAGGTGCCTGTATTGTAGTGACCTCCCACTGATGATGAGCACACATTGACACACGCAGGTGTCTTCAAACAGTTTATCAAGAACATGTTCTCACCTTGAAGAGATCCTTTTCAAGTTATGACAAGAGGATTTTCATTTGATGATATTATAATTTATCCATGCAACAGATTTTTCTGCTTTCACAACTATCTTTTTAAGTGGCGTATTATTGGAATGATACATTTCCACATGTTTTTTAAAAAGAGGAGGATGTAAAGAGTCACTTTAGGCCACATTCATCACATTTCAAGATACGTCCAGATATGTAGCACGATGCGATGACAAATTATATGTACATGCTGCTTGGATTTTATTTTGAGGTCTATACAGTTTGAATGTGTGTGGATGTGGTCTTTCTAACTACGTAGAACAATTAAAACCAGACATATTTACACATTGAAGTTTTTACCTTCATGATTTATGTTGCTTTCTAAAATATCAGGATTTCTTCTGATACAGACAGCTGACGAGTCCACAGTAATATCCACCTATCAAACGATTCCTTTTGTACAGTTCATTTAAGCTCTTTTGCTTTAGTTTTTGGTCTGTTCCTAAGTTAATGTTGAACCTTACTTTATTTCAAAATAAATGAGTAAGCTTTTAATGGTTTCGATAATTTGACAGTACTTAACAGAATATATATAATTATCACAATGATCTCATTATCACAATTATATATCAGTTGTAACTTGAAACAGGAAAAACACAATTGAAAAAGGCCAAGTACCACAAGATTCAAATTATAATACCTGGTTATCTTTAATCCCATTAAAGTAGTTACATGTTTCTTTGTGTGTGCGTGCGTGTGTGTTCGTTCACAGGGCTTCAAGAGGACATGAGAGCCAAAGAGCCGGTTGTGACCAAGGCTCTGGATGATGTGGGAGTCTTCCTGTCTGAGCTTCCCCGAGAAACGCCCTCACCTGAGCAGAGAGGTATTCATTAACATAGGCTCTCATCATGTTGTATACAGGCTGGGTAAAGAATGTATATCCTTTTGTGGCTCTTTCAGCTGGTAATAAAGGTTCGCTTACATTTGAGCCCACCTTGCAGCTGCCATTTAAATGAAGAAACGTAATGTAAAGATGTTGATGTTTAGTTCATCTCTGACTCTGGACTCTCTGGACTCCTAGTAACAGCCTGATAACAAGCATGCAGGGTTTCTTGCAGCACCTTCCGCACCATGGCAGCAGCCTGGTTACCATGCTCTTTGAAAGCAGCTGAACTTTAACTGTGGCCCATTAAACCCATTCAGCTGCCAACTCAAACACACTCAGAGAAACATCGAAATAAAGGCTAAACTACAGCTGCTAATCACTGCCGCGCTGAGGGAAACGAGCACTTACTTCCTCTTAGAAAGTCGTTCTGGTGCAGAGAATAGACCTTCCTACAGGCAGCGGCTGAGGACGTCTTAAAAAGCAGAATTGATGTGTTGTCTTCTGAGTGCATGACATTTTGTTTGGTTTGAATTCAGCTGGCTTCTCCACAAACAGCCTGAGTGGTTTGACATATAAGTGAAACAGTCTCTAAAGAGGCGCTCTTCGTTGTCACAGTTGTTCCTTATGCTTCTTGTTTTCTTTGAAAGATGTGTCCTTATTATAACTCATCAAAGCTAGAACTGTGCCAAGGTGATCCCATTTAAAAGACGATTACATCAGGAGGATATTCTGATATTTTCTCTCTTTTTATCAAAACTTCTCCCAACAAATGTGTTTAAGTGAGTCTTACATTTTCTATTTAATAAATAGGGACAACACTGTTATTGGACTCCATTATCTTAATACAAGAAGTAAAAAAATGTCAACATCACTGTATTGCTGCCTTCAAATATCGATTCCTGGATGTGTTTTCTATGCTTTAAAGCAGTAAAGACAGTGTTTTTCTCAAAGCTTGCTCTTTCTGTTACCCTCAGACATCAGCCCCGAGGAGCGCGCCCAGAACGTGGGGCGAGTCCTCCGCAAAGAAGCAGACGACGTGATAACCAAGTGGGACAACCTCAACGCTGACTCGGCTGCCTGGCAGAAAAGGCTGGAGCTGGCTCTGGATCGGCTGATAGAGCTCCAGGAGGCTGAGGACCTGCTGGATGGGCAGCTGAGGCAGGCCGAGATGGTGAAGGACGCGTGGGAACCTGTTGGTGACCTGCTAATAGATTCACTGCCAGAGCACATCGAAAGAGTCAAGGTCAGAATGAGTGACAATTTGCCATCCGTAAAGGTCAGGATGTACATTATTAGAATAGTTAGCCCACCCTGTATCTATCAGCCATGACAGTACACTGGTTAGAGCCCCTATTAATGCCTGTATTACACTTAAGCCTGTCAGTGTTTTTTATACATTAGCAAGCATTAAACAAGCAGGAAAAGTGAGTTTACATGATGGATGCATCTGTTTCTCACTGTTCAAACAACTGAGGTGAGACACAAGACTGAACCGAGGGCTGCTAACAGCCTGTCTGTGTTTCCCATCTGTCCTCGCACCACTGTCAACAATGCAGCATAACAAAACTCTGTGTGTGTTTGTGTGTGTGTGTGTGTGTGTGTGTGTGTGTGTGTGTGTGTGTGTGTGTGTGTGTGTGTGTGTGTGTGTGTGTGTGTGTGTGTGTGTGTGTGTGTGTGTGTGTGTGTGTGTGTGTGTGTGTGTGTGTGTGTGTGTGTGTGTGTGTGTGTGTGTGTGTAGGAGTTCCAGGACGAGATCGCTCCAATTAAGGATGATGTAACGCACATGAACCAGTTGGCGTCCACTTTTGGCCCACCGGACATTCAGCTGACACCTAGCAACCTGGAACGCATCGAAGATCTCAACACGCGCTGGAGGCTGCTGCAGGTACAAACTCGTGCACACACACACACACACACACACACACACACACACACACACACACACACATGCACACACATGCAAACTTACTCAGGTGTGTAAATGCATGCTGACACATATGTGGTAACAAAGAAGCACATAAACTCATCCACACCTCAAAAAATACACCAAAGTTCTGAAGAAAAATAGTTATTGAGTTATCAGAACAATTCAGTAATTATACTTTATATAATATGATGACATTAATGCCTCACAGCCAAGGTCAGCTTACACCACTTTGAAAGTGTGGTGTGTCTGAGTGTATGTTACTTCTTGGGAGAGCTGTAATGAGGACAAAAAGTTCACACACACACACACACACACATGCATACACATACATACACATAAACACACCCCATGTGTGAGTGATCAGAGGCAGCGCAGGGTGGGCCTCTATCAGTCTCAATAAGCCCAGTGGCAGCCATGCTGGAAGCCAGACAGTGATTGTTACCGGGCGTGACAGATAGAGCCAATCAGCTGCCAGAGAGACGCAGCTAACACCGAGGAGTCCCAGACGGAGATGGGTGCCTTGGTGACACCACAGTGACGGGACCAGACGGCTAGTCTCTCTGAAGTTAGCACCTGACCAGATGCTTACACACACACACAAACACACACACAAGCCTTTGTGTTGTGGTGAAGGTGAGGGCATCAGTGCAAATAGACAAAGGGAAACACAGTGATGTGATTTATGGATTTTTGAATGAAAAATCATACTAGACATTATTTGTCAAACTTTCAGTAATTGTGCTTGACCCTAAATGTTCTAGAGACACAAATTACATCAAAACATAGAGCAGACTGTGAGTAATAACAATGATTAAATAAGCAGCTGAATCAAATGCATAATTAAAACTTGTCTGTGAGTACAGACGGACCTACACCATCACCTGAGCTGAAGCCTGATGGCACATTCTCTGAAGTGTTCTCATTTAATGGCTCTGATGCTAGTTTAGAGCATAAGTTTAGATGGTGATGTGTTAGCATTTGTGCATGTCTCCCATATTGCTGCAGTAGTCTCAGTCAATAATGAGCACATTAATTAGCTCAAACTCCAACATAACATACTCAGTCTTAATTTTCATTGCCTGAAAAACATGGAAAAAACGCCCATTTGACTGCTCGCAATGACTTTGCTAATATGTTGCAGTTAAGGCTCTGCATGAATTCAAGCAAACAAATAAGTCTTACAGCTGTGAGTGTACTCTTGTGAAAAGTCCAGGAGAGATATTCCTAAAACACCAATTCCACATAGTGTGACCTCGATTCATCTGAAAGAGTTTGGAAAAAGAAATTCCCAAATTCGAGTTAAAGTGAAGGATTTTTATCATCTTTCCCTTTAACCTGGCAATTTACTATTGTTTCCATTCCAGGAAAGTAGACTTATTTCTGTTTACACTGATATGAAACAGAAAATGGTAAGCAGAGACTTGAGTATTGCATTTGGACAGAAAAGAGGGTTTAAGTGCCAGTTTTTTAAAAGTCACTCTCCATTGCAGGTGGTTCATTGGGAGCAGAATGTTTGCCCAGGAAATTTTGGCAACACATTAAATGGCAGGCTGGTGAAGAGATATCTGTGTGTATGTGTGTATGTGGGTATGCCTGCTAATGTGAGAGTGTCCAATGTGTGCTTTTGTGTTTCCTGATACACTTAATGTGGCTTCAAATTGATGTGAGTGCTTGTGTTTGTGCATTTGTTGTTTTAGTGCGTGCATGTGTTGTACCTGCAGATTCAGGTCATTTTAGTCGGTCCACACTGTTCTTCTGGGGCCATTAAAGTTCAAGCTGATTGGTCAGTATCCCCACACTGTGCACTCTGAGTAATTGCGACAAATTCCTCCTCAACAATCCTACTCTCGTTTTTTGTAATTCTGATTAGGTTACCGTGGCTACGGGGAAAAGCAACTCAGGCAGAAATGGATTGGGTGAGGTGCATTCGAAGGTAACTCCATCGTTTGGTTTTATGTCTCATTGAGGCAAAAAAAAACAAAAAAACTGATCATCACTGTCGTATCTTCATCTACATCTGTTCTCCATCTCATACCATGATGCACACAGACGCACACTCCTCTGACAGTGTGTCATCTGTGGCCTTCTCATTTAGGTTGTGGATGGCATGCAGGACGGTTAATCAGCCAATCTGTCTACTCAAACTGGATAATAAAACCTCTCAGTTCCCCAGCTTCAAGACTTCCGTTAAAGAAAAGTTGATGCGTCTTTAAGCTTCCTGTGAATCACTTTTTTACTTCCTGGAACAAAAATCTGTTGCTAATCAGTGTCTGCCAAAGCCCCGCATGCCGGCCAGAGCTGCATGTGTTGCCTGGGAACATTGGATCGTTGAACATTGTGTCAGGAAGCATCCGTGGTTACAGACAGTTCCTCCAGGGATGCTCAGGATGCAGCGAGTTGGCAAGTGTCACAATGTGACTGAAATGACACCTGTGACTGTGAGCATCAGCTGGGAATTATGCTTCAGATTAAAAATGGCTTGTTGGAAACAGCAGGTTTCAAGAAACTTTCCTCAATAATGCTGAAAATATTTATCACCCCTTAGGCTGCAGAATTTTAAATCTGAAGCAGAAACTGTGTGATGAACAGTGGATGCGACGCATTTATCTTCTAAATAATGAATGTAGACTCACGGAGCAGCAGCTCAGGAGTGGTTTGGGGCTTTCTGACCTTTATATGCCATCCTCCAAAGGCTGTGTGAGTGTTTGGTTGTCCAATTGACTGCCAAAAAATAGAAGCTCAGGGTTTCTGTCTTCAAAACTTCAAACCAACATAAAAGACAATGTGCCCACCTCTTATTTTGAAATTGATATTGTGTAGTTGTTAGAAGGCTAATTTACTACAGCTAAGGAAAATATCACAGACTGCTATCATACAGCACTTACACCAAGGCTCAACCTCTCATCCTGCTGTAAGAGAAGAAATCTCTGTCAGTATACAAGTCCTTTGTGTTACAAGGGAACGATTCATACAATGATGATCACACTTGACATGTGTATTGCTGTGGACCCGAGGGAGTGACATGTTGGCGTTCTCCAAACTGGCTCGTCCTTAGACAACAGTGCGGGCATCAGTAGGAGCCCAGGGGATTGCAATGTCAAGTGTGAAGTCAATCAGATAATTGGTTCTTGGCAACGCCTTGAACGGGAACTTCTTCGCTTGTTTCTATTTTTTAATGGACAAGTCCAGCAGTGAATGAGGTTTAAACCAGGGGGGCCTTTTGAAACACAATGCAAGATATGTTTGCTGACAAAGCATATACTCCTGGTGTACTTCTGTTTATTTGTATTTCATTTCTTACTATTTGATCAGAGGTTTTAATCCTAATGCTGAGTATCACAAGCCCTTGTACCTTGTAAGTCTTTAAGTGCATTAATATGTAATGCAAAGCAGACTTCATAGATCATAGTTTATTATCTCACTCTTACCTGGCCTATCCATCCTCTTCAATCGACGATAAGTAGCTGAAGGACACTTCAACATGTACGTTTTTGATATTTCCAGAGTGTGCTTATCTTTTACGAGTTATTGTGTCCATGTTACTTGCTGAATGTTGTCACTTGGACCTTGGTTTTTTTATAGAAGGTTTTTTCAGACTGTTTTCTTCTATGCACATGTGTCATTCTGTTTCCCCCCCCCCATTTTTTTTCTGCTTTACCTCTTTGTGTTTAGTTCATCTTCTGTAAGTCAGTTGAGGAGTCATTCCTATAGTCGTCAGTCCTTCAAATACAGTTAAAGGGACAAAGTTTAAGGTGGAATTTTCATGCCAGCAGTGCGGTACGTAAAGTGTATACAATTGCAAAATGTGCGCCAACAAATCCCGCCAAGAAAACAGGTGTTTAAATTTGGATCAATGACAAGCTAAGTGTTTGCAGTTTAGATGGGAATCTGTGAGCCAGGAGACAAGTGTGTATTACCCCCGCTGGGCTTAGCCCCACCTCTCTGTGTGTACCTACAGGGCCGTGCTGATTTGGCACAATTATCTCAACTCCATCTAGATCGACAGCTCATTCAGAGCTGAAGGAGACTCACAGGAGACTGCATCCTCTCTAATTCCTCCACTACAAATTCAATTATCGCTTCCATGCTTGTCTGTGTGTCTCCTCCCCTCCCTTTCCTCTCCCTCAGTGCCTGCCCATTCTCACTGTTCTTTCTTTGCAAGAGAACATTATGTGCCACTTTTTTTTACATTGACAAATACACACAAAAGATCACCCCTCACGTTCCCATCATCACAGCTAAATCTGTGCTACACTCTGACGTAAGCTAAGATTACATTAGCCTTAGCTAAAGGAAAGCAATCTCAGACTCCAATGGACTTTAGAGGATTGAACATTGGAATCTACATTTAGAAAAATCCACCAACATATTTTTAATAATTTTTAATTTCTTAGAGGCAATAGCTTAATGAAGTTTGAGGTAGCTTAACTATGGCTAAGGCTAAAAAAGATTACATTGGCCCCAGCTTGCTGATGGCTTAGCCTTTTTCTACAGTGGAATTCAGAGGATTTGCTCTTTAAATATATTAAATTCTATAGTCAATGTTACACTGTTAAACATAAATATGTCCTATATTTATGGAGCTAGACAGAGATAAATTTTTTCCTACATCAATGACAGTCCTTAAATGTCTATCAGTCTTATCTGTTGAATCTATCTTATCTATTTCTTGATCTATCTATATAATCTATATCTCTTTCTTTCTCTCTCCATCAGATCTCCCTCACAGAGCATCTGAAGCAGCTGACAGATGCTCACAGAGACTTTGGCCTTCTGCACGGTGAGTCAAACCGATACAAATGTGCTCTGCATGCATTCGCACAGTTGACAGTTGACGAGATACTCAAGAGGTTGCGTGTGTGCAAAAAGAGATAAGACAAAATGTGTTAGACAAAACGAGGCGCCCGCCTCCTGACAGCATCTCACTCAGCGGCTCACTCGATAAGTGACGTGTTCGCGCGAGAGAAAGTGACACAGTGCTCGACTGTCATCAGGTCACTGAATCACTGAATAAGTGATGAGAGGGAGTGAGCATAAAGACTGACACTCATTTGGCTGCTCAATGAGCCCATGATGGCGTATTGATCTGTTTATGCGACTTTTTTTTTTCCTGGTTTTATCACCAAATCCCAATATGGCCCAGCAATTAATCCGATACTGAGGAACTGAGCCATATCACAATCACATATTGATGAGAGCATATGGATTGAAGCACCTCATTGATTGTTGCATTATATGAAAGAGTTGCACATAGGATGCTCTCTGCAGCCACAATCCCTGTCGCCAAAGAGCTATCATCTTATCATAGCTTAGCAACCATAACAAGGCACAGCAGGCCTGCCAAGCTCTGTATATCTCACACTACTTTCTTTAGTCTTTTTACTGCCAAAACAGTTAGCATGCCGCGATAAGTAGCATCATGTTCAACCCAAGGAGGATATTGTTAGGAGGTGAAATTGAAGTGAAACATAATCAAATAAAATCTTCAACAGTTAACCGTTCAAGTCTCACTTTAATATTATTAAATTGTCATCAAATCTATTCTAGATAGTTTCACATGTGATGGCCAATTAAATTAAAGCAAATCATAAACCATGAACCTATCCTTGGCCAAGCTGTCCATTTCCTTTAGTTAGCATTTACAAAGGGTTGTGTTATGTTGATTTAAAATCCAAACAGGGACATAGTCCCAGTGATGTCTGATGTCACCCACTGGTGTGTGAAGTGTAGATTTTCTTTTTATTATTGATGGTGGTCTCTACATTGTGAACGCTGTCTCAAGCTAACTTAAAGTTGTCTTAGTAACAAGCCAAGAGCTGGAGCGGAGTCTGGCCTTAAGCCTCCTGACAAACAGCTACAACATCATTGTATGTAAAGCTTCACTTTTCTGATCTTAGTGGGGTTTGTTGAAGGGTCAATAAGAGGTCACATTTACATAGATTTTCTTCACTAATAATTCTACTATTTACATTCCAGTGCAAGTCCAGTTTTCGCCTTCTGTCTGACAAAGTATCTGTCCTAGGAAACAGCTGCTTTAGGTGCTCCCAAGTATCCCTGTCTTTACGTAAAAATCATAGAGGCCAATTTTACATCAACCCTCAAATTTTAGAGACCAAAGTATCTCTGAATGGATTCAACTTTGCAGATTAATTATGTAGAACAGTGCAGCACAATAAAGATGATTTTTGTCATTAAAATATGTCCACCTGGAGCAACTCATCAAACAGCTAGCTGCTTTTTCTCAACAATTCTCTTTAGCTTAATTACAGCTCATCTGCAGAGTAATTAAAAGAGCGCAGATAACAAAAGATCACAACATCACTCACGCGCTCACAGTGGTGATTAAAACTGAAGACCCACAGGGGGCTTGTGAGAACAAACTAAGGGAAGAAAGAAAGGGAAAGTGAAAGTGACACTGCAAAGACGAATGAACAAAAGTTAACTGACAGTAACACATTCGTAACAGAAAGTACATCCATAAAACATCTAGATAGCAATTAAACAAACAAGATCTGACTATCCTGTTTAGGTAAATGGAGGATGCTTTTCACACTGTCAAATCAAATCATTTCAAATGCTGCATCCAGCTTGATGATAAAGCTGTGATTCATGTAACAAGACAGGTAGGCATGGTGTCATAATACAGATGATGTGACAAAGCTTCATTAAGAAAGCACCGAGGACGTACATGTTTTTCATATCTTTCTACTACGTTGATGTACTCTGTATGTGCTCTGGCTGTTGTCCCACAATGCATCGCTCTGTTTTTAACTGCAGCTAATTTTACCCGTGGGGCACAATAACGCTTATACAGCGGGTAGTTTCAGCCAAGCTGTCTGATTGGTCAGAGACAAATTCCAACTGTGCTGACAATTCCCACAAAGCACAGCCGGCTTTAATAGTTGGTGTTGCCAACTCTTTTGGGCATAATGAGTGAGATAATTAGCAATATTTCTTGTTTTTCTGCTGTTTTTCATTATATTCCTCTGAAGAAAACCTTTCATTACACTGATGCTTTGGTATCTGCTGCGCACACATTTTGTGCTCTTTTCAAGGATGTTGATCCTGCAGTAAAAAGTGTGTGTGGAAAGTGAAATATCCTGCAGACAGTTTGAACAGTTGTGTTGACCCTTGCTTCTCTGTCTCAGCAGGATCTGTAGAGAGCCCCTTCGAGCAGGGCATCTCCCCGAACAATGTGCCCTACTACATCAAGTAAGTAGCGACCTCTGAGCTGCTATTTATAGAACCTGTCCAGCAGACTACACACATTCTGACAGGTTCATCTAGTTAGAACTACTTAACTGAAGCTGACTTGTTAACTGTCTGGTTATAATGATTGAAATGAACACAAAATGATTCATTTGAGTGTACTAACATTTTAACAAACAAAATAGAGTGTGCTTTGCATCAATACTAAATCCTAGAAAGCTCAGAAATGTCTGGAAACATCAGTTTCTTTGGTCGACTGCCAGCAGTCAGTATTCCTCTACAGCTGTGCAAACTGTTAAATTAAGAATAGTGATTGAGGACTCAGCATGAAACATTTATTGGCTCTAAGATGCTGCGCTTGTAGATCTGTTAGGGCCTTGACCTACATCTCCATGGTGGTGGTGATCAAAATGAAAAAAAAACATTATTCCCCAATTTTATCAGCTGATGTCATTCCTCTGGGACGATGTTTGAGATTGTAGATCTGGTTCTAAACATACTCTACCGACTGTAATTTACCCTCATATCCAATCACCTCCTCTAACAGGTGACTGTAGCTGTCAGTGTGGAAGTTTTTCATTGTTTAAACACTAAAATGAAGCCAGTTTGACACAACATTTGGGAATAATAACATGAATTTACTACTGTTGGTAAGTAAGCTGTTAAGTAATTCAACCTTACCTGATATCTATCTGTCTTGCATTTCTTCCAATAAAGAAATAATGAAATACATTACAACAAAATCTGAAACATGTTGGAGTAAAAATTCAAGAGTCATTCAAAAATATAAGAGTACCAAACTGGCTTCAGCATGCATGATGGCACAGTGCCAGAAACTTCAAATGTAGCTTTCTAAAGCCGCCCGCGTTAGCTTTCTTCAATGAAATCACCTGTTCACCTGCCGGAGTATTATACATGCTGTTATTCACACAAATAGAACTCGATGGGATTATTTCCTCACATTGTTCTTTTCAGTTTGTTTTTTTTAATCTCAACATGTAGCAGTTGGCATCCCATTGGCTTTAATGATGTTCTGTTTAAACAGTCCAGACATCCTGTTTGTAAAGAGTCACCTTTAGGATGTGAAACTGTTGTTTCATGCTGATTTTTAAAACCTCAACCTGGATGTTCTCTGTGTGTGCACTTGTCTGCTAACTGTGTTGTTTGCCTTGATTCAGCCTCTAATGTTTTCTAATATTCTTTTAAGTAGCCTTTAGTTTCATATGCAGTGCGGTTCATCCTTAGCTGTATCTATCTTTGAATTCATTCAAAGGAGCACACTCAAACTCCAGGTGCATGACGGCAAACAGGATCCAAGAAAACAGAGAAGTGGCTGATGAGGGCTCTGTGTCTACCCAGATTTTAAAAGCTCTAGTTCTCAACTGGTCTAGCCTCAGGACCCACAACCAACTCCTTCATGAAAAATCTCAACCCAAATTTCTGATATTTTCAACCAATCAGATTTATTCATGAAAAACTCTGTAGTTTTGACCTCAGAGGGAACGAAACATGTTATTGATCAAAGGGGAAAAAAACATGTTTAAAAAGCAATTCACATACATTTTTGACACATTTGTTTCCAGGCACACATTCGCTACCCACTAAAAACGGCTCTGTGACCCACTTTTGGGTCCCGACCCACCAGTTGAGAACTACTGCTTTGAAGGACATTGAGTGTGCTGACTTTTCTGTTTTCTTGTTTTAAAGTACGTCTTGAAGGAGTACGTTTATTTAATGTATATCTCTTGTTGAACTTCTTTATTCATACTGCTTAGCAGTACAAAATAAATCATTTAACATCATTAGCTCAATGTAAAAACAGGATTCATTGTCACACTTTTTGTCCTGTATTAGTGCAAGTCAGTTGAAATGCTGATGCTGAATGACCCCCTTGGGTTAGTTCCATATTAGTTTTTGCTCTGCTCTGTCTTGTCCTCCTGCTGACGACGACATAAATGATCTCAACTAGGAAAAAAAACATGTATATTAAAAACTTGTAAACAATATTTCTCAAAACTGCCAGCTATCCCAGATGTTTAATAAACCTTTTGTCGTTTGTTTCCATAGACATCTTGGTTAGACAAAAATGAGGACATTATTTTCTTCTGTCTGGAAACATGCTTGTCGAGCAGTTGAGTCCCTGCTCATTCTGCAGTGTTGGCTGCTCATCAGCACATAGCAGAAGTTCTGGAGGTGGGCTGTGTTAGCAGCACAGTAGTAAGCACAGTCTTACAACTTCTACCTCGGCGCTGCAGGGTGCACAAAACAGTCGTCTCACTGTTGGTGACTTGGTTCAAATAAGTCATTTCACTGAGTTAAACATGAGAGTAAATGGTCCTACTTATCTGGGAATATTGTATTGATATGTGTCGGTTATTTTTGACAGCTGAAAGAAGATGTCCTAAAGAGTAAAGCTATAATAAATATTCAACCTCAGGTGATTTAGGCACCTCAGTATTTAGATGATTTGAAAGCTAGGCTAACAGACAGGGAGCTAGCTAGTTTGAAGATATTGTTTCCCTTGTCAATAACTCTTTATTAGTGAAAAATGTCATGTTAGCTGTTGTCTTAAGCATCATTAGCCGTCCATGTCAGATGAACATATTTTATGCATGCTGGCCTTAGTCCTGTATTTGCTTCATTGTTACTATGGCTACAACAGCTGCTGATCAGCAAAAGTACCATTGACGTAGCTCATTATCTCACATTCCTAACTCATTGGTCAGAATAACCCCACAGTGTGATTGGTCAACCTTACTTCCTGTTTCTCGTGCAGAGAGCTCATAGACTAAGATGGAGCGGCTTGGTAATCAGTGACTAGCAGTGTGGTTTGTTTGAGTTAACACTTAAAGTCCGGATGTGAGAGAGATCGATGCATGTAACTGGCACTACATGCTTGGTTGCTCTCAGGAGTTTTTTTTTTGTAATTTGCAAGATTTTAACTCTTGATATGGCGTGGAATTAACTGTGAATGAGAGAAACGCTTTCAACTGAGAGAAAGAAGGGAGGAGGCGGAAGGAGGGAGGGAAAGAGAAGTGACAGATTCTCCTCTCCACATGCAGTGAGAAAGCTGGACCTGACCAGATGACCGAGATCCTGTGAGTGCCAGCTGACACACACACACACACACACACACACACACACACACACACACACACACACACACACACACACACACACACCTGAGTACACACATAATCTGCCTTCACTGTACACAGCATGCATACACACAGTGGATTTGTATCCAGCAGACACTGGATTAGTATCAAACATGTGCATATCACCACACAAACATACACAATGTGGCCAAAGGTATGGGAACACCAAATCATTACACTTATAACAGATTAGATAGAAATGTACAGAATATAATTTCTTTCTGGATTAATAAAGTCTATTTTTTATCTGTATGTCTTTATGGATTACACACTGTTATTTTCCTTGAAGGAACATTGCACCCATGTAACATCCATATTATGTGAAGGTCACTTAGTCATGAGAGTTCATAAGCCATAGGATGTATAATGTCTTCTGTTCCAACAGCGGAGCTTTCTTGAACTCTGAAAAAATAACCCCAATGACATCATAGTGATGTAAGCAGTGTTATCCCAGCTTGTGTTTTACACTACAATTTAAGAACCTTCACTACAAATTGGAGTTGTGTGTTGGGGCGCTGGTTTAGCTCCATCAGTAGAGTTGGCGCCCCATATACAGAGGCTACAGTCCTCGACAAATTGGTCCTGGTTCGGCCACGACCCTTTGATGCATGGCTATCCAACTCTCTTTTCCCCATATTTCCTGTCACACACACACACACACACACACGCAAGGAAGTGTGGAGTCTTAAAGATGTGGGTCATTACTACACGTATAGGGTGATCAAAATATATATCATGTGCATTGTGATTAGTCTAGGATCCAGTGTTTTAGGAGTTATCCCAGCCTCTAAAGCTTTCATTTAGATCATTATTTTTATATCTGTATCCACATGCTGTAGTCCACATTCTTGTGGAAGTGCAAAACTACATCACTGGTGTAGGCCTTTTACAGACGAGAACTGCATACTTCTACCCCTGCAAGATCATGACTGAGGTTTACCACTTATGTTGGGCAGTAAGGCCTGACTCACCATTAGTTTTCCAGGTCATTACATTTCTGTTTGATTGGGTTGTGCAGTCCAGTCATGTGCTGCTGCAATAAACGGATCGCACAAAGTTTGGAGCATGCTGTTTCAAAAATGCTTTTCAGTATGTTTGATTAGAACAGAGGAGCAAAACCGATTTTGCAATGTTTCATATTGTGTCCGCATACTTTTGGCCAGATTGTTTCCATGCACACTATGCATGCTTCACACACTGCAGCAGGGACTATGCAAACACACTATACACCCAGTGGACACACTTAATAACACACCCACGCTTTGTCTCATGCATACAAACACACTCACAAACACATTCAGGGCACAGTGCGACAACATATGGCCGACCAACTGCTTCTTGAGCACAATCACAAGTCTACTTCTGGAGATGATCTCCACAAACCTGCGACATACACCTTGGCCACCCCACACACACACACACTTTGCACACAGCCCCCCCCCCCCACAGAGCTATACCCGAGTTTAAATAACCACTTATGTGAATAAATTCAGCCTCTAAAAGACGTCTGACAGCTTAAAATCAGTCATCGAAAATTGTTGAAGGCATCACTCTCTGTCCTCTTCCTCAGCCTCAATCTCTCATTGTCCCTCGGCTACAAACACACACACCTACACACACTCAGGTATAAAAGCATACTTTTGTGGAGGGATCAAATAACAGTTGAGACTTGCCTATAAATTACAGGCTGCTCTGCTGTCTTTGCTGGTGCAACATAGCCTACATTTCTCAAGCCTTGAACACTGATTCCCAAAGCAAAGATATCCCCCTCCTCCTCTTGCTCCCCTCTCTCTCTCTTTCTTCCTGTCTCTCCTGTAGGCCTGGTAAAATCAATCAGTACCTTTTTCTCTCTACTTCTCCACCTCTTTTTTTTGTTGTATCTCCCTATTTCCTATTTACCTGACTTTCTTCTTTTCTACCCTCTCTCTTCCTTGGCCTTGAATGATAGAGATTGTGTCTTGAAAAGCAAAAGACCTCCTCCTCTCTCTCTCTCTCTCTCTCTCTCTCTCTCTCTCTCTCTCGCTCGTCAGGGAGGTGAAAAACCTCCTCGGATGGTGTCGAGGTTCCTTTGCTTTCAGAAACAGCGGGATGGGGGGAAGGGAGGCAGAGACAGGGAGCCTGAGCTCCGCCTCGTCTAGCTGGGGTTTGGCAAGTTTCCTAGAAGCAGATAGGACTATACAGGAAAGTAGTGGTTTATTTCAAAATAAAAGCATCATGTGGATTAAATAATTTTGTAACAGGTAAAGCAGAACAAACATTCAGCATGTTCAGTTAAATCGCACACAAAATAGCCCTTGTCATGTTAATTCATACTATGAAACAGTGATACGTGTTTATCCCATAGACTGTACTAAACATGGACATTTTTAGTGATGCCACTCATCGGTTTCTGAAGCCCGATGATTGTGGAGCTGAGGCCGGTCTGAAGATATAATGTGATATAAAGCTAATTATGCAAAATTATGCTTTGAGACCAAAACTGTTTTCTGTACCATGCTTTATTTCTGCTGTAAAAATGGACATGTTAATGGCACCTAATGGAAATGTATTGGTTTTTAGAGCCAGCCTTGAGTGGCCACTCAGGACTGCAGGTTTTTGCACTTATGCATTGGCTTCATTTTTCAACACCAGAGGTTGCTGCTTTTATTATTTACATATTTGGTTTGTAAACTTGAGTCTATTTATGTCTGAAACTCAGATAAAAAGTACTTCATTAACTTTCTTTCTAAAGGATGTTTGATGGTATATCTATGGAAATTAGCATCTTCATTATGACTGCATGAAAGGAAAACATTGTTACACAATATGTAACAAAAGAAATTTGTCCACACCAAAAAATGTCCACTTTAATTCACAGCATGAACACTTTTCTGCCAGACTGGGGGTAAGGCGGGGGTCCTCAGGCAGGCCGTGACGTAAAAAGGAGAGTGAAGCAGAGTCTGACACTATACTGATAATTATGACTATAATGACAGTTTTTAATTGTATATCAATGCTACATATTATTGGATGTATTCACAGTAAAAACAGCTGTGAAACAGCATCTGTCCAATAGGAGTATAGCAGCTTTCTCTCGAAGGCTTTTATTTTGAAGCAATAAGCGGAAGTGATTTTTTTGTTAAATCTGGTTCAATTGATCCTCGTGTCTTGCTGGCCAGTCAGCCTCTGCAACTCACCGCTACCACTCGTAGAGGAACACACACCGACACACACATACACACATACACACACACACACACGTAGGCTGCACACGGTAATCTCGGACGCCTCTCTCCGGTGCTAGAGGACGCTTGGTCGGACCGCGGAGGGGGTCGGGATATTGCCTCGGTGCTGCCCGCGAATCGATTCCTTTCTACCGGACGCGGAGCGCACTGATCGGCCGGCGATGCGGGAGCAGCTTCGGAAGTGAGTGCTGGGTTGGGAACGGTTTACGGTGGTGATAAATAATGGTGATGGTAATTGTGCTGGTCGTAATGCAGTAAACCCGTTCACACGGGCAACACATCGGCTGTGAAGAGAGAGGGAGAGCTGGGGCTAAGATCCCCCACACTCAGCAGAAAACACATTTAACACTCTTTATTTCAGGATATGCGCAGATACAGGCTTGTGCATGTTTTAAAATGGGGAAAAAATGTATTTAGATCTTAATTTTGAAAACGGCAAAATAGATATTGTCTCTTTTGTGCCATATCTACATTTCCATCCAAGTTGCATTTCGACTGAATGTCACCTAGCCGGTTCAAATGGCTACTTTCAGAGAGAAAAGAACAGCATTTCTGTGTAAAAGATATCTATTTCATATTAAAGGAACAGCCCATAGTGCACGAAAGGGGCAAAGGGATGATTATTTTTTCCCCCGAAAAGGCATGAAACCCATGCTATCTGGTAGCCATTGAACCCACCAGCCCCCCTTGCCTTACAGCGAATGTTAGTCGTGGTCGTTGCCGGGGAACCAGGCGCGGTGTGCGGCCACCGAGGCTCTCCGACCCGGCCGTCCCCTCCAGATACACGGACCGTGAAATTCCTTTTTCCATTAACTTTCTATGTTCTGTTTCACTGCCGTGATGGACTAAAAAGCACCACATCAAATGCGCTTAAGCAAAAACGGAGCTCGGTGCAAACCTGTGTTTATTGCCCGTATGTGTTTGATTTCAGACCGACGGGGATTTGTGTTAATGTATGCGTGTTTGTGTGTATGCGTGTGTGTGGGGTGCGTTGGCTGAGCTTTTTGCACGAGAAAAGAGCCCCGCCGAGCAGAGCAGCACTGTATCACTGTGTTGCATTCCTTCACAGTCTCTAGTCGCACACGGAGGTGCAAACACAATCACCTCCGTGCCAGCTAAGCAGCCTGTGTCCGGATCGCTGTGTTTCTGCTCCGCGTTATGTGTGTGTGTGTGTATATTCGCTTGTTTGTGTTTGTGTGGACAGCGTGAACAGCGTTTTTGATGCTCTGCGTTGGTCTATTTTCGGCAGGGAAATTATTTCATGTATGGGTTCAGGTGTAAATATGTGCTGTCCATCCAGCGTCCAGATCTTCTGCTGGTCAATACTATAAAGTAGGATGTGTTTGTCCTGCACTGACAACTACATGGATCCCCCATGCATGAGTGTGTGTTAGTGAGTGTGTGTGCACTTCAGGAGTTGGTGAAATGAGAGCAGAGGATGCGGGGCTTGCTGGTGCAGATTTTTGGCACCAGTGCGATGCAGGTGTGTGTGTGTTTGTGCACTGATTAAATACAGCTGATGGATAAACCCCTTAACACACACACCACAAGCACAGACACATACACACAACCCTGGATGCTGCATAGTGGTGCTGACAGGCTCAGGCATGACTCCTATGGCTTGTGTGTGTGCTGTCTTTGTATTCGGTGGAGATGATTATCAAGCAAGTAATCTGCAGTGTTTAGGGCTGAATTTCTGCATTCAGAGATGGCGAT